ACTTTTCGTCTACCTACTTTGCGTACATTGATAAAATTGAGCAAAAAATAGCCGGAAGTACAATTTTTAAAAACTGGGTATTTAGTACTTTTAGTTTTTTCTTTCTTGTTTGTGTTCTCATGTGTAGCAACTCTGCGGCATGTTTGATTTTTGACTTTTTACGCAATCGACAAAGGAACAATTCGTCGGCACGTTGTTATCACACTGCGTGCATTGTACACGACAATGAGGGCGGCATGTTTACCGTATTGACGCAAATTGTTTACTAGCAACCTGACAATACCAACAAAAGCATCAAACGCGTTTCTGCGGTACGTCTTCAACCTGTGTTTTCTCCACCAGCCTTCGCTGTGATTCAACTTTCCACGGCGAAATGCCAATTGTCAACAATAAGATTTTTGGCCGGAAGATGCGTCCGCCATTTTCATCTCTTTCCTCCATTCATTTCACTGCTAAAGAAGGCATGTTCTCTCATTTCCCCTCGTTTCATTCGGTAAATGCGTGCGTAAGTCATCATCATTGTAGTAAGTCGACAGACTAACAAACGTTCGACAAAGCCATTTCGATGCCGATCGGCCCTCTCGCCCTGTGCTTTTATTGAAAGCGGTGCGTTTGTCCATCTTTGGCGGATTGTGGAAAGCTCTTTTGGAGTTTGCCGACCACCAACATGTGCCTAACGTATCGATGCTGGCCAAAAGAGTGCCGTCGGTGGCGGTGTTTTGGACGTCCCGTTTCAGAGATGATATTTTCCATGCTCAATTTGCTGTGGCGTTTGTTGTGCGCCTATTCTACCTCACTTGTGTCATTATACTCTTGATATGTTGATGTTATTTGGTGGCCACTTCATTGTTGCACTGCTCTCACGCGGGAGGGCCTACAATTGGCTCACTTGAATTAGCAAACTCAACAACAATCACCGGTCGGCTTTGAACATATTTTACACTCGTCCCGAATGGTTGGAAGATCACCGCGAATAAAAAGTTGATTGACTAACTTCCTTGAAAATTGCGCCACGGCCTGTAATCGGCGCACGTCAATAATGAGAAGTGCGCAAAGCGCGAGTTTAAAACGTCTTTGCGTGCGCAGCACACTAAACCGCCGATCATATTTCAGTAGAACAATGTGTAGCTAATAGGAATTACCATGGTGCGAACGCATTCGGCCGCGGCGTCGTTTCTTCAGATCCCGGCATCCAGCGGCCGTTGTGAAAACCTCATGCTAAATGAAATGAGTCTAAATTGTCGTGTTCGGTCAGCGCGCGAAACGGCGGCGCTCGATTACGTCGGGACTTCTTTGGAAGTCATCCGAAACCATGAAATATTAGCCCCACGCCTGGCGGACTTACTTAAATGTCTCTCAAACGCGTTTAACTTTGAGTGCAGTATGCTCACGCGGCGAATTGCGCGCCTCGCAATTGCCAATTGTTCTTTCGCGCACGCACTTCAACCAGCCAGCCAGTCAACTAGCTCCAGCCGCGCGTACTTAACTGAATCTTAAGTATTGCTAAGTATTGCATTTATATTTGACACCGCATGGCACAATGGTCGATAAATCTGCGCTTTCCAATATAATTCGGCTTGACCTGTTAATTGAATGCGTCGTGAACATTCCGAGTTGCGCGCCGGAAAAATGCGGAATCGACGTGCCGCGGTTGGATCACGGATTGATACGGCTCAAACACGCCGTCGAAAGCAGGAAAAGATTACTTATCGTAAACTGCAGTTATAGGTAAATTCTACAAGTGGCTGGAAAGGCTGAATGAATCTTTTGCAGATTTTTATCTGCGTCTTATTTCCACAGATCTAAATATTAGCTATCAAAAGTATTAATGTGAAAATGATGCAGGTACCGAAGTAGGTACCTACTTACTAATTAGCTACATTTGAAACTACGAGAATAGGCGGTTTGTCATGATTCCAAACTTGATATTTTCTTCGGACAACTTATACCTAAGTATTAGGTACCTACATAACTATTTAACTATTGAACATAAGCAATATTCAAATTGACCGATTTTGTTACTTAAAATTTTTCTTAATTTGAAAAAGTTTTGTTTTACTAAAGACTCTTGCACATTTGTAATAGGTATAACTCTTATTTCTCATACAATATGTCAACAAAAAATGTCAAGAAAAATAACTTAGGTACTTACTAAGTTATTTCTTTTGTTTTACATCATTGAACAAAGATAATACCTATTTGTGTTACGAATCACAACACAATATTTCTAAGTTATGATATTCCAAATTCGCTTGAAATACGGAATTTGATGGAGCAGTGGAAAATTGAAAGAAATGGTGATATTTCTTTATACGTGTAATGAAGTTTAGGTGAATTTATATGACAAATTATTTTACAATAACTTAAAAATTAGGTAATACGGAATATCTTGACGGAGAGCAAACCTAAGAGAAACTGATTAGGTATATCATCCTGAAAACCGTGTGGGAAGTTTGATGAAAACAAACTCAAAACAAGTAGCAAAAGTAAACAAACCTCGAATAATAAAAATGATTGATTAATAAGCACTTATTAATTCTCCGTGATAGACATCGAGTTAATTTAATTTTCCATTCGGATGGTCGGGCGAGTACGGTAGAAACGAAATGAGTGCTAATTTATTAGCTTTAATGAATTCTCCTCCAACCGCGTCGCTCTTCGATCTTCAGTCTCCGCCAATGCGTTATGTATCGTTCAGGAGTCTCCTCGCGCGGTCGGCAGCGCGCGAAGGAAATGCCCGAGTGAGCGCAGAACGCAGATCAGCAGGAGAAGCTGAAAAATGATAATCGTACATCCGGGGGGTTATTGCTGTAAAAACGGACCCCCCGACGCGGCCGAGGCAATAAAACAAAGTGAGGCGCGCATAAACTATACAAATTGTATCGCCACGGCATCCGCATCTCCGTGCAAGATTCCCGCATAATTAAGCTTCGATAAAGCCATTCTAATTGAGTATTGATTAAATGTAGGTACGCAGGCTGCGTGGGTAAGTGTCACATACGCGTCGGCCAGCGACTCCCCCGGTGCTCACCTGCATCTTTAATCAATTTGATAGCGTGCGCATTCGAGAGTACAAAATCATATTCCACCGCAGCGCGCGAACAATGCAAACGCGGCCTTAATACAACATGTGTGGGCCCACCGTGCGCCGTCTAATTGCCCGGCGAGGGGTCCGCGCGCCTTTTTCTCGTTCGCCCCGGTCGTGTGCGCGCAAGGTGGAGATGATGGAGTAGGTGAAATAAAACGAAGCGGACCGGCCTCGACGAACGTTGATTAATATCGGCACTTAGTAGCAGTCGACGATGGGAGGACGGCGAAAAGGTAACTGTCTCGTCGCCCTGAAAATCGGTCCCGAAAAAAGGTGTACAGATACAAATGACTAATAACTAATATGCGCTAAAAGGCGATCTGGGCGAGAGGCGCGCGGACATTTATCGTCGCTTCGGTGGGTTTATCTAATTTGAATTTAAATTATGTAACTCGCTCGTGCAATGATTCGCTCATCAATATTCTCAGCGGCCCAGCGTGCTCAGGGTGGCACTTAAGTGAAAAATGTGCTGGCATTAATTACTGCTAGTGGTTATTAATATTTGATTGCTGAACTGCGTGCACTTGCATCGGTAAGTGCATGCAAACAACGAAATAAATTACGATACAAGTGCGTTGCAATGCAAATTTTATATTAATAAGCTTTTACCTAAGTGGTCTAATGAAGAAAATCTTATGATGCAAGAATTATGAACACACGGCTGAAATTTTCAAAATCGAGCAGTATTTATTTCGGGGCTTATTTGATGCTTTTATAGGTGTTGTTGTCGTGTCGGTGTAACAAGTTGACAATGTCTCGCTGTCACATCGGCACAAGTGCTCGAGATGGAGCGTCTTAACAAATGTGCGTGCGGCTCGCGCACAGGTTGTCGAAGCGAGGCGCAGTGAGTGTATGGTGGACGAGGACGTAATAAATCTAAACGGTGCGCGCAGAGGGTGGCCGATGCCGCCAAAGCATGCCGGCACAATGAGATACATTGTTGTGCCCCTGACGACCGATGACACCGCCAAAGGGGGGCACCCACAGCCCGAAAACCGCACTCAAAATCTCGCCACCATCATCAACGACCGCGCGAAGCGCTATTAACGCAGAACGCCGCACAACGTTAATGCGTCCCACAAACGGACGTGCGTCTTGTTGTCACTCGTAAGCTGTGACTTAAGCTTTTGTCGCGCGGCGAGTAAAAAAAAAATGAAACAAGCGGGCCAGGCAACGAAAGTGAGAAGTTTCCGGCTTACCAGCTCGGGGATGCCGTCTTTTTGTGCAACCGCACATTGGTTAAGATCGACTAACGTACGTTAATCCGATGCGATGTGTGAAAGAACAGGGATGTTTTCAAATCTGATTAGCTCAGCCAAATGGCATGATGTAAACTCGAGGCATTAAGAAGTCGAAGTGTCGGGAGGAAATGGGTCTTTTCGGACAAGTCGAACACGTAGGAAACACTTGCGGCGCGTTTTACAAAACGACCGGCGATTAAAGCAGCGACGCAACGCTGAAAGGAATCACCACCAGAACGTACGCGTTTACAGCTTGTTTGGAATTTCTTCATTAGGATTTTCGCTGGTCGAGTCTATTCCGAAACAATTGCAGAGAACGCGCCTTGGTTTTTAGCTCACTTGCGTGTTTCTCTCCGGGTTATTTACAATATTGTAATTGTGTTGCGGCGGACGACGTTTCATTAGAATTAAACTAAACGAAGCGAAGTTATAAAAGCGCGGGCCCACATGCACAAGGGCACCGCCGCATCACGCGCGCGGTCGTAAAAAAGGCGGCGGCAATAAATTGGTTTGCGCGGCCCCGGTCGCCTTGTGCCAATAATAATAAGCGCGACCGTTTTGCGAGAGCCGGCGAGCGACTTGTTCAGTTTGTCGCCGCCGTCAAAGAGACCGTGGAAGCCTGTGTTTTGCAAACAATTTAATCAAACGCGCGTTGTGCTGATTGGTTGCAGGGCGCGAGGACGAAAGCGACACTGAGTCGGAACCGGGCATTCCTTTGAAGCGAAAGCAACGCCGCAGCCGCACCACCTTCACCGGCGAGCAGCTGGAAGCCCTCGAACGCGCTTTTGGGCGCACCCAGTACCCCGACGTGTACACCCGTGAAGAACTCGCCCAACAGACCGGCCTGCAGGAGGCACGGATACAGGTATAGCACATTATTCACACACACATACATACACACACATAATTACGCACGCGATCGTTTCGACCATTATCAATCGTCTCGCAGGTCTGGTTTTCAAATAGACGTGCACGACTGCGAAAGAATAGCAACGGAAATAGTGTCGCATCCCTCGCCTTCGCCTCATTGCCTATCGGACAGATGCCCTCACAGTACGACAACCAGCAGGACTGGCGTAATGGACACCAGTTTGCCGCCAACTACAATATGTTCCAGCAAATGCCTTACAACCAGTCGCACCACCAGGATGTCAACTCGCGGGACTACTCGGCGATCTTTGACGCCAACTACGCCATTGCCCACGCGCAAATGGCCCACGCCCAGATGCAGCAGCAACATGCCCAGCCCGCGTCACAAGGCGCCATTCCCAAGGAGGAAAAGCCTGCCGAGATGAGTGATAACGTGTGGGACAAGGCGGCGTGGTCGGCCCATCAGCAGCAGCAGCTTAGCAACGAGAGCTTTGAAAGCTTCGCGCATCAGACCAGCGCCCATCCCCATCAGGGCCAGCAGCAGTACAGTAAGAACTATTGGGCTTGATCGCCGCACGCTCTGAAACGAGCACTACCCTGTTACAATGGGGTGCTAATAAATGCACAAACAATTTAGGCAAATTAGTATCTAAGTGATAAATAGTAAATAGTAAACAAGTGAACAGTTTTTGTCGTGATGATTTATTATGATTTAGGTGGGTAAATGTGTATTCAAGCTCTAACTAACGCTAACGAACGAACATTGTACGGACTACAAATCAATAAATTATATAATAAACGCTTTTTATTAGTTCAATTCTTCATACTAAACAAACACAAACACATGTTAAATTAATTATGGAAGAAGGGCATAGCATATTGATGATACAGTAGCAGCGTAAGTGAAATGAAAGCTTCAACATCGGTCGTCGGCCGTACAGTAGTCAAAGTTCGATAGCTTTTGCATTGACTTACAAAACAGTTGTGCGCAATAAATGGCGAAGTAATTGTACGAGTTATATCACACCTTCGCAAATCGTACAATACCGTACAACTATTACCGACTTCTAGGAACACTGATCGAATAAAAAATGTCCGAAATTATATTTGTTTTTGTTAAAACTTGCCGTTTTTTGTTAGTTACGTGATGTGATGCTTTTGAGATTTTTCTAAGTTTTTCTGATATTGTGTCCTTGAAGCATTGTTAGTTATTGGAGGTATCACAACACGTAAAAACAACAAAAAATGAAAATTTGCAATTGATTGGCACTGCGTTGAATAATTTTTATTGCTGGGAAATATTCCGGATCCTGAATTTATGATGTGGGATTTTCTTGCGTTGGTTTTGCTATCACGTCAACTGTGCAACCTACCAATCCCTTTAAGTCGTCTAACTTGCTGAACCTTGAACGCTGAGTGGCGAGGTAGGTAAGTATGATATAAATAAGTCAGTTCTGCACTCCTTACGACATCTATTTGGAGCCAGGTCAACTAGGCTAGAAATAACAACAACTATGATGTTCTTACACTTTTCTATATTTCTTGCAGTTTACTCGATTTATTTTCACACTTGATTTGACATATCGATATAGTTTGGTTTGACACTAATTATTACAACTACATAGGTAATACTATAGCATAGTATTAATTAGATATAACTATATTTAAGTGTATATATTATGATATAGATTTCTTTTTCTTCAAATATATGTATAAATAAATATGAATAAATATTTTCTTTATTGTCACGAGTTTCGAACGTAGTACATTTATATTATTGTCCGCAGATTTACCTTTTTGAAGTATTTTTTTGTATTGTCTTATACAGCATTAAAATGTAGATGCTTCTTATTGTCATCAAAATAGTATATAGTTCCAGCCTTTAAATGAGCAATCAAATAACGTACGCCGACGTTTTTTCTTTTTAAATAAAGGATACCGATCAAATCAAATCACAGAATTGTAATGCCAAGTACGAACAATGCGGCGATATCCAACGAAAGCGATTATAAAATAAAACACGCAAAAATATACCAATTGGCCTCGATTATATGTAATGTACTGACACTCGTTCCGATTTAAAGTGATTTAAAGTCAAACCCCAAATTACTCGCAAGTAGTTATTTAGTTAAGTACCTTACGCATTACGATTATGTCTTTGATGTGATATTCTTGATTGATTTTCGATAACAACATGCCAGGTCTATCTTGATATTTGCTTCTGATATGCTCCCATAACAAAATCCAGGTGTAGATATGTCCACATCGCAACTGTTTGATATTTTTGCAGGTGTGATATTGTTTAAACCGATATGTAGTGCAGAAGAATGATTTAAGTAATCAATGAAATCATCAACCGGATACTGGTAGAAATCAAAAAGATATCATTGATGTTAGTTAGGTTGTTTTGATTTTAAGTTTAGTGTTGCCGCTGCTGTTGCAGGAGCTTATCCACGAGCAGCGCCTTGTCGACAAGCGGCTGGACGAAGAAGCGCTTCTCGTTCTCGGCGAGGTAGCCGTCCTCGTCGTCGACGCGCCCCGCCCGATGCCGTTTGGGGATTACTCGTAGTTGATCTTCGGCGAGGGCGTAGTCTTCGACTTGCCCATCTGCGGCAGGCGACCTGCGGACAGAGCGAAAGTAAACGACCCCGCGTGGCGACGCCGGAAATACAGAGATTTTATAGAGCGACACATCCATCGGCCCGCAGGATCATATCAGATTTGCGAAAATTGTGAAAAAATGAAAGCTGCTATCTATCAAGGGAGACGTATTTACACTGATGGAAGGAAGTGCGTATATATAGATTATTTAGCGAATTAAGTAAAGGAAGACAACAAGTATGCATACATTTTACAGCCCTTTGGTTATAACTTGGAATAGTTGACCATAAAGAATGAATGTGTTATTAGCCGTGTTATATAAGGTAAAACAAACATTCAACATCAACATCCATGCCTGATCTAAAGTAATGCAGAGTTGTTCCATTTGACGTTATGTGTGAAAATTGCAATAATGTTATATTGAATTGAAGTTCAGTTGGTGGAAACTTTAAGATTTCCTTGGATCAACAAAACTGCCATTTTCTTTTTTCATCACATGACTAGAACAACTCTATTCTAGAAAGTATTGGTGTTGTTGGCGAGGGTGGTAATTCTGTGCTGAGCTAGTTCAGTATGTGGTGTGCGCTACATCGGTATTACCTCTACACATCGAATAAGTGAAACAAATGTATAATAAACAGCAAATATAACGTCTAAAGAAAACGTTTAAGAATGTAAAACCTGCAATCGCAATCGGCATCATTCACCGAACGCCCGGACCGACTGAATCGACGGATTTGGCGGAACGCCGGCAGCCACCCCAGGCGGGCCAGCGAACCTATGTGCCGTTTGTCAATCCTCGACACATACGAGTACGAGCGCGCCGAAGACTGCGGCCTGAACCAACCGCTCTTCGCCACTGAGCCTGATGTGGTGGTGACGCGCGTTCGCATACAAAAATAAATTCAATTCAATTCGTACATGAGTAACAAACGCTACGAGCACGTCCAAGTTCAAATTCAAATCAAAAGCTGCGTTGGTAGGTACAAAAAGGCAAAATTCTCGTGTTGAAACGGAATCAGTGGTGAATGGTGAGTGTTCAAGCTCAGTGTTCAATTCAAAACAGCCTCATACTCAGTCTCATTCGTGGTGAACTTTAATGTGGTGCTTGGACTAGTGCGCTCTCGGCAATTGTACAAAAGGGAGTGACGTGTGGGAGAAGTAAGAAAATAAGACCAAGACTGGACACTCACCGAGGAAGCGCTTATCCGGAGGATATTCGCCTGTGAGCGCTTTCATCAGCTCCTCGTAATCCCTGACGTTCTGGTTTTGATAGACGGGCACGGCGTACTCATCGCTGTAGTAGTCGATGTCGCGCTTTGCTCTCGCACCCTCCGCAGCTCCAACAGATCGCTTGAAGGGCGGCTTATAGCCGTTCGCCTTTGCCGATCCCACATTACGCTTCTCCATGGTGTTTATGCGGTCGTCTTGTTTACCCAGTGGCATTGGGTCATCCATGTCGTACGAACGATCGTTAGGTCCATGGATCTTATCTTGCCGCAGCAATGCAGCAACATTGCGCTTGCCATGCATGTACCCATCACGCGCCAATGCTGCCAGATTTCGTTTACCTTCTATTAGACGAGAGTTTTTCATGACAGCTCCTAAGTAGCGCTTCCCATACGCCGGCAGACTGTAAGACCTTGCTAGACTACCCAAGTTACGCTTCTCGTACAGATCATCAATGAGTTCTTGCAAGTCACGCTTACTGTGCAGCTCACCATTACGCGCCAATGAAGCTATACCACGTTTATCTTCATGCTGGAAGTTTGGTAATTGTCCACTACGTGCTAGACTCGCCAGACTGCGTTTATCTTGTTCTTCCTCCTGCTCTTGCTCCTGACTATCGGGCAGGGTGCGGATATACCCGCCCTTTGCCAGAGCTGCAAGATTCCGTTTAGTAGGCATGTTGTCCCATCGTGCGAGTGACCCGATAGAGCGCTTATACCCGAGCAGATCGTCCTCTAGATCCTCGCGCTGTAGCGCATCGTACAGGCGACGCACAATGTCTCGGCGGAGGACCCGCGCATGGATCGACGACTCACTCTCGGGCGAAAAGATTTTCTCCAGGACGTTGCTGATCTCCTCATCCGATTGTGCATATGTTTGCTGTAACAAGCATTTCAAAACATAAAACTAAAAACTTTAAGGAACTTTTTTCTTTGTTGAGCTGGCTGAGAACAAAGAAAAGCAAAACAATGCGCACACACTAAGCTGTCTACTTAAATATGGAGGATCATACGTGCCATTTCGCCAGGATGGAATTCTAAAGCGTATTAAACTTTCCAGAACAGAATAATGCAAATAATCAACTAGGACGAACGCCCCGAGTCCGAAAAGTTTTCCCTTTGCATTGATAAGTATACATTTCCCAGCGAGGCTCCGCGCAGCTTTGATATTATTTCAATATCACCCTTAAACAGCCCGCGGCGAATACGAGTGACTTCGTTGTGTCCACAATTGCTTTCTACATCTTCAAAGCCGGCACTTTTATGCTGCGGAAGTTCACATCTAAGAGGATCAACTTAGAGGAAACTCGCGAAAAGATTTGCAAGCCTTCAACGTCCATGAAAGGTAATCCTCGAATGAACACACAGCTCGGCCGGTTTTGTCAGCCTTGGGCTTTGCTGGAATCCATAGAATTCCAAGGAAGGACATTGATTCACTGATGGGCATCATTTAATTAGTCATAACCATAATCAAGTTTTTGCTTTATTGCCGAGAATTCTCGTAAAATGACAGGGGCGTAGGTTTAGACTTTTATGCGTGTTGCAATTCGTTGTAATAAAGTTCCGGATGCGGTATTAACCTTCCGCCGTTCTCTACACTCCGTACGAATATCATAACTCAACCGCCTTTGGCATTAGTGAAAATTCCTCCTACGTCCTTAAACCTTCTCGGAATAAAACGAGTAGGAATTTCAACGAAAGCCGCGCCCAATTCACTTTCAAGGGTAAACACCGTTTCTTTTAATGCATACCCCAGTGGCACCGGGCAATTTTTTTACTGTAATCATGATGCGATCATGTCATCGTAAAAACGTGCGATGTGAACTTCTTGCCACCGTCAGCACGCTCCGGCGTTATTAAAACGCGTGCCGTCCCACAAGTTCTAAAATGCGGGGCGGCGGCAATTAAATCCCGCTCGGCGCCGCCCAGCAATAACGTAATTAAAACGCTCGACATTGTGATGTCGCATAATGAATGCCTGCATGTGCTTGCCTTTTCCCTTCGGGGAGAGTTCACAGTAAAATTACGGTGTTTACGCGAAGCGTCAGCAAGGACTAAGCGCGTGCACTCGCAGGAATATTGCTGTCTCCCGAAATGGGCAGCTTGCATACCTATATGCAATCAAGCCTCACACTATAGCTTTGGAAAACAATGTGCTGGAATTCTGTACACGTTAATGACTTGTTTTAGCAGCACATTGGCAAACTCTCAGCATCGGGGGCGGGTGATCGTGAATACCGTTATCGTGCGAGGGTTATTACACAAATGTGCGTCATAGATGTCTTTGTTCCGATATTACGATAGTAGGCACGATCAGGGTATTGAATTTTCATAACTGGCGGTTTTCGCTTGACGCGCTTCCCTTTGTCGTGTTGCCACGACGGAAATGACTTCGCGTGCAACATTGTAGGACGTTATGCAAACAGTTTTCTAAATGTTTTACAGGACAAACCACTGGAGGTTGAAATATGTTTTCAAGTTTCTATCAATATTTACTTAATGGAAAATATTTGTTCGACATCAAGGTAAAAAAGAATTTATTGTTGTGGCAGTGAAGTCCTGTGGTGCACTCATAAAAAATGTACAATATTTACTTTCCTGCTGGCCTATTTAATTCTCAAATAAACAATAAATTGAAAGGGGCATTCGCTCCAAAAACACTAAACCTAATTTTGAAATAGAATTTTGTGTTAGTGACTTCTCTTTGAACAGGTCGCATACGTTGAATTATAAGCCTGCAATACGCGTAAACTAGCAAATATCCAATAAATTTTTTCAGGCAAATGACGAATTGTTAAGGTTAATCATAGCGCGTTCGAACGCGGTCTAGAATTAGCTTTGTTTCATATTCTTGTGCATTATAAACGGAATCAACAAGTAACAACTCGTTTTCTAATGTATAATCGTTAAACGTTAGACAATAATATTTCTAATTAAAATATGCCTATAAAATATTATATAAACACGATTCGAGCATGATTGACCATTCTTCGCGGCGCGTTAAAAGTTAATTTATTCTGTAATTAATTAAGTTTCATTATGCATCCTTTCGCTTATTAAAATTTTGCGACTACAGCGACGACGGCGACAGGCCGCGCGGCTCCCCGAAACTGGAAAGAATGGAAAGAACACAGCACCGACACGTACCGGCGCCTGTGAGTTATCCTTGTAAAAATAAAACGAGCTAAATGCGAAAACTGTAGAGAGTGAAGAACAAAGAACAAACAAACTGCTTGCGACGCGACTGCCATTTAGTCACTTACCCGGCCGGAATTAGTACTTCTCCGGACGGCAGAAATTTATTCACAAAATTAATTTAGCGCTTCAAATGCGCATTAGCATTAGAGGTATTGCTCTTACATTTTTTGTTCTTTTTCACTCTGTCATTCGAAACGTATAAAATGATGAAGTACCAACCAATGTTTAAATTTGTAAAAACCAACAAGGTAAGAAATATAGGATGAAAATTTTAATTAAAAAGAATTGTCCCCGTTGTGAAAGTCGCGCTTAAGTGGCGCTTGCATCTGGGCTCGCAAGCGAATAGAGAGCTCTGCACAATACGAATTTAATTAACCACCGTGTTGTGCATTCCATTCCAAAACACGATCGCGATTTAGCTTATTATCGGTGGGCCGACGTACACGTAATGTCGTAATGATACTCGCAGTGGAGAAACACAGCAGAAGAAATAGGGAAGTTGAGCTTATTGTGATTAAAATTTAATTAACGAAGAGTGCGGCTTGTGCGAATCTCAAGAGATTCGGCTCCGAACGTAATGATCGCACAATTTTCTCTGCATGCATGACTATGATTTGATTTTGATTTGCAAAGGCAAACAAACATGATCCATAGCAAACGCTGGAAAGCTTCTTGTGGACAGCATATCTGCGTTGGAATACCATAGCCCGTGGAAAACCCAAACAATTACCCACTATCAAAAAGAGACAGTGCGTATTTAGAACTCAAAATACGCATGATTTCCAAGTGGCGGTCAAAGTTAATTAGCAAGCGATTGCGTCGCGCCACTATTAACCGGCTGCATTTTAAATTGCAATAACAATTAACGTGAGCAAATTAACTGCGTGAGCGTTGCCCGCGCGCGAAGTTTCGATTTGCAATCCCATTACGTGCACTCCATTTGGATAATTAAAAGCACACTCTTGAGCGGCGTCTTTGGCCGAAATGCATTTGCATACTAATTACGAGAGACGAGACACGGCGCATCGCGCGCATGTCGCACATGCCCGTCTCATAGCATACAAAAAAACAACAACTAAACAACAGAACAACAACAACAACGACCGGGGCCAATTAAAAGCGCGCCGCGCGTCGGAAAAGCGCGACGCCGCCAACTTACCGCAATGCCACAGCACAATGCCAATACCACGACGCTGATTTTCAATATTCCCATGCCGAGCGGCGAATGTGACTTCGGCGGTCGTTGGCGGCGGAGGTGTTTACCCTGCCGATCACGAAAACACCTAACGCACCGTGCACTGCGGTTGTGGGTATGTGAGTGAACTGCACCTCTTGCACCTCTTCAACAAGTTATCAGCGGCGGTACGATCGTGGCGGCGAACTGCGAGAGCTGCGGACGATCTCCGGTGGCGGAAGCGGTGCGTGCACTGAGAGCGTCGGGACGCCCGAACGTCGCTTTTATATAGCACGCATCCCCCGTTGGCGGCGCGCCGCCGGCGCTGTAGCGCACGCCCGCGCGATGACGCGGCACATTTCGTCCCCCGTTCTTTTTTTCCTCTTGCTGTCGATGTCGTGTGGACCCTTTTCGAACGTTCCGTGTAAGGGTAGGTCTACTTCTGATGGTTGCGAAACGTAACGTAACGAAGACCACAATTTTCCGTACCTAACGCGAAAAGATTGAATCTAATAGATCTATTAGAAGCCTGCTACGCGTGCACCAGTTGCTCACCAAAGAGAAAATATCGAATAGAAATCACGATAAGATCGTCAGCGTGGAGATGGAGCGGGTTAATAGAGAAATAATGTTGACTTGGCCGAAAACTCGTCATTCCAATGTAAAGGGTGCAAAGGCAGTTCAGAAATAACTTTTCATTACTTTTTTTATGTATTGAAAAAGTGATCAATATTATTGTCTTTAAATATTCATCAATCATGTTGGGATTATATAGGTACCTACAGATAAAATAAAATGATTGGTTTGTTTTATTAGGCTAAAAAACATGATCATAGAGATCAGTTCCTATATAATTGAAAGAAAAAGTTCAGAGTAAAAAATTTGCCCTTATCGGAGATTATCTATTTTGGTGAAATATGTATTAAGTACTGATTCTGGCCAAAATTTGTTAAATAGAAAATGTATTATTTATTCATTAAAATAGAAATTTTAATGGGTCGGTAGGCAAATATCGGTTAATTGGTATTACCCTGATCAGATTACGCATTTAACAATAAACAAGAATTTTTCATCAAAATTATGGTTACTGATTGGGATATAATTTTCAAATAACTGATTCATCATACGAATAGATAATGGAGTTGATAAAAATCTATTGTTAAGTTTTCTCTCCATTTGCTCACACAAATGGCATCAAAATACATGCAAAATTTGGTACACTTATTATTTTTAACTATTAATAAATCATAAACTCTAATGACTTTAATTAATTTATCTGGTAATGCAATTTTAGTATCAAATTTATATAGTTTGTCTATTTCTTTGTAACATTTATAATTCTATTCCTAGACAAGTCCACCCCACATATATTATTTTTTCTGTTATGTTTAAACTCACATTTTTTCCGCAAGTGGGGACATGTCAATTAGAATGATACATACTTCCGAAGTGTCTTGTTAGATAACGCTATAGGCCTTCCGATCATATTGAAAGATTAAAGCAACTCTCGAATGGCGGTTGGCTTAATGATCCACTTATCAAAATGTTAACAAGGTGCAATGGGAATATGCCGATATCGCATACTCGTAAAAACGTCCACTAATCATTGCCATTTCAAACGCAGTAAGTTCTTACTTATAGAGAGCAACTGTAGTGTAATCGCACCGCACATGCACGCACATGTTTGCTCGTGCGGCTCTAATTAGTTTGTCTAGGCACTTATTGGAGTGCAATACGTGTTGTTATCAATATTTGAAATAGTCAACAAATCCTGAGTGCAGTGCCACGTGCGTGCGCGGGCGCTTCCGCTATTGCTACCGCCACTACGATTTGCGAGAGTGCGCGTTTCTTTAATTAAAATATTTTCGATTATAATTAGCTTTTTTAATAGTACTGGCATTTGCGCGGCGAGTTGCGCGATGGCCCACACATATCGGCAGCGTGCTAGTACTCGCATAAAAAGCAAAACAATATTAACTGCGCTATCGGCGGTGAATAAATCGACTATTGTGTAGAATTTCAATAAGGATTGTCTGTAACGACGGGCCATGGTCGGCCGGCCGGCGGCTTGTTTTGTACGATTCGAGAATTTTTTCCGCGCGCCGCCGCCGCATGCACGGTGCCGTGCCGTGCTTGGTGCCGGCCGTTTTGCTTCGATTCACTCCTTGCACTGGCGTTTAATGCGCACTTGTAATGTATAATGTATAAAAGGTGTAATCGTCAGAAAATATCAACAGGTTTAGAAGCAATTCTCCTTCGTCCTCTATGAACTTTTGAATGATTTGGCGAGCAATTTCAATCAAAAATTCAAAAGAGAATTTCTATTTAAAACACGTCGTAATGAACCATTTTGTACATATGGTATACGGTTAAAATTAGCCACAACAAACTCTAATGTACCCCCTTAAAATAATAAGTTTTGTGTTTTCATGCATATAAACTGTTTTATTATCTTACTATTTCTTTCATTGCCGTCATTTTCTGGTAACGATTATGTTCTATTTCCATCTATTATTTTTTTATGTGCTATGTTAATGTTAATGTTACGTACCTATAGTAGCTGTTAAGTCGCATTCTACATTTAATTCCATTTAAATAGCAGTTATGAGTATGATTATCTGTTCCTACTATGAATCAATGGAGTGCCGCTATTGGTTAAGCCAAACTCGGGTAATATTGTTTTTAGAATGGAATATTAAGTGTGTAACATGGCAGTGTTGTGTTTTTTGCATGAGTCGTGTACACTTTTGGCGCACTTTTGCATGTAAGAATTTTAATAGTTTTTATTTAATGGGTTGTAAAAATATTTATTGAATTGTGATGAATAGTTGTTGTTGTTATTGAAGCAATCTTTTATTTAATTTCTGGTAAAAAAACAAACGCTTCGACAGCACACATACTGAACAATTATCAACATTTATGGAATATTGGTATTTGAACGGCAGAATTACACACACATGTAATGCTATCAATGTTCCAGGTTTTATAATCTTATTTTATATATTTTATATGCTAACTTAATAAATACTATAAATGGAAGTACCTAAGTGTAAGTGATTGCACTTTTAAAATGCCATTACTTTTGCTATTATTATATTTAATTAGATCTAGTAGGTAGTAATTGTCAGTTACAAAACAGAACCGTTTGTTCACAAGACAAAGAATATAATACTGCATTGCCAAATTCGTCAAGCTATCGAAAAGAAAATGAAATTGAATTATCAATGCAAATTTGAATATGTTTTGCAGACACTCCAAACAAGAAGCAAAAGAATATATAGAAACACTGTGCAAATCAAAATTTAAATCAGGATCTGATACTGATGCTTTCAGAATTTTTAGAACAGAACAGCGGACCCTAAGTAAAGGGTAAGTTATTACAATCGACTATTTTCCATAAATTTTCCAGTTTGCAAAGAGCACTTATAGGTATATTAATAATAATCAATAGAAACTGTATAACCTACTATTCATTGGAATTCAAATATGTGTACGTCTGTTGCACTATAAAATCTGAGTAGTTAAAAATGTCAAATATTTATTTCAAAAGTTTGGGTAAAAAATTTAACATTGATGAAAAAAATTCGAGAAAGGAAAGAATCGAGACTAAGTGAATATGTGAACAAAATAAAAAACTAAACAAAAATAATTTCTAAAATGAGATTATGAAGATGCCCTCAGGGTGAAACATGTTAACTCAACATTTAAAATTGTAAAATCCAATAAAATCTCATAAAATTTTATAAATAAATATTTCAAAATAAAATGAGATAGGTGTATACTTTGAATGGTTAAAAGTTGTATGTACTCATCGTCATAGATATTACACACTGCTTTTTATTGTCAATCATTGCAATTCGTATCGGTTAATAACTATTTTTATTGTATTATTTACTTGTGAAAACTATACGAGCCATAATTGCCGCACCTGTGGAAACCATATGACTATCAACATTATTTTAGCAAAACCAGTTTTTTGCATAAGTTTGAAAATCGTTAATTTTTATTTTAGGTAAATTCACAACCTAAATGTGTTGTGACAGCAATTAAATTTGCGATTAATATAACAGAAATGCAATCATCTTAGTATATAGCCAAATTTGACTACAATACAAATATTCTTTTTCAACAGTCAACAATTATTTTCAGAATTTATAAATGGATTTTAACTGCGAGAATTTTTAGTCTATTTGCACTGAGTAAAAATTCTCTCAGAATCCATTTATAAGTTAAAAATGTTGCACAAAATTATCACCACAACCCAAGTATTCTTATTTTCAAAATGTCCAATTTTAGTTTTCTGTACATATACAAGATGTAGAGTCATATGTCTTTATTGGATGTATATTATAACTGTTCGGTTTGGACGCCGACTAGTCAGAACAGGTCGATCATTATTATTGACGATATTTGGAAGACTTTTAGTATTTACCCGTACAAATGTACACACAGTTTAATATACTATCAGTTTCATATATATTGAGAATGACAATCGGCAATATTATTTATAATATTTGTTTGCTTTTTTATACACCGGCAACCATAACAACATTTATTGAAGAAGTTATATAATTAATTAAAGCACTGTCTTTCCTTATTTCCTTTCTTTCTTCGTTGGCTCAAACTAAAATAAAATTAATCTTAGTAATATTTTTTTGTAAATATTAGAACAGACCAAATCTGTCCTGTCGGTTGATAGGAAGTATGTTTTGAACAATTAATAATTATACAGTTGATAAAAATGTTGTCATTTTGAACATTATAAATTTAAAGATACAGAAATCTACGTCCTATCAAAAATCGGCACATCACATATTGTAACAAAATGCGATTGGCTATGCATATAATATATCTACTTAAAATTGGAATGTATGAAAGAAAGATTGCAGCGTGGTAACGCGCATTTCTGCAATTGTCCTAATGGCCCAGGTAAGCCGGTGCGCGCGCACGTAAGAAGAAATGCATAATATTGTTATTAACGGCATATGGCGAATCGTAAATAACATTTAAAAAGAAAACAATTTGAAATTTAAAATGCCTGCGTCGATCGCATACAGTTCTGCGCGGCGTGCTTTACGCGCCTCTTTTACGATGCATAGTGGATTGATTTCAAGGCTGCACGTGTATAGCACCGGCTCTGCGATGGTGTGCGTCCGCAGCGCGCGGAATAAAAAAAACTGCACCAGCGCGCGTTTCATTAAGGCGCGATATCTCGGCGACGCGAGCTGTTTTGTTTTTATATTCCACGCCACGTTTTATTGTGCGATACAGAGACGGCGTTGGCGTGTAGCGCTCAGCCGTCTGAGCGGGTAGATTTCGGTAAACATATTTATAGTTGCTATTTGTTTATGATAAACGCATGTGCGCTAATTCGCCGACCGGAATTGCGAGCGCTCCTCCACTCCAGCGTACCCAGTCGAGTTGCGTCTTTCACACGCAGCACACGGAAGAAACACATAATTCAGTCAAATACTGAGAAATAAATATAATATATTCATCAAATAAACGAATTTGTTTGATGTGGGAAAAGTGCGCGAATTGGTAGACTGTCGCGTCATCGTCATCGTGCGATAATAGTGTGCAACTAGTATGGAACTGGTATTAAAGTATTAAAACGACTGAGCTAACTGCACGTTATGTACAGAGGAGAGACGCGCATTGGGATGAAGAATTAACGAGTAGATAAGCGAGTCAGACACACGATCGTAAGTAACAAATAGTTAGTTATTACAAATAGTGCAATGGGCGGAATATGTTTACCTATGTGCTGCATAAACAGCGTACTCAGCGGTTTGTTGTAATTCGCGCGTGATTACTACACCAACACACGGATATTAAATGCAAATTGGCATTCAACATTCGGGAATTCAATTTCCGTAAAAGGGCTTTTGATTTATACTTTGTGCGATGATTAATTGCTGTGATGGATTGCCCAGTGCCAATCACCATCTGCAATACCAGTTAAAAATTAATTTTTTTTATTCACTGGATTCCAATTACAAAAGTAGTAGGTAATATTGATTTTTGAATTTTTGGAATTTAGATTTAGATAATGGATTAGTTATGTTATATTTTAATACTTTGAATACTTTAATGTGAGTGCAGACATGCACAACCAATATGAGAGTACAAATATTACAGATCCAGCAAAATTTTACAATTGTTGGAAACATGGAAACCAGTTGTAAGCAACTGGAAAAAGTTTCAGGAGGTGATTGTAACAGTTTACTGTTTTTCTTTTGTATAATACGCTATTCATCGGAATCATAAGCAGGTGCAACACGCTTTTTCAATACTTATAATTCCGATTCTCTACAACATCCAACTGTCGAATGTAAAAAATATTATTTTATTTAACTACTCCAGGAAGTTGTAAGTAAAAACAAAATAACATCCGTGTGTACCTATGTATTTATTTGGTCATTGGCGTCACCAATTTGCGCTGGCAGACAGGCGATTATTCAATTGTTGTGTTCGTGTAGTCAGCCACCCATATATCCTCGAAACAATAGTTACGAGTACCGCGTAAACGGCGTTCCTACCTCCGTTCTGGCCCCCCACTGCCACCCCCAAAAAATCATGCAAATCGGTGCGTGTATCATTGAGATACGCCAATATTTTATTTTTGAGCTCCGCTGATCTAATTTTACGTCCACGCAAATTAGAAGATAAGTGTCGAATATCTTGCAATATTCGAATGAAACTTTATATAGTCTTAGTTAAACATTCAAAATCGTGATGTGCAGTTCAGATTACATTAATGTTTTGAAGAAATATTTTTTGTTTTTTTCACAATAGTGCAATTGTGGGCAATGGGAGTCATGCGACTCCCAATGGACGTTTTTGTCTTTAGTCCGCTCTAAATGGCCTATAAAAAGCAATGTGACTTATTTTTCAATAGCCTTCATGCAGAATAGCCATACTGCAGGAAAGTAACAAAACTTATGATTCCTATATTGGCACTGATGACTTATGCCAGGGCGATGGATGAAAATTTGGAAAACTGATGTCTAATGTGCAACGATTTAAAAAAAAACAACAATTAAATGTGGTTCATAGCACTTCATTTGGGCTATGGGCTCATGTGAAATGCACTGGGTGGGACTTTGCGGAATATTATGTTTGCGATATCTGCTAGATTTCGTTTGATTCCGATTGTCCCCAGGGTGACCACCATTACCCGCATGTCGGTGTAATGGGAGTCAAATCTGTTTTTTTTTTAAACTTTAATAATTTCAAAAATTGATTGTCAAAGTGACTGAAAATTATTTCAAATAATAGGTATTTAAGTAAACAATGCTTATAAGCGATTGCAATAAGTATTTTGTTTATAATTTAAATTATATTTGAGTTCTCCCTTAAGTGACCCCCATTACCCTCTTTTACCCTACAGTTTTCAATCGCCACAGAACTGATCGACGAATCGTATTATTAATCCTCCTGGCGCTGACACCCCGACCGCCACTTGGCAAACAACAGCCGATACTGCATCAACTTGAAACCGAATTATCACAACGCGAATCGATTGCTCGTATTGCTGGAGGCAACGACATCGACATCGCAATCATGAGGCGGCATGCGGCCATTGAAGCGTGCGAGGAATTGCTGGATAAACCCGAGACGCTCGAAAACGAACGTCGATTGACAATCTTCGGGACCAGCGGCGGGCGCCGCCCCGGGACGTGTTAAATTCGTCCACGGGCTTTATTTATATGTGTAAGCTGTCAGTACGTGATTCCCGTCGTGGTGGCTCCTCTTTCAGTTTGGGCTATCCGAGCCTGAATAATCACTTCCACATCTGCAGGCACGGAACATACAGATCGCACAAATAGGAAATATGAAAATGGATTTTCCGCGTATACACTTGGACTCCAGTTTCAGCGACGAGTTAAATGTTCGAATTCGTTGCTTGTCACTTGCAGTCCTTGCATGTAGCTGCAAGGGTGGGCGATTCCTATCAACAATCTAACTTTGGATTGTGATTTCCGGAAGCAAGCAACATAATTTTGCTGCAATTTTTTCACGTTGGTCAGACTCTACCTACTCTCTGGATGGGCGAAATGATGCGTGAAATTGTCGGAATTCATTTTTCCTTACACTCCACTTTCCACAATCGAGGAAATCGATACTGGCCGCCTTCGACTGTCCATTTCTTTGATCGACTATTTCCATTTCCAGAGACTGTTACTTTGCTACATTTTTCGCATGTTGAACTGTTGGGTTTAGCGTTTCTGTTTGATGTCGTGTGGAATTCACGCTTAAATTCAATATAAACGTCGGTCGTATTTCCTCTGTACTGCATCTGCGGCATACCAACGAGCCTCGTCTATTTGCGACATATTTCAAGCTGCTCGTTGCGAATTGCGAGGACGTGCGGCGCCCAAATCGCGATGACCCCACTAAAAGCTGGTTTTCAGCATTTTAGCAGCGATACAGCCAGTTTCAATTCACGAATGCGCCCGCGCCACACGAAAATAGAAAAAGCGAGAATTTTCGGGTCGTTTGTTTTCGCGCCACGACAAAGTGAAAACAAATACGCATAGTTTGGCTTAGTTAATAATAATCGGCGAATGCGATAAAACGGAGAAAACGCGCAGCATGGCATACACAACGTCTCGTGAAAGCACGTTTATCAAATCACGGCGTCGGGTTCATTTCGCGCAATAATTTGTCTGTATTGAGACTCGTCGTTGTCGTTCTCTCTGGTTTTGTTTATTCAACTCCAAATCGCACCAACGCAAGGTGCATATCACATTCACGGGCGTCCGTTGCCCGCCGCGCAGCACATTCTATTATTCCAATTAAACTTGTTTGAATAAGAACTCATTTAATATACAGTTGGATAACACCACATTAAAATGCAAGCGTTGAAACACCGCATCGCAACACATTTACGTAATTTATTCGATTATTGCATTTTTGTGCTTGTCTCGCTGCTCTAAAATGCACAGATAGATTTGTAAGTTTACTTAACGTGAGAGTGTTTGTTCACAGACCCAAACATAATGCCGAACCGTCTGAAGCCGCGCAGAAGCTCCCGAAAATACTCAAGTGATGAATCCGCGGTGGGACAGATGTGTGAGGAGCTGGAGGTGCCGCAAGCTTCCGAAGTAGTCTTCAGGAAGATGTGGCACATACGCCGGTATTCGAAATCAATCGGAAGGAATGATACGATCGATAGTCCAGTCTTTCGTTGTTCGGTTAATGGGCTGACAACCACATGGAACATGGCGATACGCTTCTGGAAAGGTGCCAATGACAAATAGACATTTCAATATGTTTTGCAGCAACAAGCACTTGCGCGTGCGGCGCACATAAATCATTACACGTGGCGCACGCAATGTCTAATTAAACAAATCGAAGTACCGGCTGTTTTAATGCGTTGTTTGTAGGTCCGAATGGGAAAAAAGTGCGCAATCCGGTAGTTGTCTGCTTGAATCTAACAGGATGTGACATTGAGGAGACCGAGCAGGGTCAAGCACGCATTCGCTTTCAGTTTGGTGTGTGGGATGCCAACATCAAACATTGGGAGTGTTGTTCAATCTCTAACGTGGTCTTAAATCTCCAGAACACTCAGGAACTGCTTTCGGTTGGCTATAAAAATCTAGAGATACTCTCTAGGCACATCGATGCTGGTAAGAAGTCGCTTTATATGATATTTGAACTGCAAAATGATGTTATTAAATGTTTCCAGCCAAGGATGTAACGATAATGGTCAAAATACAAATAGTGCAGGCTGAGGAAGAGAGACACAGTCTGAGCCAGGACCTGGCGCGCATTTTCACAAAGACCAATCCAGAGTACATGGACACTATGGTAGAATGTGGCCCAGATTCCGAAATCGCCGTAGTTAGTAAAACTTCAGAGGCCAAAGAGGAGCCGCACATCGAACTGAACAAAATCCACGTCAACAGTCTGATCATCAAAGCGAGGAGTCCGATGCTCGCCGTCATGCTGATGCCACATGCCGACGAAAACAATCAGGTAATGCACCGGCTCAAATTTCCGTGTGGGAAAACAGGCCGGTGCCTGCACAACATGTTTTCACGCAATTTGTTGCTTCGTAGTATTTGAAATTCCGGCTGGACCTCAAGGAAATCAATTACGGCCTGCTCGTTGAGTTGTTCCGCTACATGTACACCGACAAGGTCGACTCAATCGAAGCCCTAGCCAATAAACTACTTCCCCTCTCGGTGAAGTTCTGCATGCCGGGACTGCAGGCGCTATGCGAACGCTCTCTCATGGAGTCCATAACGCCAACCAACGTCGCCAACATCCTTCTGCTGGCCGATCAATGCAAATGCGAGAATTTGCGCAAAGCGGCGTTACACTACTGTGAGGACTCCGAAGCCATCAAAGAAAACGTCGTCGTTGGTGAGTGCTTTAACTATGCTCTAACTGTAACGAGTTGGGCAGCGCCTGCCCTAATTTTCGCTTAATTCGATTACTGTTCGCCGTTTCAATTTTGCTCCTCAGCAGGGAAAAATCTCGCATGGCGAGTGATGGAGATGTTCAACCCGGACCTATTCCTCGAGGCGTGCGAGAGTATCGGAAGTTCATCGAGCAACCTCGACAGCCCATCTACCACAGGCTCGTTTAGCGACTTCTAAGGACACTGCAATTATTACAGGAGACGCCTACACCGGGTCCGCTTACATTAGTCGCAGCATTATGTCACAGATATTTTTAATGTATGAATCGTAATGGCGGTTACATTCTTTTACAATACTTTTACTTCACTATTTTCTACTAAATATTATTGCGATTGCGACACAACGATGAATGCAAAATACAGTTAAATTACGATTATTTTTCAAATACAATTACATGTAAACGGATACATAATAAGCACAATCTTAATAAATTCGTTCGGTTACTTATTTTAATATAACACAATTAATATCAACGTAATCGCCAAAATGTGGGAAGAAAACTTACGTTCATTTAATCACAACATGCATAATACTGGTGTTAGTACGTAAGTACACGTATAAATATTATTAAAAACTAACAAAAACGAAGCATTTCTGTGTTCAATGGCAAAAATTAAAACAGCCGATCATTTTGGACAATGAAAATTGTGTAAAAATATTGGATTTTGTAAATAGTTGTATATCAATGATTTTCTTCTCTTCTCGTTATAAGTACTTTTGATTAATGCTTCCTTACTTTCGTTACAATCAGCCTTTCTAGATTACATTCGAGGGTCTAAAATTTAATAAAAATATCAATAAGTTATTAAAAACTGCCCTAAGTACTTTAAATAGATTTCCTATCAAGATTTGTGCGTCGATAAGTATTAAATATTGCTAAACTATGGACACTGGTTAAATTATGTTTGAAGTAACGCTTATTGTGCCATGAGGATTCGAATACTCGTGTTAAAATGTGATAAAATGGGATGATGTTTACGCTCTAGTCAATAGCTGCCTTGCTGGCAAAGGAAGTCAACGATGATATTTCATTCGCGCTGGTGTCCGATGGCAGTCTGTTGAATTCCACTTCTTCGGCATTTTCGCCACAAATCGGCTCGGACGGCCATTGCTTATGACTCGGTGCGTAGAGGATCAACAATGTCATGATGTAGATGTTCCACATGCCGTATACACCGGTGAAAATTGCCGAAGACAACTCCAGTTGATCAGCATTGTCGTCCCATTTGTGATGTCCTTCGTTGAACTGGCTTAAAATGAAAGAAGCAATGGTTATAGCTGCGCAAACCAGCGTCGCCAACATCAAGAAGTTGAAGCGGTAGATGATTCCTTCATAGTGCAATCGTCTGGCGGAGGACATGTTCGGAAGACTGCTGCGCTTGATGCTAATGTTCTTGAAGACGTTCCACACCATGTAGCAAAGGAAGACAAAGTAGATGCACGCAGAGATGCCGGCCAGAATAATGAACGACAACGCAAGGTTGGTGCCAATCGGTGTTACCCAGATGGTGTAGAAAGGATTGACAAGTTGGACGCCGCGTTCACAAAGGTCAAAAATGAGCAGCGATGTGCAACCGATGGCGATGGCGCTGAGATGTTTCCAATACAGTCGAAGTGTGTTCTTTTCGCCGTTGTCTTGAATCAGCATGTGCTCACCGGCGAACACCAGCCAGAATGACAGCAACATTGCGTAGAATATACCCTGGCGGATATCGCCAAGCAAGAGCATGTAGGGCATCTCAAAGAACAATGTGAGATACTCTAGGGGCATGTCGAGGAATGCCAAAGTACCACCCAGGTACATCAGCATGTACTCAAGCAAAGCCGGCGTGCGCTCGAGAATATGCACGCGATGCCAGAACCAGCACATTAAGCCAACAATCAACGGGAAGAATAAAGCCTTCAAGGATAACCAGACCATAGTAAACCCTCCATTCATATGAATCAAATGGAGAGTTATTTCCCACAACCAACCAAAGTTATTCGTCTTGCCTGTTGCTGATGAGGGCAATCGAAGATTCAACAAGTAATAATCATGATGTAGCGAACCTAGCTCAAACAACGGTACAATCGTACAATTGTACGGGTATCCGTCGTTCTTCTCTGAGCTTAACCCATGGTCCCAGTCACAATCCATCAGCCGCCTCTCAGTTGCATGACTATGATAATGCCACTGGGTGTCGTCTTTGTTACGGTATGCTAACCTGGCGTCGAGTATTAACTCGATGGTATTGTCCATTTTGAAATCCTTACCATGCGCGATCTCCATATGTAATACGCCGACGAGGTTCTGTTGCCAGCGGCTGAAGTCGCGCGTTGCCATACCCATGGGCATCGCCATCACGAAGACGAGGTCTTTGGCGTTGAGCTCGTTCATTACAAAATCCTTGCTGTGCAAATCGACTTTGCGGCAATCTTTGGTGATGAAGCGTGTTGTGTCCGGATTGTCCGGTTGCGGGTCGAGGCATGTCGTCGCCACGATGTGGAACGTTCCAGCCGGCGAGGGTGCGATTAGGCCGCCGATAAGAAAGCAGGCAATTTCGCCGACGAAGAGGGTAGCGACGAGCACCCCCAGCTTACGCCCACTGAGATTTTCGATGATGGTGCCCGGCATTGTGCGCGATACTTTGTTCGCAATCGAGAATAAAACTAACACTGAAACTGTGGCTGTGAGTGCTTACCACGCCATTTGCAAACAATTTCGACTTCTTTAGATGCTGGACGTTGTTAGATTTACCAGCGCCGGTATTTACAGATCAGTGAATCAAACAGTACATATACCGACATCTTACGTGGAAATTTCAAAATATGTATATGAATGTATATACCTTTTTATGACAAACATTATTTTATACCTGCATGATAATTGGTAGTCATTTATAAAACAAAATAATTAATAGGTTGACTATTAGAAATCCATGTGAAATAACAATTTATCTAAAGATTTCCTGTTCCATGCTTAAATTTTGTGTGTGGTTTTATGTTCCGTGCTGTCATCTACATTTAAATTATATTTCGTAGGAAGTACGTATAGAAGAATGCCTATATTACTACATTACTGTTTTAAATTAAAGTATATTAAAAATTATAATATATGAGTCTATATATCTAAATTTAATTTAATAATTTAATAAAAAATTATTTCAATTAATAATACAATAGATATAAAGCATACGCATCATGATTTACAAATTGGTACAGTTCAAATTTGAAAAATTCTGGTGTTATTTATGTCTGTTCACACAAATAAATTTTAAATTACAATGGTTCCGTAATTAAACACCTAAACAATCAAATGTAATAGTCAAAATAAATAAATAATAAAACGCTGACAGAACATCCACAGTTTTGAGCTAGTTGTCTATTGCGCACAATGTGGGCGCATTCCCGCAACATTCCGCAACCCGCAGCCCGGGTGCACGCAGCCTTCGAGTCGGTTTCTGCCTTCGACAGCGGCGGTGCTTGCTGCGTGGTGGCCATATTGATTTCTGATTCGTATGCAACGTTCAGTGCGCGGTAAGCGGTCGTGTAAAACCAAAACGTGAAACGAAGTGAGTAGTGCATCCGACCTGATTCGCCCACAACAAACGTCGTCCAAATGCAGTAATCCGACTGTGATTGATTGATAAATCTTTTTTTTTATCATAAGCTTTAACTAGCGCCGTTTGCGGATAACGCACAGCGCGTCGTTCAAAAAATGGGTCGCAAGAAGAAGAAGCAGTCGAAGCCATGGTGCTGGTATCCTTTTTAAACGCGTACATCGTGACTATTAATAACTGCACGCTTGCGTTTTCATTATGTAATTGAATGTTTCCTTAACGTATATTTGCACAGGTATTGTAATAGAGAGTTTGAGGATGAAAAGATTCTCATTCAGCATCAGAAGGCAAAACATTTTAAGTGCCACATATGTCACAAGAAGCTCTACACTGGGCCTGGTCTGTCCATCCACTGCATGCAAGTTCACAAGGAGGCAATAGACAAGGTGCCAAACTCATTGCCAAACAGGTCGAATATTGAGATAGAAATCTATGGCATGGAGGGTAAATATTGAACTAATAACTAAACTAAAATTAACGACATGAATGCATTATATTATATTGTTACTTAGGTATTCCGGCCGCTGACCTGAAAGAGCATGAAAGGCAAAAGGATGGTGGCAGAGGTGGTGGTGTGTCTGATGATGATGATGATGAACCGATTGCAAAGCGAACGAAACCTGAAGGTCTCTTGGGTAGTGCACCAGGAGTAATGCAGGGAATGCCAGGCATGGTGCCTGGAATGATGCCGCCGCATATGGCTGGCATGCCCCCAGGCATGCCCATGGGAATGATGCAGATGGGTCATATGCCATTTATGCACCATGGGTAAGCATTTTAAAGTTTAAATATGTTTGCCTTGTTAATCAACGGTCGTGCAATGATATTTATTAATATAGTGAACATTTTTTAGCATGCCGATGATGCCACCTCACATGATGATGCAGCAACAAGGCGGGCCAGCAAAACCGCTGTTTCCTAGTGCCGTGCCTTCTTCGTCTCCTGGCACTGGCGGTGCCATTGTGGGTGCCGACTTTAAGCCAATTACGACAGGTTTGACTTAGTTTACAATTCATTTGTGTATTATTTGCGTTTGGCTCAAATTATGCACTAAACTTGGAAATGTAACGCCAAACACGCACCAAAGCCATGGAAATAATGCATGACTAATTGCTTATACGAAAGCATGTTAATTGAGTCACCTCGAAAAGGAAAACAATCAGAATAATGCATGCATTACAATTTCGATTTGTTATTGGCAATTAGTATTATTTATGTTCTTTTTTTTAACTTTGTGTTTCAATAACAGACTATGAAAAGTATTTCTGATGTAGGTGCAACAATAAGCGCGCCGCCAACGACAAATCACCTGCACGCGGGAGCGTCACACGACCCCAATAAGCTGAACACTATCAGTACTATCGGCGCCGCGAGCAAAATCATCCATCCAGCCGAAGACGTCTCTTTGGAAGAGATACGCGCTCGGCATCCCAGGTACCAGCGTTGTTTACCCCCGAAGAGCAGCTCGGAATCACCTACAACGCCAAGCACGAGCTCGGCATCCACAGAGGTAATAAATAAATAAAATACCATAAATGTCTCCATGTCGTTTTTTTTACCCGCAATGTGTGTGTGTGTGCGTTCATGTTGTAGTTGGCGATGGCTGTGTCAGCCGCTCAGCAGGCGGCCGCACGCCAGCAAGATCTCATCCAGGCCCAGGCGGCTATGATGCAGCGCTTCCCGATGCGACCGACGATCAGCATCGCCGGCACGCCAGTGCGAAGTATGTCCATCGTGGCGCCAATGCGGCCGATGGCACTGCCGGGACCAGCCACGCTCCTGGGGGGTCCGATCATGCGTCCCCCCATGGGCATGCCACCAGGTAGGAGTCACTTGCGATCACACTAGCCCTCCCTAACCTAGCCGCGCGCACACCAATTACATGCATTGAATCCTGACAGAATATATTACGCGTGGGCTACAGCGCTGGGAAAGGTCCCCGCGCTTGGGCATGCACCTTGCGATCTTGTTATGGCAAGATGTGCATTGCTCATATGCTGAATTGGATGGCATAACGAGTTACGTTTTGCACCTTTGTTTCTTTCTCTCGGCAGATGCGAGAGCATTGCGATGCATTTAATATTCATGCATTCGATTAATAGCTAGCACCGATAATTTCTAGACTCTTACATTATGATTGTACATTTAGAGAGCGCTTAGCTTTTGGTCCGATCTTATATTTTCGTTTGTTTGATTTTTACGAGCTATGATTTCGTTGATCTTTAGCAGCTAGCTTTCCAGACTTAGGGTCGGCTTAACTAACGTTAGATGAGCCATTAACCTGCTATTAAAATGCCGTCGCGAAAATGACTTTCTAATCATGCATTGACTTTGGTTAAGCCGACAAGATAATGCCACGAATTGTCCTTAAGATTGAATGCTTGCAAGCGGGGCGAGTGCGTGAGTGGATGGGTTGTGTGAGCGTTGAATGTTAAGCCCCTGTTCGGCCATCGCGAGAATTTGACATTTGATGACTTGAGTTGAGTTGAGTTGTGAATGCGAATGTTGTGTGTGCATTTGTTAATACGGTGTAACAAAGTAAGAACTAACCGATTTAATGATTGCTTGGCATTAAGCGTGCGGCCTGCATCGCCCGATGTAATGCGCCCGAACATTTCCCGAAACTGAAAGCGGCTAGCAGAGACTGAACAGAAATGTAATGCCTTGTTGTCTTTTGTGTTTTCTCTTTTTGAAGATATGAAAGAATCGTCGGTTACTGTAATGTCAGTTTGGGGCTCGCCCGCCTCCGCCCAGGTACATACATGCAATCTATCTATAAATCTATCAATTGTATGCATATGCCTACACATATGTGTATGACGATAGCAATTTACATATACTTATATTATAACTATATGAATATTTCGCACTCAGTGTTTGGCATGCCTTTGCATACGAACTTATGTCACTTGTATTTTTTACTTGATACAATACGCTTACCAGTTTTGTTTTGTTCCTTGGTTTTCGTTGATTTTTGATTCTGGAGTTTGGGTTTTGTTTGGGCTATTGTTTATTTCTAGGCATTTTATTTATGTCGTGCTACTATCGAGTTTAATGTTCGACGTTGATGTTAACTGGGAGCTAAGACATATTGGTTCGAATTTGTGGGCTGTTCATTGTGATGCCGAACTGATTGTTCCCAGTTTGCGTGTGTTTAGCGATAGTCGTAGCGCCACTAATCCCCTAACAGCGTTTGTGCCAAAATAACTTACTAACATGATAATGATTTTTTGAGTTCGGCGTCAAAATGAACGGCAAATGTAGTTGTCGTAATGAAACACATTTAAACCTAATTCTGCTCTTTGTACTTATTGATTAACTGGTGTGCGTGATAATGGGCAATAGCTGAAAATAGTAAGTGTAACTCATGTCCAATATCTGTGTAGACATTTGTGTGTTTGGTGCAATTAGCTAAATTTGTATTCGCAAATGCATTTGAAATTCAGCCGGGTGAGTATTACTGTTAGTTTTCTTTGCAAACAAAAGCGACGATTTGAACCAATCGGTCTTTGCCGAACAAACGAGCGAAAGCTAGAATGCTGCCCGAAGTGCAGCACCTCAGCGAGTAACATGTATATTTGATTCCTAGCAAACGATTGCAACATTATTAGGGACATGTGCCAGTATTATTACATATATATAAATATATATATATATATATATAAAATACACATATATATCTTTGTTGTGTGGCTCTTGATTATGGTTTTTCTTTGAATATGTGCTTGCCGCCAATGGCGCGCCGCCGTCTGTGACCTCCGATCGCTAACCGTTCTTCTTTTTGTTTGCCACAGGTATGATCGGTATGCCGCCCGGCATGCTGTACGGGCCACCGATGTTCGGCGCCGGTCCAGTCATCATGCAACCGCGATTCAGATGATCTCACCAGGCAACGGCGGCCGCAGCCGCACTCGTCGCCGCCGCCGCCTCCATCGGCTCGCCTGGGGGCACGCTGTTCCTCAACAAGAAGTTGTAATGTGCGACCGACTCGACCCTGCTACCGCAAGTCTTAACTCTTTAAACTTTAACTCTTAGTATTTTAAAATCGCAACACCCTTTTAACAAGTTAGAGAGCGATCAGTCGACGAAACAGAACAAACGTCATACAAAAAAAAACACAATACTAATATCAAAGCGAAACTCAAAATCAAACACTTGAGCAAAAAGGAAAACACAGCACACTGGCCCTTGCCGCTGACGGTGACAGTGAAGTTGCACGGCCGTCGCTCACACCACTCACCCTTTTAAAAGATTGCAGATGTGTGCATGCCACATGAACGAGTGAATGTTCTTTTTGTCCCTCGGTGGTGTCGTGCACGCATTCACCTCATTGTTATTTTATCTACTTTATACATTATTATTTTTGCTAATTAGCTGTCCTCCTCCACAATATTGGTATATACGCTGATTACGTTTGTTTTTGATTATAGGTGATGAAAATGTTTTTAACCCGGCATATGATGGCTGGCGGTATGTAAATATTGGGATTATTTTATTTATACTTAACATTTCTTAATATTTTATTTATAATTTTCGACTATTAGTTTGTTCTGTTATTCCGTCATTGGTTAAGTTATCTTCTTTTAATAGTGTGGCGGTGACACGATGTTGATGATTTTTATACAGGACACTAAAACACTGTTTGCTTAAAAATGCGAGAAAACGAGCACAGGTTAGTGTTATTTTTATTTTTACTTTACTGCGACGCCTTGTACGGGATCCGTTGTAATCATATAACCACATTTATTACCGCAAAAGGTTTGTACAAACGTTCAAGAAATCAGGCTATTTACAGTCACATTTACACAAATAATATATATCTCTTCAAAGCGTTTTTGAACGCAACAAAAAAATTGCATTTTTATAATTTTTGATGTGACGACCGAAGGTAAGCACGAAATGATTGTGACCTTTTCCATTGTTTCGTTGTGGACGAGGATGTGAACAAAAATTACGTTTGGCTCTATCACTTTATTTTTCTTTACTTCCTTGCTGTAGAGAGTTTATTGTTTTGTGCAATTTTAATGTTCAATAATTATGTGTCAATTTCAATATGCGGCGGCGAGATCTCTACGCGTCGAGCGAAATTCTATTCAAATTATTTAAATCAGGTCCGAAATTGCCGCCGCGTTGACATCTCGCTGTTGCGACAAGGTTTGGAATACTTTATGTAAAATATAAGCGAAATTCGAATAACCCAAAAACATTCGAAAAGGTAGGTGCCAAGTAGCTCCTATTATAAATGTTTTTGCGATTAAAAGAATTGAAAATTAAAAACGCAAGCAAATTGCACCCCAAAACAAACATGCAAAACAAAAGGTAAACAGTTCAATTATTATAAATTATTGGAAATTATTGTTATACGCAAATTAATGTATGTTGTATAAGGTAATTTTAGACAAGTATAAGATGAGACGAAGGTTGCGATTTGTATGTGGGATTATGGGCGTAATGAGAACATTTTTTAGATGAATGATAAGATTGGCAGGCGACTCAGCGTCACAGCTTGCGCTACAGAGCCCAGCTGTTGGACTGGACAACTCCCTGTTTTGTTTACGACGCGATTCCATCCATCCCTCTATTTTGATTTCGGTCACCGATTGCGCGCCACTCGTACCGCGTTCGCGTTCAATTCAATTAGTTCGACAGGACTCGCACTTGCATTGCGCGCACAGGAAACGCGTCGTACTTCAAAACAGGTGATTTTCGATTAAGTCACAGCGAATTGTTTTTGTTTCATTTGATTGTATGTTACACTCATGGAGTATTGAATGTGGAGGCGAAATGATAATGCTGTTTAACGAGTCTTGTGGAGAAGGTTGCTTCATTATGGGGGCCCTCTTTAAATAGCTGTTGGGTGTCCAGTCCCTTGCCGTTAATTTATGAATCATATGATACCATGTGGCTTTTATCCGATGTGAACAAAACGCAGGCGATCGTCTTTTAGACGTAATAGACCAAAGACGATCACAGGACGTTTTCGCTCCTGTTGGACATTTCGCGCTATCTGCATTCACGCATCGCGCGACAGCGTGCGAGCGGTGTACGTGCGGGAAGGTCGAAATGTTCCCTGTCTTGACTTGAATTCGCTACTCCTAGCTGTTTCTCTTTAAATGTGTATTTGAATTGACTTTGTAGACTTTTCGCATTTAAATTTACAACCGATATGCAAACAGAAGACAAACAGAGAGCAAACCTAAACATCTTTACTGACGTTTCACTTTTTGCAGAACAGTAGATAATGTATTTGTTTCCTGATAAGGAAAGTTAACTTATAAATAAAACAATCAAAGGAATTAAAGAAGTAAAAATAAACACGTGTGCATGTGTTTTGTATATCCTATCAACTTTTCTGTTCCTGTTGTTCGCTTCCTTTCAGTGTTTGCAGGTGTTTCTCTGTGGGGGATGTTTATGCGTGGGTTGGTGTACGGGGAAACGATATGAACTGATAAATAATTTGTTTTTAAAGGAATACGTCAATAACTACAAAATGATGGGAATGTGTTTAATGTACCAATGCGACATGGGGAAATGTCGCGAGTAATTAGTCAGAGGAGAAAATCGATTTACGACGGGATTTTAATTGATTTTTCAAATCATGCGCTTCCGCACGTTATGTATTTCTGATGTAAAATGTGAAGAAGTCTCGTAAACAAGGCGTAAGCGGGCGGAATAACAGACAGAATAAAAAACAACTCCCGCCACCGGCGAGTCACACGGGCGTGTAACGCCGATGTGCTTTTAGTTGACCGCTGCCGCCCCGTTGCGTTTACATTCTTTATTACTTTACCAGCGACCGGCTCAATGTCGCCCCATCGCCACCCTCGACCACTGCGAATATTATCATATCGGAGATCGAGCGTTTCGCGACACGCTGCAAAAACAAATGCAACACAAAAATGAATGCAAGGACGCGAATTCTAACGCCGCCTGTATTCCGGATGAGTGTGTCCATTGCGTGGTTGGATCTTAGTAACATTTTGGTTGTTGCTGCCGAGATAATAAATAATTGAGTGAAGTTGCACGGCCGTCGCGCAAATTGACGATTCCCGCCCGTTTACGAAGATAAATAGAACGAACGCTATGCGCGGTGCGCGACCGCTTGAGTGCCACCCGCGACGCACGCAGTGTATATAAAGAGCACGCTTCTGGACGCTGCACCATCAGTGCTCCAGGTCCTCCCTCGACAGGAGCGCCGACCCGAAGATTGCGGACGCACTGACTCAGTCACCAGGAAGAGATCGTTGCGTGCGGACGAATATACGTCGCATACGAGATCATAGCGAGGAGGTGTGCGCTTGCGGAAATGGCACGGTTTTTCTTCATTTTCGGTTGGTGCCTTTGCTGCGCTGCGCTGGCCGCTGGCGTGCCCATGATGAGCGTCGTCGAAGCGGAGAGCGCTCCGGCAGACATTGAGGAAAACCAACTGAAGAAGAGGAGCGCAGCGCCCGAGAGCAACCACGATGACTACCCCGATTATCTTCTCGGCGTCAAGTATGATGAATATCCGGTGAGTAATATCCTTCAGCTTCAACTTTGTACGCCTCATATTATACGTATACGATCCGCTAACTTTGTTGATTGCTAATTACTCAAATTAGAAATAAGTTTTACCGCTGCTGCAGCGCGTGGACCAAAAACTCGCGCCTTGAAAATTAAACTTAACATCCTGATTGCTCGGCCAGATGCAACAGCATCTACACGTGTGTATATTCGACATGCGAGTCGAGTGCGCGAACTTAATTTGCATCCCAATACTCACTCGAACAACCGCGCAATTCCCGTGTGATCAACGTTTGGAGCCGCGTCTCGAAAAGTTTTAATGATTAAAGTAGCCTTCGCTCTGTAATTAAAAAATTCAATTATAAAACCATCTTTCAAGCAGTGATTTGCGAGTTACCCTTAGTTTGCCGCTTTTGCCACTTTTGTGCTTGTTGTTTTGTTTGTTTGTCGTGTGCATAATATCGGCAATAAACCGTAATCCGAAGCGACGAAATGAAAATTTAATAACCACTTGAAAACGCGCGGGACTTTTTTAATTTTCATCTTTTCATAACTTGAAGAAAAGTAGATAATTGTATATTTCTTACAAAACCGTGTAACATCAACGCATCACGATACAGCTTACTGTTTACTTCGCCCAGCTCCGCAAAGAAGTTCAAAAGTTTAAGCTGGTTTAATGTTTGTTTAATATAAAATACTACTGTTAGTAACTTGAATATGGGCACACGAAGTCGATAACTTTACGTTGAAGCTGGTTACCTGGTACTTACATACAGAAAGCTTATGCACGAGAAAAATGAAGCGTATACCTCATTTAAAAGTTTGAAAGTTTTCCAAGGCTTGAAAGCAATTATGCAACTAGTATGCTTGCCTGTTTATGCATGCGTTGATCAATTTAATCCAATTCAATCAGGATTTAATTTGGCCGGGTGCCAGGTATCCTGCACAGATTTACGGAAACAAGTGTCAGCGGTAAAGTGGACGATTACTTTAGCATGCGCGATTTAATTAGGAAGCGAACGTGTCATCGCCGCCGGACAAGGCGAGCTAGTGTTCACCACTGGCGGAGGCAGTTCGACTCATTTGACGTGCGTTTGCGTTTTAACCGGTAACAACTGATAATTGCAAATTGCAATTATTCCATTATCGTGCGCCAGTTCGAGTGGAAACTGTTTGGATGTCGAAAAGTGCGCCCCCAACGAACATCAAGGCAATTAGAAGTGCGCGATCGCTAATACAAGTAATTAGAAGCATTGAAAACGCACACGACGTGTTTCAATTAGCGCTAGAGTTGTTTGTTTAGCTATTGTTGAGTCGCAGCGCAACACCTTTATTTTTCAACCGCGGGGGTGTTTGTATAAACCGTTATATAGGATTTGAATAATTGGCCGTCAATGTGTTTGTTATTCAAATCCCAGTATTATGGAGCTTTTACTGCAGTTTAATTAGTCACAATCTACTCAACTATGCAAATATTTTCAACATAAAATAAGGAAATTCCGAAAATCCAAGCGTTACAACTCGTACTTTGTGCATTGTTGATAGGTACATACAATTTGTGTAATAACGCATCCACCCGGATCCCACGTAGGATTTGTTTACCTTTGTAGTTATTATGGGAAAAATTTTGTTGCCTTCAAAGCACATATTAAACCATTGCCACTGCGCTAATTTCCAGAATAGTCCCTACGCTTATTCGTAACAAGGTTTTATTTTCCAAGAATACCAAACCAGATTATTCGTTTCCTGTTAATATTATTTTTTTTATAATGGCTGGGGTAATTCTTTCCATCAAATTCTGAAAAGGTGTCTATTATTGTCAATATTGATATTAGCTCAACAGAACAGAAAAAGAAGGTACATTAACAATAATTTGGTAAATATTATTTATAATACGTTTTATGCATGTGTTAAAGATGCAACTATGTTTTGCATAGGGAAAAACAATTTGTGTTTTTTATTTATCAATTTGCTTATTTTGCTTATTTTAAAATGTCACTCTTTAAGAGACATTATTATGAGTCATAATGCACGTATCATGATTTACGACGTTTTGTCACTGCTTAGGTAAATATTTTACAGTGACAATTTTAACAATAATCAATAACATTTAAAAAACAACAAATATTTAATCGGTAGTCAACCAAAACAGGATTAGTCCACTTTGCTTCAAAGATGATAATATATCGAGAAAGCTTGTAGCAATTAACAATAAAATGAAATTATGGTTCTATAAATGTTTTAAAAAATTAAACAAATCTTGTTTTGCATTATTTTAGTCATGATAGTTTATGGGTTCTAAAGTTCTGAGGGAGGGAAATTGTTCTTAATTCATGATGCAACAAAATCTTTACATTCTACATTTTTAATATAGTATGTTAGTATGTACAGTATGAACAAGAGCCAATTTTTAGTAAAATCCATAAAACTGTAAAATTACAAATAATATTTCTTAATAATATACCAGAGGAGACGGATTTTCTAATTTGAAGAACGGTCCTGGAGAGAATATAAATAATATTAAGAATCGTTGGCGATATTTTTCGACTGTGACGGCAGAGACGAAGAGAAGAAAATTAAACTTCGAAAGGAAGAAACACTAAACATTTGAAGGAGGAAGGGTAACATGCCAGTGTTATCTCAGGTTGAATTGCTTGTATTTTTTTGCAATTCGTTTTTCAATTGTCGCCCGTGCTGCTTCATATTTTTTATGTATAGCAAACATTATTGATTTTTACTCGATGCTGCAGAATTTAATTTTAAATAATTGTGGTTCGGCTAATGTTTTTATCTCGTTATTTTTTACTATGTGGGACATAATTTAATTAATATTTATTAATAATATTTAGTATTACATTCAGTTCATGCCAATAAGTCCGGAATAATTTAGTACCTTACATTCATTCATCTATATATAAGTTTAAATAGATTAAAGATTTTTTTTGTAAATAAAGATATACAATTTGTTCAGTTCAGAACTGAAACACAAATCGTTTTTTGATAAGCAATCAGGGCAGACTGCAGAGTAACCATCGTTAATCTTCATTTTTCCAACTGTCTTGACAACCAATTCATTCAACAGGCTTCATGATACGCCAAATTCCCAACTTTTATTATTAAGAGTTACTGTATATCGTAAATATTGTCATTGAATAATGATATTACATTATGAGTGTTTACGTTTTTATTAATTGGTAATACAGTGAAAAATAATAAAAAAAAGAGCAGGTCAGCAGAAGCGAATTGTTTACGCGCAAGTTGGTGTAGAGGAACGTGTTATTCTCGCCACAGGGAATTAAAGATGCCTGGGGATCATCTGCCGTAACTGTTATGATTGCATAACGCTGGCGAACTATTTACGTCACCTTTGTGCTTAACAAAACTTGTAATCGCGCTATACATCGGTAATCCCAGCGACTTATATGTCACTCGATACCGCTTCGTTGTGCGCAGTCCAGCGCTGGTTTAATGAGGGCGAGTTAATAACGCAAATGTCATCGGAAGATTAAACGCATAATAAACGCACACGCCTACAACGCGCATACTAATTGAACGCAGTATTTCAAACATATTCGAGAGGTCCGCAAACTTTTAAGCGATTTGCCTGTTTCGACCCATAGGGATGGACAATTTGATTGTCTGGAATCGAACGGCTGCACATCAGTCTATCGCAAACATGCGAATAACGTGTCACTGGCATTCCCACAACTTCACTTCGCGTAAATAACGAAACAAATTACCGCGTCGCTCCCCGATGTTATTGTTAATCAGCGCAGGGCGAATCGTTTCATAATGCATCGTTAGCACTGCGTTACGTAAAAGTCGCCCAAAAAATTGATCAGAAATGACGTTGGTACCCACTCGATAAAATCACCACACACAGAAAAAAAAACCACTCGTCGGCTTTCACGTGCGCGGTGGGCGTAATATTTCGAGTCGCTCTGGTTATTAGATTGAAAAATGTGTCCAACTGAAAACGACAAAAATAATCAGCGAACGGACGGCCGCCTCCGGGAATGCCGGCGTGCACAAATATTGCACGTCCTCCAATCAATAAGTATGTTCGCAACGACGACGTACACAACAACGAACAAAAAAAAAACAATGAGTTTTTAAACACACATTGTTTACTTACCTGTTGCGATGTCCCACGAGTGCACAATGCATAATTAAAATTTTATTGTTTGCCTGGAAATTGAATGTCATGGCAGGTACTTACCACGCTTACAGGACGCATGTGTCCTGGCTTTCTAGGATCACCCACACACGTCATACGCAAGAAATTTCAAACGGTGTTTGCAAACCGCGAAATATCCTGCCACGTGTGTGCGCCGTGGAGGTTTTACTACTTAAATGATTTAATACTGGGTGATGTGGAACGGTTTGAAAAAGCCTCTCTTAATTGAAATATGCAAAGGGCTATTGATTTCATATCGCCGTCAACACCAAACGCTCCTACGTTGGTTTAATAAATGATGATTGTGCTACAGTGTATCAAAGAACCACTGCATAATTTATCGAAAGCATGCGATATGAGTTTGCACACTTACGTTCGTGGGCAGACACTGAAATTACACAGCGATAATAATTAAACGTCCAGATTAAATTAGCACATTTTCGGATTCTCATTGTTTAAGTGCGAGGTGGAATAAGAATTTAGGTTCATAGTGGAACAACATTCGAAATGTTGAAACACAAATAGGTATATATTTAGGTATTAATGTAAGTTATGTTCCTTTGTGATCTAGGCAAATATATCATAATTTAATCCTAGGGTTCAATGAATTTAATTGATATGAATGTTTATCGAATAGTGTACAAAGGCATAACAGGCTCTAATTTTGTGATTATTTTCTTATGCTTGATCACGCCATAATCAATAAATTAGGCATGCTCTCACGATTGAACAAGTTGTTTGAACACGTTGATTTTCCAGATGATTGTCCCCAAGAAACGAGCCGCATTGCTGATCGATAGACTAATGGTGGCGTTGCAGAAAGCGATTGAGAACGAGGAAGGAAGAGGGTTGGGCTCCAGGACGAAAAACTACTCTTTACGATCTGAAGATGGGGTGAGTAACTTTTTATTCATTACGCTAGTTGAAACATTTTGGAATGTTACCACTATAACTCACACTCATACACTATAGGATAGGTGATGACGCAAGCTTTTTCTTGATTAGTTTTATCTTGTATCGGTGGTTGCATTTTTTGTTTTGACAAACAAGTTTTTCACGTTCGTCCCGAACTGGTCAAGCCTTTTGCCTACTCCTTTGAATGCCTCGGTGATTGCTGCAATGCCATCCGCCTTTTTTTTATAGAATTCAATTAGAACATAATTAATCAATTAAATGAATTTATGATCTGCGCGTAATTTGCGCCGATCAAGATTTTAGTACCTATAATATTTAGTAAAACTGGATGACAAACAACTCACCGAAGTATAGCTGATGACCGCCAGTAAGCAGACTATTACACTGAAGACGAGTAATGCTTTCTTCATTATGGTAAATTTATGTGCGTGCTGAACGCTTACACTGACTGGAATGAAACCAAATGGCTTCGAAATTGGCATTTATATGCGCAATTGTTTATTGAAGCCACCTGATTATTGATTATGTATGTAGGTGATATTGATAAACAAATCGTTAAAAACAAACCAATTGCCTGAAACAATTGGACTTTTGATCTCGCCAGGCTTAAAATTAGTTGAGCAGAAAACGAATTTATTTTGGACGTTGGTTTACCTTCTGAGTCACATAGAATTTAACAGGTACTGTTTTGACCAACGCGTGCTTACGACTTATCAGTGTTGTCGAAATATAATCAATAACGTTTTACATATTATTCTATGGCTATTTAAAAAAAATTGTAGTAAATAATTAGAATTAGAATTACATCAGCTTGTTATGACATAAGAGAATGACATGCATTCACTTTTAACTGAACTCTGTTTAATTCTAAAATTTTTTTGATTCCAGATGGATTTGCAACGTAGAGGACAAAGTGTATCGGACCAGAAGAACGGACGCTATTGGCGATGCTATTTCAATGCGGTCTCTTGTTTCTAGGTGTGCAACTCCCTACGCAACGAGAAGAAGAAAACCATCGGCATAGTTAGTTGATCTCACTTCTTTTTTTACAATCTTCCATCATATCATTGAGTTTTCCAATCGTTTACGTTGTCAAACAATTATTGCTATTTTGTACTGCAAACATTTTTTATTTATAATTTGCGATAAATAGGCGAATAAACGTCAGATATTTGAAGTAAAACGTCCCACATGAAAACAAAATCTCAAAACCAAAATGCTGAGCTTCTAAGATTAAACTATTAAATTTAATTGCATAATTTAATGAATAAACGGAACAAAATATAAATTATGCTGGCGGTGGGTATCAATTGATAAAAACACATTGGGTTTATACATTATACATACATAAGTCATAGCTATTTAGAAACATCTAAGTACTTTATACATAGTTATTTAATGCTAAAATTAAATAATTGTCAATTGAAATATTTTGAATTTGATTTATATATAAAAAAAAAACTAAAAACTTGTCCAATTAGCTCAATTGTGGTGTGCAAGTGGCCATTTTTAATTTTATTTAATGTTTTTGAATTCACAAAACATAAAATGTTTCCGTTGCAAATCAAATTAAGAACTCTAGCATTTTGGACCTACGAGTTTTGTTCTCATTTGAAATAAATTTTCTTCATCAACTTGTATCACTTAAAGCAAAGTCTCGTTTCTTTCGAGCTATACATAAGCTTTCTTGATCTCCATGCGGTTGACGTACGTAGATGCTCTCGTACGTAATATGTATTATATTTTTATACTTCAGGTTAAATATTATTTAATTTACTTATTTGTTGAATTATATTATCATTTAATACTTGTGCAAATTTCTTCTTTATTACATTGCTGGCAAATCTTTTGAGAACATTAATAAATAAATAATAGAAGAGTATTAGTTTGTAATTATTTAGATTGTTTTAAATGAATATTATTTGTTAAAAATTATTTTATATCTATATAAATTAATTTGAAGTGTGAAATTCAGAATATTATAACATTTTCATGATTTTTCATATAAGATATGCTTCCATGGCATCAAAAGACTGCGATTCGTTTATGTTGTGATAAAAAATAGAATAGACTCGATATATTTGATCAGATATTATGTTATATTTGTTATTATGAACCAAACAATGTAGACGAAACATATAAGTATGAATTTATGACCGTACTGTGATTAAGTTTGTATTAATTAGATTTTACAATACTCATTAAATATATAAAACACTTCCTGCAAAGATACATGTACTTTGACAGTAAAACACTTTTTTATATGTGTTAATTCTACACAAATTAATTTACAGCCACCGCCTCAGTGTCTCCAAGTCAGCAAATCATTAGTCCACATGATCGTATATTTTTGAAGGCATTTGTTTTGACTGAGAACAGTTAAAGCATAATGCGTTTCAAATATTAGTCATGAATCTGTCTGTACTGAATCTGTACTTAAATTCAAATTTTCCTACAATCACCGTATCACACAATTCTTAAGTAAAACTATATAGCTATTTTTTATACCTTATTATACCGAAAATAATGATTACTAATAATGAACGATTATATTAAAATGAATTGAAACAGTATTTCATTCGAATTAGTAGTTACAAATTTTAAAATAAATTTACTATTACAGTTGAAACTGATCATATTACTATTGTTGCTGTAAAATTCCAGTAATATGTAAAATATAAAGATTTTTTATTTAACGATTAACGATATGACAAATATATTACATAAATCCTTAGACATTAGTAAACAGAAAGAGTACTACTTAATAGTACTAAAATTCTAAAATATGACCTAATTATATAAAGAGGGCGTTGTTTGTGATTACAATCTACACTTGCAATTAAATATGAAATTATGTCTAAATATCATGCATGATGAAATGATGAAGAAAGGAGAATGTATCTCGTGAAATAATTTTCTAATTTCAAGTTTCTCATCTTCATACTATAGTTCAATAGACTCTTTGCAGTATGTATGTTCTTTCAATGCTTTAAAGCACCAGAAAGTGTCTTAATAATTGACGTTTTCAGAAAATTTGAAAACATTATGTAGAAAACGCCTTGCACTAATTCACCTATTTTGGATTGACCATTTTTTTTATTGTTGTTCAAGAGACCCTTTACAGTATGCATATAATTTCATTTCTTTGGACCCCATGGAAGTGCTCGGAGATGCTCTTAAAAAGTAGCCATCGTTGATCTGGAATATATAATTTGTTTGACGAAAAACAGAGCCAAACTAGTATTCAAAATTAAATTCCGTTGAAAGGCAACACCGTAGTTTTTTTTTTTTTAATTATTTAGATTCAAAAAATAAAGCCAAACTTATTTTAAAATAATTATCGGTTAAAGTGCGCAGGAATGCGCCCCCAGCGTCACAAAGTTTAAATTACGATTATTTTGGAAACTAAAAAAAATAGAAAAGAAACGGACTCTAAATGTTTGTTCCTATTAGGAGTCTTTACAGCATGACACATTTTAAGCCAAACTGTCAAATTTGTAAAAAAAAGTTCAATCTTTAGTCAATTTTCTAATTAATTAATATAAATTTTGAGTTATTCTTAATTTATTAAATTTAATAAAGTATATTAAGTAACACGTGGTTAAACAAAGGCATAACAAGGTTTAACCAGGTGATGGTTATGCTATTTTTTTACTTCCACTCTAGCCCTACGTTGAGGTTTTTGTATTTCAACTTTTGTATTTTAAATCATCGGAATTTGCTCGAACACTACTACAAAATCTAATTGTAATTGCATTACCTACACCTACACACATATCAGAATGTCTCGTTTTCAACTCCTCACGCTTATCGATGTTTGGTTGTAAACAATATTTTTATTGCTTTGAACCAGTTTCATACGGCGCTCGTGCTACGAACGTTTCAGTCTGTTCGTAATTGCAAACGGCTGGCTACCTTTCTTTTATTCATTTCTATTAAATTAATTTCATTACATTTTATCGATTAATATGGGCATACATATATGCAGGTAATGACAATAGACGTGTATATTGTTTTCGCTAGTTTTTACATGGCTTTTAGACACAAACGCTGTACTTTATCTACGGGCATTAGATATACGGGGCGGAGTTTGCACCTGCGCATTTGGCTACGGTGCAACACCACGGTGCTCAACGCGGCGCGACATTTAGTGGTTCGACGGTTGTTGGATTATTGCGATGCTGAGGATTGGAATAAGAAAATATGTTTTATATTGATAATTCCTAGTAAGTGTAAGGAACGTCTGTGACCGGATTTCACGGGAATATTGCCTGTCAAAATAGCGCTTGTCATTCAAGTCCGTTACCTGACGAAACAGACTTAATAAATACGACTATGCAGCGTAGTGGGTGTTTTTACACACGAGTTTTTTTTTTCTGTTTCAGTGCTTTCTGGGATTACCCGATGCACTAGTAAGTTTGTAAATATTATTACATCATAATTACATTTTTCCACTTCCACCTATAAAGTGCCAGTATTTCTACGATTTTTAGACACAAAAAGTAGCACTTTATATTCGGACGGACAAGCCGTGGGCATTATCCATTATCTACGGACATTATCTACGGGACGCACCTTGCGCCTGCGCATTTGCCTACGGTGCAGCACAAGACCGTATGAAATGCTTTGCGACGTTAGTCAAACAAGTGGAAGCGGCGCGATATGGCCCGACGCGTCACATGGCCCAGCGCACAGTATGGTATTTATAACCTTACATTTTGTAGTCGTATGCGAGCAAATTTCGATGATTTAAAATACAAAAGTTGACATACAAAAACCTTAACGTGGAACTAGAGTGGAAGTAGCAAAAATAGATAAAGCATTACATGGCTAAACGTAGTTAAACACTCAATTGCTTAAACGGCCGCTACGCTCGCTCTCAATCAATCTTGTGGGTAATGTTCCCGTTTCGCCATTATACTATTATACTATTTCGTGTTAAGTCGTTTGTATCGTAATAACTCAAAATTGCGTTTTTGGTTGTTCCTTTTCGATGTCGATTTAAAGCGCATATTTTTCCCTGCTGGTATTTCTTATTGATTTGTGAATATGAATATTTTCTTTAGATTTTGATAGCGCGAGATTTGTTCTCAACAATACGCTACTATCAGCCCCATTAGTATTATGTGGCGAAGTGCCTTTAAATTGAAAATTTGACAATTTGAAAATTTGACTCATTTTTTAAAGTTTAGGTGGAAATCAGGTCATATCTCAGGAACCCTTTAGAATATTTACATGTTTCCTTCAAGTTGCTTTGCAAGTTTGACAATTTTCTATTTTTTTCAGATTTGGTAGATTTGGATAATTGAATCATATTTTAGGAACCTTTTAAAGCATTTGCATGTTTTCTTTAGATTTTGAGAGCGCGAGTTTTGTTCTCAAAGATATGCCATTCCCCAAAATCGTGCGGAAAGTACCATAAATGCACCCTGTAAAATCTACAATTTTCAACATTTTTCATGTTTTGTCGTGGAAATGGGGTCATATCTCGGGAAACTTTCGGAGTATTTGTATGTTTTCTTTATATTCTAATAGCGAAAGAGTTGAACCACTCATACGTTATTGTCGCCCCCAGTAATCTTGCGGGAACTGCTTTAAAATTGCTCTGCAAATTCCACTATTTTAAGTTAAGTTTTGTTGTGGAAATATCTCAGGATTCCTTCGGGGTACTTGTATGCTATCTGTGGTGTTTTCTTTATCTCGAATGTTTGCTTTAGATTATGATAGCACGAGAGTTGACCTCAACAATTCGTTAGCGTCGCCTTTAGAAATCATGCGGGAAGTGACCTAAAATCACCCTGCAAAATCAGCAATTTTCTACATTTTTCAAGTTTTGTCGTGGAAATCTGGTCAGTTCTCAGGAAACCTTTGGAATATTTGCATGTTTTCTTCAGATTCTGATAGTGTGAGACTAGTTCTCAATATTACGTTACTGCAGTTCCCAGAAATCATGCGGAAAGTGCTTTAAAATTGCGTGATTTTCTATAAAAAGTGGTAATTAGTTGTTTTGAAGTTTTTTCCTCCTTTAAGTTTGTAATTTCTTTTTGTAACGCCTTTTCTATTACTTTTTTCTTTTGATTTACCATCATAAAATAATTAAACTTGTTATTCCCCAGTGTTTTCCTTTTTGTACTTTGAATTTTTGTTTGTAACACCTTGTATATTTAGATTCTTTAACACGCAGCCAATTTTCTTTTTGACTCATTGCTTTTTATTTGGTAGTGCTATACGTGTCCATTAAACTAAGACTATTAAAATTATTATTAATTTAATTGTTTGTTAGTGTTTGAAATTTTTTACTTATTTGTATGTGCTTTGGTTATGCAGGTCGTAAAACTGATTTTAAGATGGCGGCAGGAATTTTCTATGTCTGCACTAACTTAATTATATTACATTTGTGGCTTGTGACTTGTATTGTGACTTATATTATTTGTATACTCTTTTTATCGTTGCAAGTACAGGCCAGCACTTGAAAAATATTTCTATGGTTTATATCGGCTTTGAGGAAGATGATACTTATAATTGTCTGTACAAATGCTTATAAGGATTGTCCTTATAAGAAGTTTCTCATGCAAATATGGTTATCTTGGAAAGTAGAAATCAGGTGCCCGAAACAAAAAATCAGCAAAATTCAATCATTCAAAAAGAGGGCGTGAGGCGTTCTACAGAATTTTTTGATAAATAAGATTTGGACAGATTTAACTTGAGGCCCCCACAATCTGATGCAAGTGTGGTTATCCTGGAATATAGGGTTCAGGGACTCAACCCAAAAATATGTCTATCAAAAATATGTCACTTTTTTGTGTTTAGTTTTGTGTTTAGATTGTATTTAATCTAAATTTATGCAAACGGTAATTGTCCTGAATCTTCTAATTCTTTAATCAAATTTCAATTATGCATTTCGATGATTACATAATACACACTTGTGATTTCAATATCCGGAAAAATGTTACTAAAAGAATATGTTAAAGAAAATGTTATAAATTGAGTGGAGGCGTTGGCATATTAAGTAGTGGTTGTATTAATTAATTATAACATTATTATTTATGGTAGAAACTAATTAAGATATACAAGAACTAAAAACACTATGTTATCAAATTATAAATTAGGTAATATTTTTACAATTTCAAATATTTGATGTGTTTAAAAAAAATTCTAATATGATTTTTTCGTAAAGTAATAAAGGTGAAAAAAGTTTTTTTTTTTTCTAATTTGTTCATGTCATAATAAGAATAATAAAAGGGGATATTTTAAATGCACTTTAGTTAAAATACAATCCACTTGAACAGCCGCACTTAAGTTTTCATACTTTGCACTAAGAAATTCATATTATGCACTATAGATTGTATCACTACATAGTATAAAGTAAAGTCGCTTTTTTTTCCGGTCCCTTTGTTCGCTTAAATATTTGAAACTACGCAACGGATTTTGATGCCGTTTTTTTTTATAGATAGAGTGATTCAAGAGGAAGGTTTGTATGTATAATAACATCCATTAAATAGTGGAGAAGCACTGTTATTTTTGAGATTTCTAATGTGATGTAAATACAAAGTTTTCGATTATTCCCGTCTGCTCTTTGTGCGATGCTTCGTAGCTTCCCCCTCCAAGCATAGACGTGTGTATGTGTGTACGTGTGGGTTGAAGTTGACCGGTAGATGTTTTTGTTTGGAGAAGGAAAGTCGCTTTCTCTGTCTGTCTCTTTGTATGCTTAAATCATTGAAACTACGCAACGGATTTTGATGCGGTTTTTTACTTCCGTGCGAAGCCGGGGCAGGTCGCTAGTAACTTATATTTTAATACAATGCACTTATATATTCAGGTTTAATTTGCTATGAATCAACTTTTTAAATTGAAACTTTATAATTTAAGGTGGTTAGGTAGGGTACCTTGTTTGGTATTATTTGTGGGGCGGTCGGGGGGTTGGGGTGGTCGGGGGTTGGGAGTGGTGGTTAGGTAGGCTACCTTGTTTGGTATTATTTGTGGGGCGGTCGGGGGTACTGGTGAGGGGGTGGTCGGGGAGTTGGGGGTGGTGGTAAGGTAAGCTACCTTGATAGAAGGGGCCGGCTAAGAGTACGGCACGTACTTAATACTGCAAGTTTTATAAGTGCAAAGTATTAATTTCATAGTGGAAAGCATTTTATTCAAGTGGAATTCATTTTTCAAAGTGCAAATATTTATTTTTAAGTTCAGTTCTGTATTTTTAAGTGCAAACATTAATTATAAGTGCATTTAATGAATGCACTGACAAGTTAAAAATCGAAAAAATAAAGTTCGTTTAATTACATGCCATAATAAAATGGCAGATTTAGTTTTTTTGATTTTGATGAGTTTCATGACAATTTGGTACAAAAAAAATAAATTTCAAGCAAGAGCAATATGAAAACGCCAACAGACAGATTTATTAATTTAATTTTTGTATTAGTTTTTCAACTAGTTTTAAGCTTCTAACTAACAAATTACACTAGTACATTTGAACACTCTACTTTTGAGGTTAAGGGTCGACCAGCTGTCTTCAATTGGTGTATACTTTAATAGAATCTATGCAGTTTTTCTTTGAATTCTTCTATTAAGTAAAGTTATAGCCATCCAAAACCGATCGAATTTTTAAAAATTGCTAATAGAGTCCACATTTTCAGGATCGTCTTCTTTAAAGGTGTAGGTACTTTCGAGCAAAAAAATTTACATCAAAATCGCTGACCTAAGGGCGCACACTTTCGTCGAGGATTAATAGATATGTCCATATATATATAAAGGGAAATTGATGAGCCTGCTACTTAACCAAATTCTTATCTATCCGAAAAAATTGTTAGAGGTGTTAACTGGTGTTACGATTCTGGTTACGCACGAGAGTATGCACTGTAGGTAACTGTAAGAATAGTTAGAGGGAGAAAACTTTGAAACGCCACGCAGGCGTGTTTGACGAGTACCTTGTGCTTCCTCCGCCTTCGCATTCGAATTTACAAGGGGTCCCTAGTAATTTATAAAATTCAAGTACAAGCAATAAACAATACGAAAATTGAAGAACTATAGAAATATGAAATGGTGAGCATCTAGAAATAAATAAAATAAGTACTGTATCAATGTAAAATGCTAACAATGCAATGTCTCTAAAAAAAGTAGCACAGGCTTTCGCATATGCATACATGCTAGTGCATATAATGGGAACTCTAATTAATACATACATCGTAGGTATTGTTGATGAAACGTCAATGAAAAGCTGAAAATAGATTGATTGTTTCTTTGTTTGCAGTGAGCTCAGTGTTATGCAGCTAATCAGTCCATGTCGCCCTCCGAGGAAGAATCCAGAACGCGTTAACACCTGTTGTTTATTCGATATGTTTGCGGGACGTGTCGGTAGTGGAGTCTGATTACGCAAACAACACATCAACGTGGCCAGGGCGCTACGCTGCACGCCTTCGGGAAATTTCCTCGTTCCGCATTAGGCAACTAGCGTTCAAGTTAATCGTCCCTCGCGATTACCCAAAGCTGATAAACCGCGTGGGCGCCAAAGAGATTTCCTCAATCGTTGAAGTAATAATCGATGTTTGCCAACACCCATGAGCAATTTGATTTGTATTATGAAACAACACTGAAATAAATCATTTGGTTCAATTTATTTTCGTTAATTTAAAGAAAGCTACTCATTTACCGATTGTATTCACGCCTACCTCTACATAATGAAACATCAATTTATGGCTATTACTGTAAGCTAATATTGTAATAATAATAATAATAAGAATAAGTAGCGGTCATGTAAGCACTCGTTCCACTTTGCTCCATATAGTCGATATGATGTATATTGGTAAAAGACAAGCTATCACAAGGTGGTGAAAGGCGCAACGGCAAAACTTGCGCCATTAGAAAGCAATTAAGCGGGTTAGTTCGCACAAGGTTGGTGTTATCCTTGACATAGAAGCGGTGCGAGGATCTCCGCATCACACGTCTCCGTGAATACTGATGGTAGCACAGAAATACATACATTTTACATACGCAATTTGGAATGTTCTTTGATGTACATGAGCCGTGCACACATGAAACATGCGCGTTAGCAACCGCATCGAAGCAACTTACGTAAACATCCCTTTATGTTCTCATTTGGCATCTCAGTTCGCATGGCAATCCTTTTCTTTAAACCAAGTGCAAAGTTAAGGTACACATCGACTCTAATTTGAAGTGTAATCAAAATTATAAGCACAAAAAAAAACTTGAAAATATTCACAATCAAATTTATATTATGTAAATCTTCATATTTTGATTATTTTTGTTTTGTGAACGCAGACTGGCCTACCCAAAATACATTTTTGTGTACTAATTCTGAAATTTAGTTTTCTCAAGAGTAGGCCGATTAACCACAATTAAAACTAAAAAACTCAGAACTCCAAAGTGCCTAAAAACATATTCAAAGAATATCTCACTTTGCATATTCTACTCTATTTTTGAATTTGAAAAAATAACCTAGGGACGAACAAAACAAAACAACAAAACATTTATTTAAGTTTTATATTTCATAACTTGGTTATAATAGTACCTATATTAAGTAACAAGTGGCTAAACGAGGGCATTACAGACGAGGTCAATCAATCGAGTCTTTAACAAAGTTTAGCCACGAGGTGCTTACGCCATTTTTCTACTTCCACTCTAGTTCCAAGTTGCAGTTTTTGTATTTCAACTTTTGTATTTTAAATCATCGAAATTTGCTCGCACACTTACAAACTGAAAGGTTATAAGTGCAATGCCACGCGTCGGTCATGTGACGCTTCGATTCATATCGTGCCTCTCCGATACGAGCAGCAGCAGTGCCTGCTTTGACGTGTTTGACTGTCGTCGCATGGCATTTCATACCGCCTTGTGCTGCTCCGTAGGTAAATGCGCAGGCGCTTGCTCCGTCTCGTGCATAATGCAAGTATATAATGAATATTATGTACGGCTTGGCCGTCCGTATATAAAGTACCATTTTTTGTGTCTAAAAACTGGCGCTTTATAGGTGGAAGTAGAAAACAGTACAATATGCATATAAATACTAAATTAATAATGATTTTTTTTATAATTTTTTTTTAAATTTAACTAGGTAAAATTTTTGGTTTCAGTTTGAACAAGATTTTACGAGTATAGAAACCAACAAATAATAAAATACACAATCATTAATGACAATTTAATGGCGGGATCTGAATTTTACATCTTTGTTGTTTTCTTTAAAACATCGCAAATAGAAATCCGCAGTGTTGACTTACTCACATTCGCAATAGTATGTAGGTATCAGTAGGTTGAAAACATTTACTTTGTTATTTGACGAAAGCTATTTGTCAAGTCTGTTTGCAACTCTAATGAACTAATAAGTGTATCACAAACGACTTAGTTTTTCTAGAGGCAAAGAAAGAATGAATTTTATCCATTGTCGGTATTAAGCATTCTGTTAAAAGCAAAATAAGAAGAATAGATTATTCCAAAGAATGCTAGATAGACAATGAACAATTATTTACATTTACTCTGTGACACTTGAGTCAATAAAGTACATTTACTGCAATTTGTTCAGTGTCATGTGCATGCCAACCGCTTTTAAAACTAATCTTAAAACAAATACATGTTTCCGACAAAAATGTCGAAATTTCCAATTCGAAACTGAGTGAATCGATTTAAACTTGCAATTAGTTAATTGAAACTGCATATAGGATTTACTTTTGCAATTAGACTGGCCTGTAATGTCATCCAAATGTTACAAAGACAATATCTTTTTAATGTAAAGCATTTCGAAATATTCTAATTACATTTGCAATTGAGCGTACCACTCAGAAATGATTTATATTTCCAATTCTGAGGAAGCATATTATTAGTGCAACCCGCAACCTTTGGTGAGGAGGCGTAATATCTAATTAGTAATACACGCGGCGACACAGTAGCGATGCAATGCACAATGGGTCAATACCCAAGTAGGTAACCGGAAAGTATTTTCCAGCTGAAATCTGGAAAAACATAAAAGGCAGCCGGCTGTTTGCGCGAAATGGTGGTCATAAAAGTTAACCCCGACGGACGATGAAAAGACCGGACATCAATCACGTGCACATCGTATGGATATGTGTCAGTGATAAAAATTCTGGCATCAAAGTACATAATCCTTGCTTCATTATTAGTTCAACATATTTTTCTGTTGTAGTTGAATTTTCATGTCAGTAGTGTGTCCTTGGATTACGCTCTTGACCTAAAGACCCATGGTCAACATTCTTGCTCTGAAAAAAAATCCAGGTTCATATTTAAATGACTCATCCAAAGATATCAGCTGGCATTGCACATACAGGATTTGATACCGTACTGTTAAAGTGCGAAGCAAAAAATAGAGACTAAAATTAAAATTGGGTGGTGGCGCAACCAACGGCATCACCATCGGTATTTGTTTTGATTAAAATTTAATATTTGCTCAGCTAAATGAATATTTGTATTGTCAACTCAGTTAGCCCATTCCTTGTTTTTCTATTGAATTTAAGTAAATGTTACGTTCGCAGGCGGCGTTCGCGTTGAACGCGCCACCATCGCGAAACAGAAGCAAATTGCTAATTAACGGATTCGGTAGGATGCACTTCTTCTATCTACTTGAGTACATGTGCGCCTACAATGGCTGCAATCCATGGCAAGTTACCAGGGCGTAATAACGCCATAGTCAGCCCGCTCATGGCCAACGCATAATCCCAAAGTTTTCGGTAACAATTTGCGGTTGCTCAACACCACACGCTTGTATTCCCTTCGATGCAATATTCGCCGATATACAATGTGTTTTAGATGTTAGTAATAATTTCATCTGTTGTATATTTGATAATTCAACTACCTGGGAAGCATTTTTATTTTTAGCTGTTCCGCCGGCGTAAAATAGCAACACTAAAGCTTTTGGTTAGTTGTTAATAGTTTATGAAATGAAAATTGTGCGCCTGATTGTACACAGCTGTGTATTATAACCCCGGCCTTGTTATTACAAGATACAATAGACAGAGTGCCGACGGCCTCACGTCCGTTTGTAGGGACATTGCAGCAACACCAATAAATGCCTGGATCAAATGTCAAACGCGAATCCTTTTGCCGATTCCAACTGCACGGACCGCCATTGTGCGGCGACCGAGTACCCGTTAATTATTCAGATCGTTGTTGACTGCACGAGGACTCCTTCATTCGCAGCTAAACTCGACGACAAGAGTGGCGAAGGCGACAAAGGCCACCCTGTGAGTGGGTGTCCACCAGAACTGGATTTAGTTGTAATTACTTCGCGCTTTGCGCCGCCTTATTAATTAGCGATAATTAGTTTCAGCACAAGATATATTAAGCGTAGCAATTATGATGTTTGCACATGTTTTAAATGCTAAAACATTTGACCTTTCTTCTTCACCGCTAGAGCAAGGTATTATTACAACAAAGGCAACAAATTTCAAACAAATGCCCGGCCATGCATTAATGCGCAATAAACCCCACCATTGATCTGGTGCAAAGCGTGCGATTGTAGATTGCAATTGTAGGAGTTGGCTGTGATCGATTCCTTAGGTGGCAGTTGTTGCATTTATTGCTATTGTGATGGATATAAATCATTGTTCATTGCAGCTTTGGCATTGAAGCATTTGCAGAAAGGCCAATGCCGTCCATATTTCAAAGCATTATTGGATTAGTTGCATTCAAACTGCGTCAAAGGTGATTTTAATTACCCAGCTACTGGTAGGCCAGTTGATCCATTATATTATTTTATTCTACAATCAATCTCTATCACTAAGTTTCAACTCGTAACTTTTCCGACAAGTGGGCAGAACCACCTGCTTGTTTTACTACTTTTATAATGAGGAAAATTTTTAACGATTATTCATTATGTGAGGTATTATATAAATATATTTAAAAAGAAACATTTCTTCATTATTCCTTCTTATTATTTTTCATTCATTAGTTAACTGAAAATATTGTTAAAACAAAATTAAAATGAGTAATAATTTAATTAGTTGTAATTAAAACTTTAATTTTTGCTGCGCAATTTTTAAATTAATGCAATATTATCAGTAATGCGATCAACCATATTATATTAGCGGATTTATTTTACTAAAAATGTAAACCAATTTTAAAGCGTCATTTATACATTTTATCAGAGTTAAAATTAATGTATAATTAACAAAATACTTCTTAAATTGTTTATATACCTATATTATATCAAAACATACAATTGCAAAAATATCGAAATTGGTTACTTAGTTTCTTAGTTAAAGAAATTATATACATACCTAAAATTGTTTTTATTATGCGATTTAACGCAACTTCATTACTGCCCCGAATTATTCTGTCAATTATTGCAAAGTAGGTACTAAAGTTTGTCCGAGACTATTTTGAGAGAAAATCAAAACTTCTACATATTGTCATGTTTTTGTGACATAAAAATAGCCAACAAAAATCATTATTTATTGAGTATTTAATGTAATTACTTTTTGAACATAAAGGACACTATTTTAATGTCCTGATAATTATAAATGATTATGAATAAATGAAATTAAATACATATTTGGGAATTTAGAAAAAGCTGAAACAGCCCTTATAGGCTCGTCTAAGCTGCCCGTTAGATTGAGCTCAATCATACCCTTGAAATGACGCCAAATCTCAATTTCATACCCAATAATTTCAATAGTCTAAGGTGCGACGGCGCTGTATAGAATCGCCCCATAAACCGAAATCCGTTTCAGGCCGAAACTGAAACCGAAAGTTTGGTCAGACTCTGCGATTATTTTATAGCAAAAGCATATGCATGTAGTGTACTCGTACATTCGCAAAATTTTACGATTTGATAATTGCACTTGTTTTAGTCGTTTTTAAAAAGTTCTTTTATTCGTTTATACCTTGGAACATAATATCCCGTTTACCAAGAAAACAAACAACAAAGCAATGAAACAAGTGACCTATATTTTTATTCCCTAAATACCAATATTTAATTGAGAAAATATATTGGTCGAAAATACGTACGTTCTTTCAGTGATTAAATAAATACAATTGTTTCTGAAAGCTCGTAAACCATTTGCTCTTAACGCCCCTGCATAAAGTTAATAGCTTGTAAGACATTCGCGATGTTTTAATTGACCAAAGGCTCCCGCATGTATGACTGACATTGCTATGTTAGTTTCTATCAACATTAATACCATGTGCTGGCGCCGGATCGATGCCAATTGTCAATGAAGATATATTCTGAAAAGACGCAGACCTTCAAAGTTTAATTAGATTTTAAAGCTAATCAAGCGCTTTCTATGTGGGTACGCTCTATGTGGAAATACGAGGCCCCACGCGAAGGACGTTATTCTCCCTATCGAAGTAAGTAGTTAGCAAAGTCGTCGCAATGATTTCGTCGAAATTTTCAGGGAATATCTAACGCTTAGGTCGGCGAGACGCAACGCGTGGCTGCGTGAATGATACATGATCGAGTCGACATTGGCGCACGATGCTTTTTCCCCACATGCTGGAAACTCGAGTAGTTGGCGACCGTCGAAAATCGTGTTCTTGTGGTTTAATTATAAATTAAAGCAATTAGCAGCATTCGGGCCGAGTTACGCACCTCTTGGACGCAGAAAATGAAAGTGCCACGGGCGCGCACGCACACGTGGGGTAATAAATCACGCCGTTCGCGTATGAAAATATTGGATGACGCGTGGCATACGCGAAAGATGATATTCAATGTTCAGGTTTTCTTCCCAACCTCTGCATGTCTTGCGGTTTTATGCGGCTGTTCGTTATTGTTACTTACCGACTCTCTTAATTGCATTTTTTTACTGGTCGATTTTTCATCTTGAATTTGATTATTTTACCTACCAGAAGTAATTGAATATCAACGCTGTTGACTTAAATAGAATTTCCAAGTACACGATTGCAGGAAGATCACTAAAAGCACAATGATGGCCTTTCCAACATGCACTTATCTTGAATAATTTTCCTTAATTGCATCAATGGTAAGCAGAAACTTACTGATAATAAATATCAAATTATGATTTACTTAGGTACTTGCTGCTCTTGCTTGTTTTGCTGCTTCCCTTTATTATAAATTCCAGTAATGATTTGTAACCTTATAATTTAAGTTTATTGGAGACGAATAATTTCGACCTTTGTTATGTATAATTGGCGTGTGTAATTGCTCTATAATCTCCAATTTAGAATTTACGCCCGATTTCATTAGCACGTGACAAATAGTTGTGCTATGTACACGTGTATTTTGGAAGCAAACTGTCAACCCACCACATGATTAATTTAGATTTCACGTTTCGCTGGATTTTACAGGAAACTAAGAGTTTAGCGTAATTCAGATCATGTAGGTAACAAATATCTTGCCGCTTGAGCGATAAGGTATTGTGTTCGTCATCAAGTCTTGTGCAATATTTTATCCGGTGTTGAATTATGGTTTATATTCAGGTGCTAAACTTTTACGGGAAAATCCAAATTTGATCTGTCGTTAAGCCAGATATGGATGATTAACAAACACTTCAATGCGAAGGCGCAACTGTGGGTGAAAGCGCGCTAATACCCGAAAGAAGGACAGAAAAACGCGGCTATCACACGCGGAATCGATTGGCCACGCGGCGACGTCATGTGCGCGTCCGGCCTGCAATTGGCTGATGTTTGAATTGCGCGTCGTCGCGACGCTCGTTGCGAGCGAAATATAAACGCGCCAACGTTCGTCTTACGCTCGTCATTTCTAAGTTCATCTTCAGCAACAGCAACGTACCAGCAGCTCGCAGCAACGCACCACCGCACAATCGCCACATCCGTCGTCGATCTCCGTGTGGATAAGTGCAACTCCAAGAAGAATAACTTCGCCCTCAAGCCGCATCGACACGCAAGAGTCAATTTCGGTGAGTCAACAAACACACGTTTTCTTTCTTTCTACGCAAACAGGAGTTGTGTTTTCCGCACATCTCACAAACTTTATCATATGCCGAGTTTACAATTTAATTGAATTCGATCAAACACGTACGAAAGCTCAATTGAAAGTTTCGCCCGCGTGTTCATCAATTTTCAATTCTGTCCGCACCAACTTTTAAATGACCGCTTTTCCAACTATTACAGGCAACAGTCAAGGTATATAAATATTGTCCCAGAAAGTTTTGACGCTTTCAAATTGATGATCGTTCGCAAATTAATCTTGTAGCTCGTGAGCAACACAGCGTATAAAGTAATAATTATTATTCAAGTGGTTCATTATCACCGCCAAGCCGTAGCAACAAGAGCGGAATACTTAAACAATCGCGGTTTTCAGCGTGCAGAAAACCGAAAGCAACCAGAATAGCTTTCAACTGCCGACGTCGCTTCGCATTGTGCGTAATGTTCACACCCTTGATAACTCTATTAAGCAATGCCGTGTTTGTCGTATTCGATTATCACTTCGAAAGGTGTAACATGTTTGCGTTCCATTATCGTGCTTTCACCCCTAATGGGCAAAATTCGGCCAAGAAAAGAGTGTTATTCGAACTGACGCATTAAATTTAAAGCTCGTCCTGCGTGCACTGTGCGAGATAATGTAATAAGCATGAAAACTTTGATACTTTTCATTCTGAACAGCAAAAGGAGCGCCTACGCTCTTCAATCATGCATGCTCATAAATTTTTATCAAAAAAAATTGATTTTGTTTTAATCACCTGCCGCTAAGCAAAAATAAATTGTATCCAAGCACATCCTTTATATTGATCGATGCAAAAACCAAATGTTTTAACAAACATGTTTGCTCAATTTTATTCACATTAGCATTGAAAAACGATTTATGCAAAGTTTTCCACACTTCTGCTTCTCGTTCACACTCGCACCGTATGCATCAAATATGACAATCGTGGGCAGTGAACGCACAGGACGCTCGTCAGTTGTACCCGACAGGTGTAAATGCCATGACAGGAAGAACAATCCTTACGCGCTGCTTGTCTGGATTAAACATGCCGTATTTGCACTGGACAACTTACCGTGCAACTTGCAGCTCAGTGCATTGATTAAAACAGCTCAAATAATAGCCGCAGAGAGTTCTGGTGTCACGTTCAACAAACATGCGCATAATTAAATGGTTTCTAACACGGATCCTTAATACACTTCGCAACATTGAAAAAGTTGTAATATTATTCGGCAGTCGACGACGCGTCCTAATTGAGTTTACGCGAAGATTACTTAGACCTTCAAATTGCCATTGGCATTCGATCAAAACGCGGATATTTAAAATATAGGTTTTTCGATGCTGTGCGCACGGAAATAGCTTCGAGATTTTTATATCTGCGCTCAAAACGAAATTAAAATTTAATTGCAGAGCGTCGACTGTCGGCCAGCACGGCACATTGTCGCACATTTTGATTGTGTCTAGAAGGTCTCGTTCGGCGGCGAGTAGGTCGAATAAATAATGTTTTATGATTCCATCAAGGAATTATTGCACTTTCAGATACTTTCCCGCGTGCGTTTGGATAACTTAACGACATATCAAATGATGAGTTATCAATTGTTCAAATGATCTGAAAACAAATGTCAATCTCAAATGTCGATCTCGCGTTTGAATTAATGTGAACGTTTATCATTCGAATGCCTTTTTGTCATTACGTAACACCTACAGTTGCTGGTCAAGGGCATATATCAGCACATCGGGAAAACAATATTGGATTTTTAATTCAATCACTCGAAGCGTCATCGCGAGAGCGTTGATTGCAGCAACGGAAGCAGTCGTCACTTCAATTTTTTTTTGTTATGCATTTTCCACAGGAAGATTGCACTACGAGCACAGACAATATAAGTGTGATACTAATCGACAGTGGCGGAAATTTAAAAGCCGCCAGCGTACATTTTGCCAGCGAGCATTCCACGCGTATGTTGCATTGTTAAAACGCGAGCGATGGGGCGCGATAATTTCCTTCCGATGTGCGACGCGTCCAAATCGAATCGAACACATGAGCACATGATCTTGTCCCGCCGGAGTGCGAAAATTGAATTAAAGCTGGTCGAAAATCCGCACGCTCGATTTGCATATCTACGGTTTCGATTTCTGTTTGCTGATCGTGGCGCGACAGGTATGCAGATGTCATGCAAATAAATCCGCAATTCCAACACAATGTGTCGAAAAGAAAGTAGAACGAATAAAAATACGCGCACTTGAAAATCCGTTGATTATGTAAACAACAGCACACAACAGGATAAGATTATCACAGCTATCAGATTTTTGGATCACATTCGAGCCTCCGGCGTAGAATCGAAATTCAGCCACAAACCGTGGCCGCCAAATTTCAACCCGACACGTTTTTGCGTATTGCGTATTGTTCGCATTTCGCACTCGACACTAAAATCAACAGCGCATTACGGTGATCATTAAAACAAATTCAATTTGAATTAAATTTCATAAATTCTCATTGGGTGATGTGCATTAAGCGCGGCGTGTGGTTAAAAGGATTGCAAAAATTAAATCGGACGACATGAAATTCAACCACGTTTCATACACGGTAATAGAAATATGAAGTACTAAGCCCTAAACCAAACACACTTTAAAATTGGCGTCAAAACAATTTCGTAACAAATGCGTTGCCACCGTACGCTGTAATATCATGCGTCGAAGTCGTCCTTTTAAAATGCAGAAACACATTTACCTCGAGCGGAAACGTGCCCTGTGATACAAATTTGACGCTCCCTAGAGACTCGGCGCTCCGAACGCAACGTCAAGAATAAATATCCAAAATTACTAATTTACGTGACAATTCAAAACAGAGAACGAATTAAAATTGATGTAATGAAGCAAAGCTAGGCGCAATCACACCTTCAGCATGGACCCCAAATTACCATCACATGCAAGCAAACTTAACTTTCCAAAAACGAAAAAAAAATGAATGCACTTAAAGAGAATATAGCAGCATAAATATGAAACGCATGATGTGCACGTATTGCAGTAGCGTATGCGTGTCCTGTGGGATTAGGAATAATTTTCTAATTTGTCTCCGACAGGATGTGCCACTAATTTGAGGCTAAATAGAGAGGTTGCGGGGAAATTTGCAATTTAAATGTCACTCATGTCGGCAGCTTCATGCAAGCTTCTAAAATATATTTGAATAGATATATTCATGCAACATTTTTAATTGAAACAAACCAATCGATCTGATTGCAAACGCACGTGTTTTATTTCACACGTAGGAATAAATGTCGCTTTTAATTTATTACTGGTGTACGCGTTATTGAATACAAGCGTGGGGTATAAAGATTCGGCGAAACGAGCGAAAACTTTACGTCTGGCCTAATTTTTTTAGGCCGATTTGTAATGTTGTACAAACACGTCTCGAAAAGTAAGATTCGACTGAATGTAATTTATTAGCGGGGGAGGATGACACCGAAAAAGGGGTAGAAAGTACTTTTGCTCTCGGCTCTTGACTTATATTTAATTATTTTTTCGAGGTGATTCTAAGCTCCTCCGGCGTAGAGCTTGTTGAGCAAATTGTCACATTGTTAATGTCATGCTTGACACACATAATAAGCGCGTGGCACCAGCTTTTCGCTCAGTTTTACCGGGTCGTTTTACGTGCTTTTTGCCTCTGGGTTTTTCGTTACGGCGGCAGTGCGTGGACGCGGTTTTTATTACCTGTGTCTTCGTTATTAAGGAACAAACAAGACACCGCATTAATCCTTCGGAACGCGTTGCGCCGGTGTAAATATGAGACTTTCGTTTAACAACGCCATTCAATAAATCGCGTGTAGGCCTAGGATGTGCGTACTGACTCACATAGTGACAGTTTTTCACCATGCCGGCAAATTTATTAACTGAGCAGGCAACAGTGTCGAAGTTAATATGCGCGCGATGTTACATAATAAAATTGATAAATAAAAAAAAGTTTTGCAATATAAAAGTTTTAATCATCGCGTGCACTTGGCCGCCTGACATTGATGCCATTGATATTCATCCTCATCAAATATTGGTTGTTTGACTTGTGCATGAAACGGTTCTTAAGTCCTTGGCAAGGCTACGAAAGAAGCTCTTCGAAATGCATTATGCGAATGTCGCTGGGCCGCGACGGCATCATAAATCAATCAAAATGTTTAATAACGCAACTTTATCACGTGTCATCCGACTTACAATGTTCGCTTAGCGCTTATCAGTTATCATCCCACACACACGCATAATAACCCTGCTGCGGTAGTGTATCAGAAGGATTACCCTTTTTAATTTAGAGCTCTATTGTGATTGATGGGTGTTTGATTGAGCGGCATTATTTGGGCTAGTTTTTAATCGATTATTCGGTTATTTACAGAAATATCCACATTGATGTAGGAAGCTAAATTTAAGCCCACAAACCGACAATGGGACTTAATTATCGTCCGTCGATATTTATAGGTATAGATGCGCGATGAATATCCTTCTGTATATGTTCTTCATCAGCATCAACCTCAACATTTTCGCACCTCGAGTGTACATTCACTTCGGCGGCGCGTATATTAATTGGAAAACAGAAATGAAATTAGCCGTCAGCCCTTTTAAGAGTGTGTAGAGTGGGGTCTAGATGCGCGGGGGTGATTTGAGTTGCAATTATAAATTTTAAGCATCCGTGGCATGAATACATTTAAAGTACGCCGTCGGCGGCGCGCGCCATTAAAACGCACATTTAGAAAACGGGGGAGCCGAAATAGATGACGCAAAGTGGAAAACTTAACAGATGAATCGACTGCTTAATGAAGTTGATGAGACTCGCCCACCTGCCCGGGCTTGAACTTGTTTCGACTTTCAGACTTGCCACTTCACTTCATACCACTCCACTCCGCCCTCGCGATAACAATTTTTCGCCAGCGACGCAATCACTTTAGTTTCATGCTCAAACTTACTGCTTACAGAAAATGATGAACAACTTAATCGTCCTTGTCACGATGGCGCTGGTGGGTGTTGTGCTCGCTGCGGGTAGACCACAACAACATTATATGGACGCTTCTAACCAGGTAGGTAACGCATGCACACGTGCAATTAATGCTCGCTCGCATTGTCACATTTTCACCGGCTAGCATCGGCACACAAACACCACACACGACTGCAGCATATGATTTTTAGCAACGCAAATCCATTGCCATCCCTGTGTATCAGCATTTTCCTCTCCACACATCTAGCTGTTGTTATGACTGACCCTCCGATATCCATCCATCCTTCCACATGTTGTAACCTTGATTGTCTCGTTGTGGCCTATCTGGTTCTTCTCGTTAGTGACAATTTTAAACCTCTCTACTTTAGGACCTTACCGACGCCGGAATGCCGATGTTAAGTCAGGAAGATATGGCGCACTTAAAGCTTGGCCTCTGGCAGATGTTGATCGATGCTCAAGAATACGCGCGTCTGAGGAATGTCATCCCCGTCGAGGAGCGCCTGGCTGGTGCTGAAAACGACGAACCTGCCGTCGACGGTGAGATGCCGCGACGCATCTTCCCCTCGACGGAAATATTTGGCTCACACCCCGTCAAAAGACAGCAGGGCAAACGTCTTAAATGTTACTTCAACCCGGTTTCATGCTTTTAAATCTCATAGCGCGCTCGATTATTTCCTTCTCTTACTTGTCTCTGTACGGAAATAAGTGAAACAATCATTTGTTCCCCCACTGTTACTAGAACTTATCACATAAGATTAGATGACTGTTTTAATCACGTATAAATATTCAAACTGAGAATTGTATAGTTTTGGCACCATTACATGAACCTGAATCTTTTCGTGACTAAGAATAAAACCACCGACTATATAAGTGAGCACAAAATGGATAGTTTTAAGACCTAAATGACCCTCCCAAGCTCCACACAGCGAGCAAACAACGTCCTACAATGAGCTCAAAATCCCCTCCTTTTCTCGTTCATCCTGACCACCCCAGTGTACCGACCACTGACCAAGCCAACAACTCTCGCTTTGCAAAACGCATTAAACTCACATTTATTACAACTGCGGCGATTTTCAGTTATTCAGGCTCACGAGGTCTGACATAGTTCGAGGCGACTGTTTGCTCAGCGACTCACGTTCGCCGGTCAAATGGAATTAAAACGGAAACGCTGTTCGGCACTGGTTATTTGTCGAATCGGAAACATGACATTGTTTTGACCAATTCAGTGAAAAGAACCATTAGATGAAACGATTTCTATGCTTTCTTTTTCTTCCGATGATACGCGACTTCTCCCCCCGAAGCCTTGCTGGAGTGTTTGTGTGTAAGCATGCGGTTGTTTTGAGCCGGCCATTTCCCCAGATCGCCGCTGCCACACACTAGGAGGTCCGGGCATTCAATCATTCCCTACCGATAATAATTTCGTCAGCATTTGCTCGCCACGCTCTCTCCCTAAGTGTATTCCTTCTTCCTTTACAACAAGCGTCTTTACCGTCCAATGAAATGTTTGTGTTTGATATAAACTTCTACACGGCGGGTTTGTTTAATGTCATGGGACAGAAGGAAGAAGTCAATATTTGCTTGGCCTTGCAACAATACGCCGAGTGCAATTTAAAGAAGGCCAAGGAAAATTCATTATCGTAGAAACATTGATGCACACTCACACCGCACACTCTGTGGGGAACTTTGTGTGAGCAAACAGGAGGCAAACACTGATTGTTCGTTTGTGACATTTCAGGTGAGCAACGAGGAAGGCAATGGCAACCAGTTGATCAATGGCCTCACCGATTTTCAACTTGAGTTGATCGCCCAACGTCTCGCTGACTACAACAACCAGATACCGCTCAGCTTCGACCGGAACTTGTTGCGCTCCCCTGAAATGAAACGCGCGGCGAGCCGCTTCCGGCAGTGCTACTTCAACCCCGTCAGCTGCTTTAAAAAGTAAGCTGCCGGCGTGATCTCCAGCTCGGCCAGCCGCCCTCATGCGCGCACCATATTATACCCTCTTTAATCGAACGCAGAACTGCATATCATAGTTTAACGTTAATTCCTATACTAATCAATATGGGTGTTTCACTGTAACGGCCTCACTACACTGACGTAAATAACTTCCCTAAATTTTCTTGAGACTTCAACCAGAGCACAGTAACATTCATTTTTGCCTCTGAACAAAACTTTGCACCCATTTAGATACATAAACTCGCAGTACCCAAACCATATGCCACATTATTTAATCCACTACTAACAATATATAGTACATGCTAGTTTATCTGAGAATTTATGTGAATGTGAATTTCGGCAGGGTGTTAACCAAAGAAAGTCAACATGAAAGAGTACAATTATCGTATACTTATTTTTATCACTGTGTTATTAACTGTTTTATTAACTCGTGAATTTGTTTCAGTAAATAAATGAATACATATAGTTGTGAATAAATGTTGCAGAATTCTTTACGTGGGTTTTTATTCCGACCACAAGATTGAAAACGCAATTAGTCATTACTTTAAAAGTGGGATTGCAAGCACTTTAGTTATTTTAATCCTAAAACTTTTCAGAACGAGAGAAAACTTCAGAAATACTTGACTTAGGCAAGGCTACCGTCTTATAAAACTATTATCAACCGTAAAAATTATTTCAGGAATGAATCTTCCTATCTCAAAGATGTTTAAAGTTTTGTCGGTAATTGATAATTTACTATATGCAACTCTTCATGCATTCCTGTATCAAAGCGGAAATACATAACATCATCGCAATAATAATTTATGTTTTATTAAATTTTGACATAAAAAGGGGCTTTACAATATTGATAAATACATTTACACGGACGGAACATTAATTTACCTCCTGCGTATTATTGCTTGGATTATTGAAACACTGTAGGCCTTCAAATATAAATCGTACAAATTCGGACTAACACTAATTATCATAAAGGATACGTCTACAATGCGCACCGTCGTTTGCACGACAATAAATATTTAAATAATAAATAAAAAATAATACAGAAATTAAAACATATTCGATTGAGCAATAATTTATGATATTTGCGTATCATAATCAATATCATACAGTCTCGATTTGATTCATCCCACTTTCATATCTTGTTAAGTTCACTTTAAAATTGCACAAATCAATTAAACGTCTTTGTCTAGCCTAGTCCTCGCACATATCTTGTATAAAGGAAGTATTTACAGTGCCATTGCATATTTTACACATTTTATCATGAATGAGAAGACGTGCACGAGCATGTCGGATGAACGTTCAGGTAAACAATCTTAACGTATCGATAATTCGTTGATCCGCTATAGAGGAGTCTCATAAACAAATAATTTACAAAAAATATTACTATTTAAGTAGCATAAAAGAATGACTTACATATTAAAACTTAAATCAAGTGTTATTTTGGACTTGTCAATTGATTTCGACTTGATGGACATGTACTCACATGGATTTTCAAACTTTTTAAAACTAACATATACTCGTAAACCATATGAATATTAATAACACTTTTCAGTTTCGGATGTGATGAATATGTTTAAATAGAGACGTGATGATATAGGTGATGATAGATGTATGTTTAAAAGCTAGGTGGCTGAAGATTCCGTATTGGAATCAGGACTCGTCACCGAGGTACTGCTGAGGGATGTGCTGGCGTTCGCATTGTGGCAGTGTGTGCAGTGCAGACAGACGCTGCAGGATCCCAGCTTCTTCGCCAGCACCGAGCGTAACTTCAGCGCCGGGCCGAGCTTCATGTGCATCGTCGACGTCAGATGGTCCTCGGTGAGTAACGGCAGACCGGAGCCGTCGATTCTTTGGTCTTTGAAATTCTGTAATGAACAAAATAGAGAATAGATTAGCGCAGCTGAAGATGGCTTCGCAACAGATGATCAAGCGATCAAGGAATTAAATATGTCGATAATTGCTTTGGGAGCAGACGGTTCTAAGCACGACGAGAATTTCTGATCCAGCACGATTACAAATTGAGACGAGTGGTGGCATAAAATACGTTTGCGATAAATGTGAAGCGACCTTTATAATTGCGCGCGGGGATCCGCAAGGCCCTTATTTAATTAAGTCGAAGCGTATGGTCAACGCAGCGAGCCCACCAATCGGCAATCATTTATCGGGCGGTGAACTAAAAAAAAGCGCCTCGTGGACAGTAACAAAAATCCATCGCGCGGCGCACACACACCGACGGCGAAGACGAGGAGCATAGAACGACGTGATCTGGTTCAGACGGCTTGTGGTAAGTGACCTCGCGGAGTCACCGGCGAGTCAGGGAGCGGTCGCTGCAGGTCAATCGGAGCAATATGTACGAACGCTCACAAATAACAACCGCACGCACACCGCGCGCTGCCCGATCTGATACAGAAACATGTTATACAATACCTTCCATAAATAATATTTCCACTAGCAGCAGCCTTTCAAAAACGCGCCGAATTAATAATGCGCGGGGAAAACGCGACCGCGCACGCGTTTGGAAAGTCGCGACCGTTTGAACTTTCGTCGAAATTGAACAAACGCACAAACGCCGCGTGGGTTTCACGGCGATGTCGTTCGCGGCAAAGAAATGTGGAATTTAACCCTGCCTATAAGAGCGTGCACACGCTCATCGCCTGTACAAATACGTTCGCGTAATGATATAAATTCGAACTTGTTGCGTCCACTGGACCGTCAACAATATCATGCCGGTGTGCAGCGCACAAACCGCAGAGTTCCGGTGATATTTTCAATCGGTGCGTTTGGTCTTTTTTTTTTGTTATGTTATTTTCTTCTCTCGCCGACGAAAGAAATCTCAAAGCTGCTCGCGTGAACATTTTCGTTAATAAATCAACACAGCGCGCGCGCTCGACGGCGATTGGAAATTCGCAGTAATTTATTAAAATATTATTCATTGGTGGTACAGTTCCAAGTCCGAGTTCGCGCGCGGAGTCTGCGAGACCCGCGAGTCATTGGAGTGGTATGATATGGGCAAAAAGTTTGTGACCCTGTTTAAGCGTACTTTATTCGTATGGTCATCAAGTCAACCGTGGCCTTATTGTGCGCCACTCGAGCAAGTGAATGTGAATGAACAAGCTGCACCTGAACACCTGACTCGATCGAAAAGTATAAATTAATAAATGGAGCACACAAGTAGTGGTCAGGTCGTAATTCGGTGCGGCGTCCGCCATACTTTCACATCGCCATTTTTTCTCGGTAGGCATGTGTGTATGTGTTGCAATCTCTTCGAGATTTGCGTCTTATCTAGTTGTTGGCTTGACTATTCTAAAGGTTGAATTCGACGCGTTCAATCGCAACCTTATAAAATGATTCGATACGTTTTGATGCGGTTCTAATTCAGCGGGCATGACTCTTTCTGGTCCACCACGATCCATGGTCAGGCGGCCGGTTCTTCTCTTGCAGATCGAATTGTAACGCCATGTGGCTGTGGCCGAGTGATTTCTTTGTGCGGGGCTGGATTTTGTATAGAAATATGTATAAATCGCCACTGCACGCACGTACTTACGAACTATGCAGAGCGTGGCGCATTATATCATGTCAATGTAAGAAAACCAGTGCAACCAGTGCATCAATTCAGAGCTGGGCGACTCGCGTCGTCGATTATGATTCAGATCCACACGAAGGATCGCCGCGGAATCAGCTAATAACAAATCGAAATCAGAACGCGACGTGCGTTGCATTCACGTACGCCGGCTGCAAAATGTTACAATTTCGAGATGAAAAAGAGATGCCGTCACCGCCGCCGCCCGCCTTGCATCTGCGTACGGAGAACATCCGCGTGTCATTTTCAGGTGGGTCACGGATCAAAGAAATTGTTTCGTAAACGTTTCCTCTCTGGTATCAATTCTCCATATAGATATATATTTAACGATTCTTGCACCGTGAAAGACAAATTTCGCGACGAAATACATATTATACAATTTATGCAATAAAAAATTGAAATATAAAAGATTTATTCAATGCATGTATTGATGTGCATAGAAATTTAAGTTTGATTTGCCGCATAAGTGTCAACGATCGTGACTGTTTAAATACAATTCTTATTGCAATTGTGAATGTGTTAATGATGTACCTATGATTGAGTACCAATAAAGACTAAACAGTCATGTGGCAAATACAATCTCTTTTATCTCTATTGATCTTGATGTTTCCGACGTATTATCACCGTTCGCAATTTGTTTACACTGATATAATTTTTGAAATTAAAGTTTAATATATGCATTAAAAATGAGATGGGTCCCTAACATATACATACTCGTATGCGTTAATAATGTCCTGTTTATTAGAATTCTGCATGAAGCAAAGATGCGCTCGCAAGCAGTGCAATCGCTAATTATTAGAAACGACCTCCGGTGTGCGGCGTGAACGAGAAAACCAATAAATTGCCGCGCGACTTTATCGCGAGGCTCGCGCGAACTTCCACATTTCGCTCGAACCCGGAGAACCCGGAGCGCGTCAACTCCGCGGAAAAGCCAGCCCCCGACGCCCGGTGTCTCGGTGCGCGGCCACGGGTCGTGCGCGATGATCATCAAATAATAAAAACGAAAATCACGCGAAGAGCGCGCGCTCCGGCCGCGTCTCAAGCGCAAGACGGAGCGTGTTATTACCGCCGGTCGGACGCGTCGGGCAGGCGAGCCTGCGGGCGCGTGCCTGCTATCTGCTACCGTGGCCCCTCTTGCCTCTCCGAGCGTAACGAAAAAAATTTCCATCGGCATGCATGTAATTATTAGTATACCAAACCTCGCGGACCTTCTGCGCGCGAGTACTCCGCGCCGCGCCGCAAGCCGTCCGATTCTTTTTTACCTTTTTATTTAATTATACCTTTGCGATGAGGACTCGCGAAGAGGAACTTCGTGCATTGTTTTTGAAATCGTTTCAACGAGAAGAATACGCAGCGCGAGCGCTCGAGAGCAAAATACTTGTTTCCTTTATAAAGCGAGCGCGCGCGGCCGGAGCGTGTGCATTTAAATGAGCATAGCACGTGTATGAAATCGTAATTAACTTTATAATTTAGTTTTTCCGTTTGATTATGCGCTTGCGCGGCGCATATTTCACGAAACGAATCGCAAGCAAACACATTCAATACAAAAAAATGCAGAAATTCGACAGTCAGACTGACTAACTGAGTGTCACGTTTAACATGCAAAAACATTAATTAGTGACGGTTTAACTCCAACTACAATAAACGACTGTTAACATGCATGACGATTGAAACATTCAATAGCTGAATAATAGACAAATATACAATTCTGAATAGTGATATAGCATGCATTTACTTTTTCATCAACTTTCTTCGATCTCTGCTTCTTCTGCTTTTGATGCGAGCCACTATCGATTCCTCATCGCACTGCCAAGATACAAATCAGCGCGCAATTACACACATTAGAATTTTCTAAACATGTTTACGAGTTCATGAAGTATAGTGCTAGTAAGCTTTTTTTCTGCGGCGTATAACCTTCTCAGTATCTTAGTATTTAGATTTGCGTTCCGAGGTTGAACAATCGAACACGCCGTAGCTAAATAGACTACATACACCTAGCAAAATTATACCGTGTGCGTTCTAAAGAATGCGGAATAAAGAGTGCGCAATATTGAATCTTTCTGCGCTTCCAACAGCCGGTGTGCTCTAATTAGCGCCGGTGCGTGAAATGGTTGGGTCAATTAGCGCGACAGATTGGAGATTCGAGTTGGTTCGTTGCGACCTCCTCGTCCAAAGTCGAATCGCGTCCTATTCCGACATAGGAAGAAGACTTGCAGAGGTATTGTTGCAGCATCTCAGATTGACATTTGGCGTGTGTTGTGCAAATGCCATTGTGTGTAGGCTTATGAAATAGATCCGGCACTGGCAAACTTGCGGAATGGCCACAATGCGGCGGCAATTTTGAAACGCGAGCGGAACGCCGCGGAATTGTAATCGCAGCGATGCGACACAATGGGAGCACGAATTTCAATGTAAGACGTTTGCGCGACTTCATCGCATCGTGGTCCTACCGTGTGCGCCCGCTCACTACATGACATAAATGTTATTCACGCCAGTGGCGCGTAAAGATGAGCGTACGTGACGCTCAAACGTGACCGCCAATTCTTTGCGCGTTATTATCGTGCGCCTGGCCGCCCTTCTCGTGGGCATTAGGAGCGACCCACTTCTCGGCGTGGTGAGCAAAAAATATAACAATGTACTGACCTGTACATACTCCGCGCAGATGTCGATGCTGCCGACAAACGCGCACACGTCCTCCACGCCCCACCTGCTGATATCTTCGGCGGGCGTGTGGTGATGGCCATTCTGCCTGCCTGCGGCGGTGCAGGCGAGCGGAACACTGGTGGCGGCGCCGGGTTTGGGACTTTCAGACTGCGCCCGCTTAGGCACCGGCGTTTTCAATCGCGCTCTCTTGGTCGGTGGTGCCGCGGCTGATAAGTCCAAAGGGGAGGAGCTCTCGTTACGTTTGACATTCTTGAGGAGGGTGTGCAGCTCGGCTTCCTTGGCGCTGCGGACCATAGCAAGCAGGGTTTGCGTGGAGGACATATCCAACAGTGGGGGGAACATCGATGAAGCCGCGGCGAATGGGTTTAAAAGCATCGATGAGCTCAAATCTTTGCTCTTCGCCATTTCTTCCTTTACGTTCTGAACCATAGAAGGGTGCAAGAGAGGAAAGTTGCTCTTAAATCGCGAATCAAGGCCGGGTGGAAAACCGTTCCTTGCAAAATATCTGAAATGACAAGCGGCAATTTTCGAAATATGTTCGGTTACAAGAGTTTCAAAGAAATACTTACTCGTTAGGACTCGTATTTTGATATTTGGCCGCTAGGCTTCGCATAAAATCGCTGTAGTTCCTCCCTGTAAGCTGGAGCATAGAATTTTCCGCGGGTGGCGTATTGGGGTGCGACGCCGACGAGGGTGTCACAGATCGGGACGACGTGTCGGTCGTTCCAGGACTCAGCCGTTCGTTTTTCACGTTATTGTTGTTATTGATGTTATTATTGTTATTAATACTCGATTGATGATAGTCCCCCGTCGGCGTTAACGATGTTGTAACAGCACGCTCTCTTCGGCGCTGTTTCGAGATCGGAGTGCTCGGCGCTTCGACCTCACTGGGAGGCTCCCTCGTAATACTCGTATCGCCTGAAATAGGAAACAACGCGATGCAACAATGTAATTTCACTCGATTCGAGAAGATTTATCAAAAGTCGAACAGAGCGTAGACAATGTCTACCTGTCGCACTGGTCATTCGACACCGAACAACTCAATTCAACTCGCTTAAAACACACAAAACAAAAAATAGACGAAAGCATTATTTATTTAAATTTATTACCAATTTGATAGGCGCGATCGGCCGAATGTAAACCCGCTCCTCTCATGTCGCGCCTAATAATGCAGATCAAGTTTCATCGCGCGCCGATCGTAAAATAAAATCTTTACGTTCAAGTGGTTCGACAAATTTGACTTTCGTCGTTGACGAATTCGAATAGTTTCGCGTTTCTCGGTTTCTATCTGGTTGCGGTTCGTCGTTTTCGGGCGGCGGGCGTTTTTATTGTCAGCTCTTGATCAAGTATAACGCACGCTCAACGCGTCCGATGCATTTTATTCAACTGCGACGCTCATTTGCATGGCCACAGAATAGCCGCGCGGTCGAAGAAGTGCGCGCGCCTCGACAAATATGAAGACATAAATTCCGACGCATTTTGAATCGATTCGATTTCTTCATTACGATCGCGCCGCTCGCATTGAAGATTCAAAGAAAGGTGGCATCATCGTCCGCAAACCGTTCCGAACTGTATAAAATTACATATTTTACGGCTCTACTGGCCACATCGAACGGTATTACGGTTAAAACGACCTCAAATCAAGGTGCTCCGCGAGCAAAAGGCACCAGCTTACCGACGCCCGTGAGCTGTAAAGTGCACCCATGCATATTGAACGTAGTGGCATTTTTTATAACATAAAAATCGCTTCAATTTGGTTCTCTTATTGCATGTTCGATATCTGAACGAGCATGTATGACAAGAATTAGGTTGATTTTTGTAACTGGTGCGATCTCTTGCGACACGCGTTATTAATCGATGGCAAATGTTAGTCGTTACTTTCCTAAAAACATTGCTACATTGCCAAAGCTGTAAGTCGTTGGCTGGTTTGCTGGAATTCGAAACCTTTTGAGCGATTAACTTCTCGAGAGAATGCGTTGCGACCGGAGTACAGAGTTGAGTGTTTGTCTGACTCGGGAGGAATGATTGCGCGAGGTGTAGGAAGTTCGAATGTCATCATTGTCAACGTATCCGCGACGGTTCGAATGGTAAGTGAGTTCGGCTGAATACGAAAATAGGAAACGCCGTCGGAATACTTTATTACAAGACCTTCCCTTCATTGAGCACATTTCTATGCCTGCGATGACGACGACGACGACGACGACGCACAAAAGTCAACAACAGTCAGGCAATCACGTTGCCTCTTGGCGTTTGACGAGAGTATCCATAAGTCATGTTTACAATCGACCGGAGCGAGATTTAACTTAGCCGTATCTACGCTACTAATTTTCAAGTATTCCTAAAGAATTCTTTCCATACAAAACAAAATTATCTTTTACAAAGCAAAAATCAAGAAAAATGAAAATAAAGTTTAATTATTAGAGGCATTAAAAGATTGAAGTACACACTTGAGCACTTGCATCTGCGGGTCAGATGTGAAATAAATATGCATGGTAGCCAAGCAGTCAAGTCGAAGATGTGAAGCTGAAGAACCTGCGCAACCTTCGAGCTGATATGTACAGTTTACATTCGATTTTAACGGTGCTGACATATGGCAAGCGAATTACATGCGCGCATTGTATTTTGGTGCGTGTGTTGGGCTTTGAATATGCGTGGCGCGTCCAGGAAACGGTGGAAAGTGTTGACGAAGTCATGCCATCACGCTCGCCGAAGACATTGATTGCGCGCAAGAATTTTGCGAGATTTTCCGTCCAAGCACGTTTGTTTACCGGCATGGCATGGCAAAGCCCGCTCCGAAATAAGGAATAGGTAAAGTGCATGCAGTTCGGCGAATTCCGTAGCCTTACTTGACCTTTTCCTTTTCAGTGGATTGTGGAAACCAACAATTCTGGCTAGAGTGGTAAAATGAAAAATTCCGAGAAGTGGTTCGCTGAGTAAAACCCTATGCGGCACAATAGGACCTAAGAAGATTGTAAGGCGTAGAACCTTGAAGTCGGGGTGCGCAAGGGTGAAGGGCCACCGTAGGTCAACGGGGTAGCTTAAATCGGAAGGCCGAAAATGTATTCCGTCAAGTAGGTAGTCGAAAAGTTCAAAATGCGCGCTGCACTTGCGGCTCGAGGTAAACATTCGCAGCGCGCACGAGCACATGACTACGCTACTATGAAATATACTCGTAGACAGACATATGATTGAAACTGCGTTACAAATAAAATAAAATAAAATACATCGCAATTAAACAAACCTGAATAGCACCAAGCTGGCCAAACAACCGGACTTTCGGTGTCCATGGCTCGGACAAAAAGCACAATACAAATCGTTCGATAAGTCGCGCGCGGCGCACACTTCGCGGCACTTTTGCAATTATTCACATAATTCACTCGTCACTGGCGCGAACGGTTTTATTGCAGTTTTATTATGATTGCGCGCGGTCGCGTTCGCAACTTCGATTAATAACAAAACGCGGCACGCTGGTCCCAGCGCCTGCGTCCGCTCACTTTTTTCGACCCGACCCAATATCAAAGTGCGAGCGACGTCGTGCCGTCGACGACGCACAGGTGCAAAGTGTTTCGTCCGCTGCCGAATGGCCAAACAACAGGTGATCAACGAGCGCACTCACACACGGGCGCGCGCGCACGCCAGCGGCCGCGAAACATGTGCCGGGCTTTGACAATCCTCCGCGTGCACCTCTACCACGCCGACCACTGCCTCCTCGATGCCTCGGCGTGCGGTAGCAGCCGAAGGAGCGCGCCCGGCTAAGAGCTGTGGCGAACCGCGCGCGGCCTCGACCGACCAACCCGTACGGCCCGTGCACGAACTACCTTCCGATCATTGTGGATCATTGCGGAGCGAGTGGCGAGCACGACGGACGACACGAACGATGAAAACGACTCGTCGAGAATGGAGTGGTCGGCATGGCGAGCGCGTTCAAGTAGCCGTTCACGTAGTGAGTAGGTAACGCAACCTGTGGCAAGCGCACGACGGGCTAAACACTAAGTATTCAAAGAAGCCGCCGTCAGGAAGACGGTGCATGCCGGGGTGGTGGCGACGATGTCGCCCTTCGACCAGGTCGCTTTTCACTTTTCGAAATTTCAATTATGGATGGGCCGGCGTGCTCTCTCGCTAGGTCAGCGCAACGGTCGGGCCCGCCGTTCTTCCGCGCTCCACGCCGCTGCTGAATAGCACTCCGAGACCACCGTTCGTGAGCGTGGCGTATGAATGAAGTTGTCCTCGTCTTTGTTTCAACCGGTTGCTGATTATCGTTCGGAACGAGATGGAGCGATAATTGGTACGGTAGCGATGAGTATGAGTAAGTAATAAAAGATGTTCACGAACTCTCTTCGCGTTGGAGCGAGAGATCTTTATTCATTGTTGCTCCGCATTGTTTCGGCGAAGATACTTGTGGTGGTGGAGATGAGGGAGGCGCCCAGTCGAGACAATCGCAATCGAATAAAACCGGAATACCAAAACAATCAGCCAGCACAAACCAAGCCTCTATTAATTGAAATATTTTTCACCGTGCGCGCCCTGCCCCCATGAACCTCGTCTAACTTTCCAACTTTTCAACTCCTGCGCTCTGACCATTTGAAACAATGTTACAACCTTTATTACCACTTACTTAAATTCAAATATTTACGTTCTACACTCAGAAGTGTTTTAGCTTGCAATTAAAAGTTCATAAAACATGCAACGCAGATTTGTCTAAATAGTATACTATGATTACTCGAAACAAATTCGCTTCAATAACACCTACACTCGTCGCATTATACAAAGCTGTATTTAGCTTTATTGTTTTCTTCGTACAAACTATCACCGGAGAACAAATATGAACCATAAAGGTTTGTAAAAAAAAAGTAAAAGTTTATTGCTTGCCCTACATTAGCAACTAGCAGTACCTACACATACCAATAAACTATTACCTACTAACATTATTCACGGCAAAACACAATTAGAATTTTACATCAATTAAAATTAGAAAAATATATTGTAAAGTGATATTTATTATTTATGTTAGAAATCAATGATAAAATATCGATAAAAATTAAATTTTTCTTATGGTCAGAATACAATTCGTCTACAAAATATCGACAGAAAATTTATTTCACTTATGTATTTATGAATAAAATTTTTATTAATTTGCATTTTGTGAATGACTTATTTCTTATTGTATAATGCAAATCAATCTATAAAATTTTCTCCACATTTTGTTTGTGCTTAAAAGTTCATAAAACATGGAACACAAATGAATTTGAATATTCTACTATGATTTTTCAAAACAGATTTGCATCAATGACACCTGAATTCTAATGAGATCTCGGGGTTGTACTTTCCCCCGGCACACAATTTTTTGAGGCATATGTACATTATCACATTAATGTTACGTTTACTTCCATATCCCAAAAAATCATGTAAACGAAAGTAGGTATCAATAACGACTATTACACTTTTTTTTAGTTCCACTTGTTGAATACAAACAAAAAAGCATGTGTAATCAGGTCAGTAAATCCAAATAAATAACAAAAAACTACCATTGCAGAGTTATATGGTAGCTACATTTTGAAAATAAATTATAGAAAATTAATTCAGAATGATACGAAATATTTACCTATTTGTATTTAAAAGCATTTAAAAAATAACGATGAAAATACTAGAAACGTTTGAAATTGATGTTTTTTACAAATCACAATTTTCCTAATACTAACAAACAGGTGAGTTTTGTAAATACATTTACTTAATAATCAAGTTTTAAAATGAGTAATGACAATTCTTTAATAGGTAGGTACTAATTTTTCGATAAAAACAACAGAACATGAAAGTTTAGAAAGAAATTGCCACTGGTTTAGTCACACACAGCGCCGTAGACAATTATTACGTAGGTATAGAACAAGTAATTGCATGCCTTATTATATTATATGATATTATATATTTTCGCCCGCCGCGCACATACAAACAATGTAATGTAATTTGACCCATGCGCTGTTCTTGCGACTCGCGAGTTTAGTTGATTGTTAGGTAATTTAGATATTGATGATCACGCGGCGGCAGCAATGACACCGGTGGCATCTCGACACTAAAAAGCAAATAACGTAAACAGCGCGCACCGGAAATGAAAAATTACGGGTCAGCGTAAAGTCCTCGTCTTCATCCTTCGCGGCGCTCGCGCTGCCCGGCTCGCTGGTGACGATTCCTCGCGTGCGATTCGAGCGACCCGATAGACGAGATGAAAAAACGCGCCACGGTGAGGAGCAAAAAACCACCGCCTAGGCCGGTCAACTCCGGCCATCAACTATACCACATTAATGAAGGAAAGGTCACTTAGAAATCTCTTCGGTGGAACGTACACACGTAAGTGCGCGGTCGCGCTCGCTCGCCGCGGCATCGAGGCGTTGCTTTCGTCGTATCGGCATCCGAGATACATCATGCGGCGGAAAAAATATCAAACCGCATTCCGAACTAGATTTGTCTACAAATTTATGCACGTGCTGCGTATCTAGATGACATCATTTGCCTAACGATCAAGACGAATCGAACGCGGCGAAGCGATCGGATTGCACGAAGCGAGCGCGCGCCGCGTCTTCTTCGCCTGCGCCGCGATGTTTGTGTTGCTAATTTTTCAGTTAACGAGTAGAAGGATGGCGCGGTCATCTGTTGCGTACTCTCGGGAACAATACGTACCTACGTTTTCTGGCTGCTACATCGAAATCAACACAACCACAAAAAGCACGCCATTAAATTTAATTACGCTAATTGTAATACAGTAAACTATCACAACGCGCGTTTCAAATTCTCACTGGATAATGATAAATGATAATTATAAAATGTTAAAAAATTTCACACAAATTCAATAATTTGCACATATTTCCGAAGATATTAGGTTTTTTTTTTGTAACAGAAAATAAATAAAGATATAAAACAGTAATTATGCCACCCTATCCCCTACTACTATACTTGTTCAACACGGCAACTGTTCTTTGTGACTGTTTGCTAAGAAGTAATTGCTGCGTATAAAAAACGCGGCAATAAAATTAAATTTTATGGCGCGGGCAATGCGCTCATTTTCATTAATAGATTGATAAAGTATAGTGATCGGAGTCACTACGGCTAATCAGAATTTGAAACTGTGCACGCTGAACGCTGTGCAGCTTTTTCTTGGAGTAATTTGCAATTCCATATAAATTAAAGAGGAAATCGTAAGACTTCCTGTATTGAATGCCTCTTTTGGTGCGCGTACTCGTTTATTTCTACTATTAAAAGTTAACAAGCATTCGCTCGGTTTACATCACTCGCCGGTTGGCGCGAGTCGCTTTAGTTTGCATACTACGCGCGTGCATCGCGAGCGTTTCGTGTTGCGTCGTCCGCGCCGCTGCAGGATCGTTTCTAATCAAAAGACACTCCTGGATTTCAGTTATTTATTGCATGCATTGAATGCATTCGTTATTGCTGTATTAGAGCCGAGGCGATCGAATGAATAAGCAGAAGAGCGCCGGCCGGACGAGAATGTATCGCCGCGCTCGTGGGCAAGCCGCTCGGAAAAGAAATGCGCGCCCGAAGAAGTTGGGCAAAAAGAAAACGGAAAGATATTGTGGAGCGAGGAGAGCAGCGAGCACGCCGAGCGCGTTCTAGATTCACGGCCGGAGACTTCGCCTGCGTGCGTGCGAGAGCGCACCACAAAGAGCGCCTGGATCTTCATCTGCTCATGGCAGTGAAAGAGCAAACGACCGGTCTCGATACATATACAATTTCAAATGAAAAAATATAACACGTATACAGGATGCTGCCGTTTCCAGCCGACCGACCCGCCAATGACCAATCCGCACCCTGCGCGCGTGATCGCCACCCGTCGTAGGTCGGGACACCGCGCGGAAAAAGACTTTCCATGTGGGATTTCTCGCATAGCTGGCACACGTTGGTAATTCGCGCAATCGCGGCACACTCGGCAGCTCAAGCGCGTTTTTTCGAGAATGAGGTAGACGCCGACCGCGCTGAATATGAGTGGTTATAAGGCAAAGGCGTATAAACAGGGCCGATCGCCGGCAGGTGCAAGCGTGGGCAACAAGTGGCATGCCGGGCCGTTTAGCCGCGCGGGCCGTGCAGCAGGATGTGAGCGGCAGCAGGCGGCGCGGATCGCAGTCGGAGACGCGCGGCCGCTGCGACCGGCGACCGGACCTGGCTGGCCGCGGACATAATAACTGCAGGTCACCTTCTATCATTTACGACCTCATTCGATCCGAATCTAAACTATAACCTCCGATGCGTTCGCCGTGTGGCGCGCACACACTTACGCGCGCAGGATATTCACTTACTCCGCGGGCGCGCGGGTTTAATGCGCTCCGGATCCGCTCCACATGCTCGCGCTCTGATAAGAGGCCTGCTTCTTCTACTTCTTGACGTCCGCGAAGCAGAAGAAGAAGCAGAACCGCGCCGCGCTGATGAGCTAGTTGTAAATCATAGCCGCGATTGACAAAAAATCGCACCGGCGCGCCACTTTCGACGCGGCTAATTGGAAAACCGAAAAATATTTATTACCACACTTGTGCGTGTGCTTGATTCAAAAATCTCCTCCATCGCCACGCACACAATTATCATAATTGGAAAATTAATTGCACGAAATTGGATAATTTCGCTAAAATCAATGATTAACGACCTGAGTCCTAAGCAGATATAATTACCGTAATTAGAATGAACTTTATGATTGTATAATTGTATGAAGTTTTATCGGCTGTATGGTAGGCATCGAAAAATGTCAATTAAGTAAGGTCACTTTTATACCCAATGACGCGGCTGGGGTTCGAAAAGGTTAAATAGGGTTGGGACCCGTGCGGTCGTGACCGTCTCTTTGAGACACTCATCGCACCGTCCGTCTATGTCTAGGACAATCTGGAGTTTGTCGTAGACGTGACGCGATTTGCTCGCCCGGCGTAAATATTTTCGTGTTGATTGGAAAGCAGAGATTAGGAAAATGAATGGCCCATCTACGGCTAACTCACCAACCAGTCGATACTGACTTCCTCTTCATCTACAAATACATTACATCGCAATTAGGCGTTGTCATTTTGAGGGGAATGGCTCGCGACCGTAGGACGGATGTCGTGCATCGCGCGCAGCGCACGACTTCGCCGAACAAAAGTTCGAATCAATTGTTGGATTTACAGCCGCTGGCATGGAAATGAGCCGCGAGGTTGTGGCCCGGCCCGCGTGGTGTTAAGGGGCGTGCGGGTCATGGGTCACGGACATCATCGGTCGTCGCAACTTCCCCCGCAACTTTTGCTGGTTTATTAACTGAACTCATGGCACTAAACAGTGTATATCAGCGGCGTTTTCCTTTTTTGTGTGTTTTTGATATAGACATATACCACGATTTAGTTGACCACTGTTTGTACCAAAGATATATGTAAATTTCCTTTTTATATTGAATATATCATACATACAGAAAACACGATATCATATTCAATTGTATTGAATTTGTTTAAAGTTTATTTAGTTTCTATTTACGTTAACATAACACGAAGCATACACATTTGTATATATTCCCGAGCAATCGCGCAATAAATGTAGCATTTTAACTAAGGTTTTCAGTGTCGCCCACCATATCGCACGGAGGTCTCAATAACAAAACAATACCACTTCAAATTCAGTTTATTCAGTCATACACATTCCATTCGGATAGCTCCATGCTCCACACTTTACAAGTTTGTACAAACATGGCGTAATCAATGCATTGTGTTGGTAAATAAAGCAGAGATATAAAGAAAGCGCAAATCTACGCCCACTCTATTGAACTTTGCACTCCTCTGCTGCAGTTTTTGCATTAAAACAGGCGAAACAACGTGCAAGAAAAGATAAAGACTAGATTTTACTTTAAACTGATTTTAAAGTGAATTATTGTATATCTGGTAATTGATTTAGTCGCCCAATAAATCACAGTATTGCTTCCGATTACAATGTACCGCCGTAATTAAAACTTAAAGCAAGTTCATAACGAAATCATCGTTCCACCTCGCATGCATTGTGCTCTCGGACAATAATTCCAGCAGAGTGTGCGCTGTATAAAAGTACGTGACGCGTTCTGACCCTCAACCATAACGCGGGTCGAGCGCAACCGTCACGCCAATTTACACGTAATAATTTATTGCAACTTCTTCCTAATGGTGTTACCAAGAACAACATGGAAGCGCATAAAAACGCCGGATCAAAACGCTACTAAAAACTTCCACCGAGACGTTTATATCAACAGATTCAATAAGTAAGTGGTACCGATTTGATTTGATATACCTAGTAGGGATAATCTTTATATCTGTAAAATAATATGTTACCGCAATTTTTGTAATTAGAAGCAAGCCACGAGTGACTTTCGACTGTAAACAGATCATTACAGTTAGCTAGGCAGAAAGAGTGCGATGTGTGTGTTGTGCCGTTAATTGTTTGAAGAGTGCACGAACGATTCGTGCTTAATTGGATTTTTAAATGTAAATTTAAGCGGTTGCCGGCGCGCAGAAGCGTGGCGCGTTTAATTGTGGCACGCGCTGCACAACACCGCGCCATAAAGAATAGAATCTTGTACGACACAAGCATGGATGATGGTTACACGAGTTCATGAGTAGGTGCTCACGCGAATTCGTCAATTATAAAGTTTATGTCGGAAAGTTTACACCGTCTTGAAAGTGATTTGGTAGATGAGCAAAACGTACTGGCAAGCCAAGGAAGGGACAAAACAGGTAACAAGCAACAAGTTTTGTAAATGACGCTGACTGGCGGCGTGCAGGAAGACGGTGGACACGCGGGGTGCACGGTAATGCCGGTCATAAGTGCATAGTGCACACTTCCGGTCATATATAGTCGCAGGCATTACGGGCATGCGCTAAGTGCTGAACTCGCTCGCTAGAATTATGCGCTCGCCGCAGATATGCCCACTTGATGGGCACGTTGCTTTTCTCCGCGAGGCTGTACAGACACAATCGATTTAAGCAGCATGTCGGCGGCTCACGTGTAGGTTTGCTGTTTATGTGTGCTAAGCAAGCAAGGCACAGATTAATGATATCGGACTTCCGGTCGTCGCGTGCCGTCATTCATACCCCGTTGAGCAGCAATTTTACCGTGACCTATTCACGTTGCTTTTTTATTCATCCTTTTTCTTCGAATTTTTGATTTCAAATATTTTCAGTGAATTATGCGAACATGAGTCGGCAGAAGTATCGTTTATATGTCACAGGCTCATAAAGCACTGAGCTCTGAGCTGTTGTTATACGATTATTTTGAATGTCATAATTGTTATCAAAAAATTATGTTTACCCATCGATTAATGAATTAGGTTTTTGTAAATTTGTTTTCCGATACATTCTAATGATAAAAATAACATCTAAAAACTCACCTAAATTCGATTTGCAAAATTTATAAAATGCGTGCATTGATGGCTAGGTAAAAGAAGCATACCTGCCAAAACACATGCACTCTGAACTCTAACTCTCCACCACTATTAACTGACCGGCTGAAAAGACATCTGAAGTTAAGGTATGAATATCGCGTCAATTCAGCGTCTTGTATTGCCAATAAGAATTTCATTTAGGTTAGCTGCCTATAATTGATTCGTAGTTTTATAAAAATTCATCGATACATCGTGTAAATGAAAAGTTTTAAAATCTTCCCAGCCAATGAAGTTTTAAGCATATTTTCAAATAAATCATAATCATAGTCAACCAATCCGTGGTGCACACTTAACCCAATTTTTCCATATCCCTAAAACGACTACTGTCGCGGTAAACAACTTTTTAAAGTCAACTGTTAAAGACATTTTCAAAACACATAATTTGCATTTCTTAAGTACTAGAAAAGAAATTTCACCGATTACACTACCAATCACACCATCTTATCATAGCTCGAAATTAGACAGCCAACTATGACTACCATAAGCATTAAAATTATGTTCTTAGTTATTGCCTTCCAGTTCACCCCCATCGCCTGCACCACTCTTACTTAACTCGTTTTAGTTTCCATTTTCATTATATCCACAACAAAAGCAATATTTTGATCCGGCGCGACGCACACATCGGGACACCGGCCACTCGGCGACTTTTGTTGTTCCTGCACGCACGACGCGAAGATCTAAAAGGTACCGCTTCTCTCATTACGCCCGATGATTCGACGGATTCCATTCAGATTTTTCTCGGACGTCCACCGACCGAGATTCTACCGAGTCGACACGCCGTCGGACGAATTCCGATTTTCACCAAATCGGCTTGATCGCTTAAACCAACCCGTCCTACCCATGCCTAATAATAATCAAACCGGCGCCGAGAAATTAAAGCAACCGCTTTGGTTTTCTACGCATACAAAACTTCTTTTTCTTCTCGGAGTTGCGACACACTTTGTATGTGAGATTTATGTCGTGCACAGTAGGCACTAGCGTGTAGCGCATATTGAAGTCGTTGATGAACTATTTAGAGATAAACCCGATGAACGCGCTCAATAAATTTATAAAAATAAAGCAGCGAGTGGTGATTTTTAATTAAAGCAAACACGCTCAGCATCGGCAATTTAAACCGCAGAAGAATAAATCGGAATTTCAACTCTGAGAATTGTAAAATGACCGGAAAATAGAGTTTTTCATGTTTACAATTTTAATATTAAAATTCGCGGTGCGTGGCGAACGGTGAGTTTTCCCATATCTCACGAAATTATTGTAGCGTTGCGAAGTCGTACGGAAAACGACACGGTCAGTGAGCATCCACTGTACATGCCGACGGTCATTATGCTCATTGCCCTTGTCTAGGTACTCGTCTTCACATATTGTTTGCATGACTTAATTTAATGTGCATTACAAAGAATATACAAGACGATCAGCGGCGGACATCATAAGTACGCGGTAAAAGTCGCGTTCATTATGGTTCTGGCCGCCTGGCTCAAGTTCTAATTAACTTTAATTTGACAATTACTATCAGCGACATTTACGAATCGAGGCAGAAACATCATGCACACGACATTCACCGCAAGCGCGACGACGTATTCACCGGATATTTAAAACGTATTAGTAAAAATGACAAGCACGCTGGAGGCTAACGGTAGCAAGAAAATGAGTAAAACTGTAAATTACCTTCGTACGGCTCTCTTTTGTGCATCCGTAATTGGTTAATAATTGTGGTGAGTCCTTTGCGTCGCTGACCCATCATTAGCGCATCTCGGCACGACGCGCTATCATTAGCACCATTGGACGACACATCCTTGTCGAGGTTGGTCGGCAGCGTGGTTTTCACCACGTCCTCCCGCTGGTCCCCATCGGACATGGTTTCACTTCCGAGTTGACTACAATCCACTTTTCGGAAAAATGCCCGCGTGCATCATTTCCGTCGCACCAGACGACGCGGAGACATTCGAATCGCTTGGATTCGATTCGGATTGATTCAAAATTGGAAATCGGGCAGGAATCGAATGATTGCGCCACCGATTTCGACTACCGGTACGTTACAGCTCGCTCCATATGCGATTCGATGCGTAATGGAACGCATAGCGAATGTGGTGTGCACGAACCCGATGCCGTTCGGCAGTGCTGAAGCTGAAAGTTAAGGCATAGGTTAAAGTTAAAAGGAGAGTATGTGTGGAATAATATGTAATGACCTGGGCCGACCCCGCGCACGTCTAAAAATGTTTCGGTTGAAAATAAACCAAAGTGTTGTTGTATGAGCTCCTTGTACTCCGCACTCGTGAACCGCGAGTGCAAACGCACGCAGGCATTCAATTTATGCTCGGAAAATTGCTGATTCGGTAAAAATTAATCAGGGCCTATCAAATCGACTACAGAAATTTAAACCCCGTTGAAAACGCCGCACGTAATTATGGAAGTAATTTTAGTTGACTTGTAGTTTAGACTTCAATGAGAATATTACTCAAATTACTTTAAAATGTTTTTATTTGCATTTGATTTTCAACAATGAGTTTAAAATCATGCTAAACGATTGTACTACGTAATTACAAAACATTGTAATTCTTGTTTTTTGATCATGATCGCCGCGATTTCTGAATTATTTTCTTAAACGGGTCCCAACTTTATGCAACCCAATGTACATGCCAACTTGAACAGCATAACTGCTCGTGCTAAACCGTTGACTCAACTCTGTCAACTCTTTTCATACAATCAGTAATGACACACACACTTGATAAAATTAGTACGTTGTAAAACGATAAAAAATTATAATATTTCAACATGCAACAAATTATAACAAGTTATTACCAGCGTCTGCGCCGCCCGCAGATTTGCCTCAATTTCTTACTAAATCAATTTAAACTGCACTTTCAAACTGTCGCACCTGTTTATTGTTAGTTACTTGCACTTATGATTTAGATTATTAATTGCACTTGTTGAGCTAAACTTTCGATTATATAGCAGTCCGATTATTAACATGAATTTTCTAAGGCGTAAAACGTGTCGTTAATTATAAAAAATTAAAGAATAAGTCGCATCAGGTAAAACACCTCGGCGTAGACTGGAAGTTGTTATTCGGGGGCCGGCGTGCCTGAGCCCGATGCGGGTCACCTTATCAGCCACACATATGTGTGCCGATTGTGTCAGAACACAAAGGTTATAAGTTGCAAGCTGATAAATTCAACAAACAATGAGTTTGTACGTGCACACGAACTTTTTCGTTCTCGGCTGACATACACGTTATCGGTGAGTAAAGTTTCATTTGATACATTTAAGTATCTTGCGAGTGGCCAGGCCACCGGAGTGCCTCTAATGTCGATTGGTAGTTCATGTACAATCAGCAATGACGTCCGAGTTGGGTACGCTTGGACTTCAAAAAGATTGCAGGCAATAGGTTTCGCAAAATAAATATTATTTAAATCTCGTTTCAAGTCGTGTATGGTACAAAACATTTACAAAATTATGTCAATACTTCCAGACAAAGCTAACAATTTATCGTCATCTTTGTAAAACTGAACAATGCATGACAATTGTGTGTTCGTTAATGACATTATCAGCTTTAATTGCTTTTTCTCTTCTTTTCCATCTCATTTTCCCTCAATCCTCGATCGGCTATCGGCGCGTAGCAGAGCGATGCTAGCGATGATTTGAGCAATTCCAAAATGAAATACATTTAAAAACAATAAATTGCATCACACAATTACAATCACGACCTCGTAGGACATATAATCGTAGACATACGTCCGGGAGGTATAGGATTCATTAGGACAAACGAAAATCGGCCAGTATACAGGGGCCGAAGCAAAGGCGGCAAGATCACTTCAATCCCATACTCTTAGTAAGGGATTCGTAAACGGTCCAAGCCATAGACGCCATTAGTGTGCGGCGCAGCAGCCGCGGGACCATTCCTTTAAAGTATCCCTGAATACCGTACTTTCCATGAACGTAGACTGCCACAGACCAGATACCGTTGAACTTGTGCGGGTAGAGCTGCATTTTTGTTTTGAGTACGTCAGCTGGTTGGGTTACAACCGAAGCGAGTATGCCGGCGGTGACACCGCAGGTAAAATGAAGCGGGGTGGCGTATGGGGTGTTGAGCAGTTCCTCTGGGACCAACATTTTGCTCTGTGTGTAGAACATCAGGTACAGTCCAGAGAAAGGCGCATCTCGGAACAGGGTCGGTACAAGGCCACATGTCATACCCTTGATGCCTTCAGTCTTATAGATTTCACTCAACGCCGAGCCGACGCTCTTGTAGCGATAGACGCCACTTTCGTACCTGTTCATATAAACATAACAGATAAGAATACGATGATTGGGCGTTTTCGTAGGGTAATTACCTTGTTTTCACTACGGTAATGGGTATTAAAGCGGCGCCGCTCATGCAACGCGCAAACATGCCCAAACCGACCGATTGCAGTGCCGATGGTTGAGTGTTGTGGAAGTATCTGCTTTTCAGAAAGTCCAGGGAGCAAAAGTAGAGCCCAACTCCTGGTACGCAACGAGTAATGCTCTGTGGACATAACAAAAAACAAGTATACATTAGTTTGCGTCAGCCTTATGAATTCAACTTGGCAACAGATAAGTCATTATCAAGGCCAGCAAGTTGAAAATAGATTGCGTCATTCGTAATACGTACCGGCACCATTCCGCGCCACAATCCACGAATTTGCTCCTGCTGAACAATGGTAGCGAAGATCGTTACCATGCCTGTACCACACCGTGCACTGTAAACAAGCACACAAATTAATACACCAATAATACACGCGGAGTATTTTAAACGTTAGCCGCGAAAAGGGAAAACTCACTTGATAACAGCGGCTGGTGCGGCATTTTGGAGACGTGTCTTGACCAAGTCCAAGGGTTGGAAGAGGACTGTTGAAAAGGTGCCCGAAAAGGCGCCAGCGAGAAACGCTTTCACGATGGGATACTGCAATAAAATAGAGCATAAATAAAAAGAAATCAATGCAATAAATCAGTTGGCAATTTGGCACATCCATTGACAATTAGTTAAAAGATCACAAAATGAAATGGGCACTCACAGAATCCATTGTAATTGGGTGTATGATGTGTTTTCGTTTTGGGGAACTTGAAGTTACGTTCAACGAGAGATTACACTGCCTCCGACAGCAGGAGCAAACTGCTTAAATATCGTCAAGCTCAAGTTTTTAAACGCGTGGCTTATCTGCGAGCGAGCAACAAACAGCGGCGATTGCAACACGAATTAATCCGCCAGTGTTGTATTAATTATCACAATATTTAAATTCCCCTATCTACCGGTCGCTGTTATTCGTAGAAATATGGCAATCACTGCTGGTTCTATTGGCACTGCTGATGCCAAACTGGTCGACCTCAGTGGCGATTGCAATTTATATATCTACATGGTTGTTGTTTGTCCTATATTCTGACGTTGGGCCGTTACCGAAAACGCGCAATCTTCTTTCCATTTTGTTATTGGGGCAATTCTTTTTTGCCCCCAGCGCGCGTTACATCGAGGGAGCACACATGTTTACGAAGTTTGATGGGTGTCGCGACCTCTTCACTCAATCGTATCGTCATTAAACGTTCATTGCTAAGTGCTATCGTATCGGTACTCACGTTTTGTAAAAACGGTTCGTTGCTAGGGTCCCGCTTGGACGTCGCGCCGTCGACGCTCGCGCGGCCCCCAGCAGCCTTGCAGTCGTCATCCTCGATAACGAACGCTGTGCGGGAATTCAAAAGCATTAAGAGGATACAGCAGATCGCTAATACGCACGCACGATGTTTTTGTTTTGATTTGGTCAAATCGGAGACACACTTGTGTTTAGCACGTTGCACACCTAAGTCGTTGTTTTGATTCTCATTCAACCGCAGCGAGCGTTACCTGAATGCGTCCGCAGCAGTAGCTCACGTTACCTAGTAGATCAACTTCATCAACTTTATGAGGTGATTTGACGTCACGAGACACACCGCTGTTTTTTTGAAACGTAGTTACCTTTATGGCGCGGCGACATAGGGACCAAAATCGATCGACGACGGACCGCACCTCCTCGTCGCACATTTCATGTTCCCCACTCAACAGGCCTGCAGCGGGACTCTTCTGTGCGCATGTATTTTCAGCCTGAATGCCAACATACAGTGCGCTCCCGCTGCGCCAGTTAACTCCATGTGGTTCACTTTTCACATTCACCACAGTACAACCTTCATTCATCAAGGAGATATTATATAATTCTAACAAACAATTACACGTCAATAGATATCTAAACTATTTGAGTTTACTTGCTTTCAGTAATAAAGTACGTAGTAAAACCAAGTGTATATCCTGTTATTCGAGTGTGTTTATGAAGCTCATGCGTATTTTCAGGAGACTTAAATTTTTACGAATTTCCGTATTATCATGCCATCGTCATTGTAAGGCAAGCGCCTAACGTTTTCAAATGTAAACAAATGTACAATGTCACGTATTTTGGGTGAAAGTCACGCCACACCAATGTCGCTCATTGCCAGCATGCGATTTTTTTTGCAGGCGCATCATCTAAGCGGTTTGGAAGTACATCCGCTCATCACACATATCTTATCCGCAGGCGTGCGCCTAGAGTAAACACAACTAATTGATTGATAAATTCCATAAACACTTCATCTAAATTAAATTGATTAATCGAAGCATAGAAAACAAAACAACTTGTTTGTGGCATTGTGATATATCGGATGTTCTTAGGTATTAATCACACACTATTACGTGATTTTTTTTAAATTTCAGGGCAAACAAGTATGACGAAATGTACAATTAAATATAATATATAGATATGAATAAAAATAATAGCGGTGACAATTAATTACACGTGCCAAATTGCATCACGTTATATTTATATCGAGTAGGTAGTTCAAATCATTTTATTTGAACGGCATATTGATGTTAGACTGTTTGTTTGTGACGATAATATTTTCATTCTAGAGTTGAGTTTGGGTGAATTTGTACGTATGTTATATTCGTCCAATAGATTAATTTATTTAAGGCGTATTCAATTTAAGAGTAGGTACCTTTTTGCTCCAACAACGCGCTAGCTACTTTCATTTTTATTTGTTAAATATTTAATATTAAATTATTCAATTTTTATGGTTTTGTATCATTAAACTGAATGTATTTTTGTTTTTAAAACCTAGAGGTTACATGAACACAACAAAGTATCAACTTCTTTAGCTCTAAATTTACGGATCTCTTTATAATACCTATATCTACTTACCTTTATTACAAATTTGAAGTTTTATAACTTTTAGTTCTTGGCAAAATGCAACCACCCAACATTTATAACAATCTGCCTCTTTAAACACAATATATTCAGTATAATATCTATTTCTTCCACTTCTCTCAATTGACACGTGTCAATATACCAATATGCGCATGTACTGTTGAAACAGTTTCGTCTTTTGTTCCGGTATCATTCGGTATTCGCATTCTATGTTTGGGCCTCGGTTAAAAGGAGATGTTGTCAAAATAAAACTTTCACGCGTTGCCATCATCCACCATTTTCTATAATATAACAACCACGTGGTCAGTTATTTGCTGATATCGTTTATTCTTCAAAGTGATGGCCAGAATATCCAACAGCCAAAATATCGAAGTCGTGGAGCTGGATGAAACGAAAAACACGAATCTGCATCTGCTGGCGATGAATGGCGATCATCTGGAGCTGGCCAAGTTCAAAGCCTTCGATAAAATCGATGCGCGGAATACATTCGGCGTAACTCCGCTAATGTGCGCGGTAAGAAATGGACATTTGGACGCAGTCAAGGTATTATTGGACTTACGAGCCGATGCATCAAAGATGAACAAATACGGTAAGATTATTTATACATTTACATGTGTGTAGTAACCTGTCATGGCTTCCTAGGGGGTAGCGTGTTTCTAATGGCTGTCGCTTCCGGTAACCTTGACGTGGTGACTATTCTGCTGCATCATTTGCTTTCTGGTGGTGTGTCCCGGCAAGTGATAGAATCACAGATCTCCCCGATAGCGTTATCTATTCTGTTCGACCACGAGGATGTTTTTAGGCTTTTGATTGGAAGCAACTTCAACGTGCAAGCGAGGTCATTCAACACAAGTTAGCATCTACAACATTCACTTATATCCTCGAATAATAATATTCTCCATTGCTTGTTTAGATCTAACACCTTTAATGTTTGCTGCACTCAATGAGAATCAATTATTTCTGAATCAATTGCTTCTGTTGGGTGCAGACGCACGTGTGCGAAGCGCCAACAACGAAACCTGCAATGATCTAAAGAAATTTAAAGAGGAATCGACGAATTCTCAACAACATCAACCAAATCCTGCAAATCGGAAACTACGTATTAAAATTCCTCCACATCATCAACTGCAGCAGCATCAAACAAAATCGCCAGTTATAATTGTACGTTCACCATCATTATCTAAATGTAATCCGTTGTTGCGATTGTCGCGGAAATCATCAGACACGTGTTCCCCGGACGCGATCACCCCGGCTATCTCACCTGTGGGCTACTACCCCCAGGTATTCTTTCCTGCAGATTTAATTCCATCACAGTTTGCAAGTCCCACATATTTTATCAGTCGGTGCGATTCGCCCTTCCAAAACTTCGTGATATCTCCTTTTCATTCTGATGATGTGTTTTTCATATGAAACTTATAAATCAGTATTTTTGTTTTGTTTGCACATTTGTTTGTTGTTATATATTTTGTTATGGCAAAAACACGTTATACGTGCATGCATCGATTATTTGGCCAGCGCCTAGCCGAACTTTCAAAGGATATCTTGGAGCTGATAACATTCGTCCTGCGTTAAGCGCTGTCAAACAATGCGAGATACTTTTACTTTAATGACTTTATATATAATCTCTTGAAACGAGACTTTTGTTTGTAATGTTACATTAAGTGTTTGTTCTTTGAATAATGCTACAACAATCATATATTGAAAAAAATCTATTTCTTTGAAAATAATACGAATATTTTCGGGGTTTCGTTAAGTTGAAATGCGAGTGAACTTTAAATGTACGAGCGAGTCGTTTTTTATTGTAATTTGCTTTAGTGTCATTTTATTTCAATGTAAAATTTTAAATGTCCTGTAAGGATTCTATTGTTAAATGTGCACACAATTTTTTTTTTCACAATAAAATAACCATAAAGGAATATTTGCATCTAATTATAAAAGTAATATGTTTTAATTTTTGTACATTTTATGTAGTTAGGTTGTTGCTTAATGCGTAGCTGGTGTTATCGTCGATAACATATTTGCGATGACATTTGTACACTTCTCGGTGCGATTATGTGTTTGGGTCATCGTTTAGGTCAGCGCTTATCTCTTGCAGTGGGGTCTTCGAATGGGGTTATAATAAAGTCGTCTCGCACATATTGACTCCCCGCACGGGTCATTTCAGATAAACAAGTCGACGACACATACCTAACACAGACGCCTGACGGCGGCGGCCATAAATATTACATGAGACACCTTGACAATGTTCGTATTTAATTATAGTGAATACATTTGCAATGATCATAACTTTGAACCAACATTTCCACAAATGGAGGTGTTTTTTAAACGTAATAAACAAGTTTATTTGGAAGGTTTTTTCACGTAGACGATGTTGTTTTGAGACTACGATTTGTACGTACTACGTATTGTGGTTGTATAATCAAATGTGAATCAAATGTCGATGACGAAAGTTTTTTTTTTTGTTCGACGTCAAACGCATCGTATGAGGATTTTATTTGTAAACATGAGTTCGAAAATAATACGTCCGATTTTGGATAAGAAGACGCATTGGGTTTATTTTAACATATTTGGTATTTTAGGAAAGCATTGAATCATATGCAGATATTATAAGCAACGTGGATATTTACCAAGTCAAAATCAATAATAATTCTTAATGACGATGCAATAGCCTGACGTGAGGTTACGAGGTTTAAAAGTCACAAATTAAATGCGTTGTTGATAACCCGTACACAATTCTGCGATTATTTGTCGTTGTTTTCAAATTTATGTTTACTTAACAGAGAGTGAGGTAAAATGACGACCTTAAGCTTATATGTTGGTTCCTGGGTGTTTTATGTTCTCTATTGACCTGATTATTCTGTAACAAATTTTGTGAACCTTAGTTGTATGTTATACGTAATGAATTTTAAGATGACAGTAAGTAGCCTCTAGTTTGTAACAGAATTAATAAACAATCAGTTATTTATAAGACAATTCCCTGTAATTTCCGATGATCAATTTTAATAGGTATATTAAGTACTAGCTTTTGCCCGCGACATCGTTCCGGTAATTAAATGTAATTCGTTTTTACTCTCTTGTTCTAGACATAGTATGTGTCAATTCTAACAATAAGATTCGCAATTTTATTTTAAAGAAATTAAGTATATTAAAAATTGCTAATGCACTTCAGCGTGCCATCTCGGATTCAACTATTTAACTATAACTATAATTGAATCTCAATGCCAACTTTTATCCTAGAGAGAAGGGCTGTATTTTGGGTTTTCCCGGCAATTATTCGAATTTTTCTCGCCATAAAAACCATTCTTGGACTTCAATGAACATTTAAAAAAAGAATTGTCCAAATTGATCTAGTCGTTGTTGAGCTATGCGCTTAGCAACAGATTTTGCGATTCATTTTATATTATAGACTAGCTTTAACCCGCGGCTTCGCTCGCGGATATCTAAAATAATGAAGTTGCTTCCGTATGCGTCTGTAGTCACAGAAGAAGTAACAATGAAGTAGAATGGCGGGAAGTGTAAAATGGCTGAAAGTATAGTCTATGGAAGTATAGTGTACAGTCTCCATAGTGTAGTCAATTGGATTTGATGTTGACGTAGCTGTTGGTAATACCGTGTGATAATACAGTGTATCTAATGGTACTATAGTACTTAGATTTGAGCTTCATTGCTGGAATTCTAGATGGCGTTAAAGTAGTCAAATAACCAGATGCAGAGGTATTATTGGCTAAACAATTTCTTTATTTTATTAAAAAAATAATTTTTTTTATTTAAAAAAGGTAGCCTATAACCATTCGGGGACCACTAAGAATATGTGTACAAATTTTCTTGATGATCAGTTAAGAAGTTTTTGCGTGAAAGCATGATAAACATCTGGACTTTCGCATTTATAATATTAGTAGGGATTTGGGTGTTTTTGTCACGAGATTGATTAAGAGCGAACGTAGCGAGCGTGTAATTAATCGATTGTTTAACAACGTTTACCGACGTGACGCTTAAGCTAACTTTTCTACTTCCACTCTATTAGCATTGAGGTTTTTGAATTTGAACTTTGGTAATTAAATCTTCGAAATTCGCTCATACACTACTGGGAAATGTAAGGTAATAAATGTGGTGCCGTCCCGACACGAGCAGCAGCAGCAGCGCCTTCTTTGACTTGTTTGGCGCATGGCATTTCGCATTGGCATTTCAGCTCAACCCCGTGACTAAAGTACTTTAGTCATGGCCTTGCCCGTTTGTGTTTAAAATACCACTTTTGTGCCTCAAAACCGACAAAAACCTGGTTAAAAAAATAAATTATCTAAGCACGGGTATGGTATCAAGTTATTTTGTTTACAATAAATACACTGTGTATAGAAGACACCTGTCTACGCGGTTTTATAATGTGTCATTTTTTATAACTGTCAGTTTTATTCATCTACGCTTTTGGATTATAAAATAAATTCTGCTTGTACCGCGATTTTGGAAAGACCTCGCATATTCCATTGATTCCTCGATAAACAGTGATAATTCTGCCGCCTCAATGCAGCGATTGTCGCATTTTGAATTCTCCAAGTTACTTGAAGATTTGCTTCGTGTAACGTTTGAATACGAGGACCCATTCCGACGTTTCATCAACGACGATAGACAAAACCGCGAGGACTGCACACACTGGGTAATTCTCTAATGATGGACAGTTTGGAGGCGCCGCTATATTTTCTGGATTGCGGCGAGTTCGAGAAGGTGATGATGGTATGGAAAACCTCTCCAGAAAACATTCGCTTCCAAGGAGACAGGTGTATATCGACAAACAACATCGCCTCACCAAACATCCACGAAATATCCGAACCAAACCGCCCAACTGCAAGTGATCAACCAGATTTGGGCATAGATACATTAGATAATCTACCAAGTGATATAGTGCCACCATTAAGTGCATGCTTTAGAAATCGCGGTACATCCAGTAGAAGACTGCAGACCATTACGGGTAGCAACAAAGATATCAGCAGCCACGCAACAACCGCCACTTCAGTCGCTGAAAACACTTACGCTGAATATAGTGAACTGCCCAGTTTCACCAATGATCAAATCATTACAAGACGCAATTCCACCAGCCCTTATGACCTTTCAAGTGGATCACCACAACAAACAGACGATGATTTCGATCGTATTTATCATAACCACGACACGCGTCGCAGGGATGATAAATTTTTGAGCAGAATAAGCAAATGCAATTCAGTTATAGCAATCAGAAAACCTGCTTTTGAAACTGAAAAAAACAATTCACCATATAGACGCATGCAGTATGCATCTAATCACTTATCACTACCGTCTTTTTCCAAATACCGAAGAGAGAAACGGAAGATACAAAAACAGTCGAACAGAATAAAAAAACCTGCACCTTTTATTGCGATGTGCAAAAATTCGGTAGTGTTACAGTTCGTAACAATGTTTGCCGTACTGATTGCCTGCATTCTTTTTACGGCCTAATTTGACAGTTGAAATATAATCCAGCAATATTAATAAAATACCCAGTGCTATTGACGTTTGACCTACTGCGTGTACAAAATTTTTCACTAGTTCCAATTACTAGTAACTAAGTATCTGAGTCGAAACTCGCAGACGCAATATTAATCTTTTTTACATACTTGAATATGTCCCAAATATTCATAATGTTTCAAATGGTTCCTTGCACGTAGGATTCTCAATTCTCAATTTTTACAAGAAAAACAAAAGGCTTAAAATTAATTTTAATCGAAATCAAATCTATATACCTACCTCTTATGCCAATAAAATTATTCTACGTTGTCCTATATTCAGTTAGTTGTTTTTAAATTTCAAACTAAATCCATTTGGTGAAGAACTAAAATTTTATTTCAATTTTAAATTGGAGCAGAAGAAACAAGTGCTCAACCTCTGTTCTAGTCTCAAATTAGGGGTGCGCTACCACTATAATACACTTAACATTCAAAAAGCAGCGTCAAACATTGAAGTTACAAGTACAAAGTACGTAATTACATGCTGCACCGATGTAATATAAGTTGCCTAACTGGTCCCACTTTAAAAACCGCGCTCTAAAACAAAGTTCAAACAAAAATTGTTTTACAAATTATGTTTATAATAACCTGAAACAAAAAAATGCAAACAGTTTATCAATCGTCACTCACGCAGTAGATTTAATCAGAGAATATCGTTAAATTTGCAATTTAAATTATGTATTTTCGTTTGTGCCAATGCTCGCTATGTCGCCCCCGCCCCCGACCGGACGACGGTCGACCGTCTTGGACGACATGGATGACTTGGATTCGTTGCATTCGACCAGCCGATTACTGCAAAAAAATGTCGTAAACTCCCTAGATTTAAATGGTACCAGTGGTAATGCGAGTTAAAAATACAGCACACCTTAGAATTGATACTTATTGCACGCTCTTTTTTTTTTTAATACAACAACAGTTTGGATTCTTTCAGTTTGTCACTCAGCCCAGTATGACGTCTCCTTCCACTCACGAGCTCATTTTCACCCACTCAGCACACAACATTTTTAAGTGTTACAGCTTTTACTGTCCTCAAAATTGCCTATACTGATATTTACTAAACTCCCCACCTTGCTTTGACAAACTTCCGCTGTATATTGGATATTAAAAGCTAAATTTCAAATACAGTGGAATCCCGGTAATCCGGACACGGCTTGATCCGGCACACCTTGTAATCCGACATGGTCATAAGCTATATGTTTGTACTTTAGGATTTGTAATTTGTCGGGTTACAAGGTATTTTTTTGTAAAAAATTCCGGGGCCTTAGGCACTTTTCTATAATCCGACAAATTCGCTCATCCGACACTGCCCTGCAAAGTGATTGTTGGATTACCGGGATTCCACTGCATAACATATAAAACATAATTTACTGTTTCCTACATTTCAAACTGCTCTTTTGTTGGTTGTTTTATGAAATAATCAGAATACACTTTCTTTTTCAGACAATCCATGTGATTCTTCCATGCTTGCTAATTGGAATTGGAAATGGAAATGCTAATTTATTTTAGACCAAAGTTTGGGAACATGAAGCTGTATGAATATTACTTGTGTTTTAAAACAGGATAAAATTAAATTCGTCACTTTATTAAACAATAGGGATACAGTTGTTATAAGTTAAATTCATAACCAGCGTAAAAAAATATGGTTGAGTTATTCGGCTGAGTTTAAAAAAGATAAAGTTAAACTTATCATCAATGCCATGAAACAGAATAAAATTAATTTGTCACCAACATTTAAAATATAAAGATATAGTTCATTTCTTCGTCCGAGTTTAAAAAGGGTAAAAAAGTAAAAGATAAAACAGGTAAAATATACCCTTCTCGCTACTCCAGTGCTGTGCCATCTCAATACCATTTTCCTCTTAGTATAACATCTAGGCTCCAACAACTAAACATAGAGACGTTTAACTTGACTATGGCTCCTGTCCGGTAAGGCAATTGATATAATAATATATGGGCAGATCCATTAATTCTCAACAAAAGTGTGCGCACTTAGATCAGCCATTCTGATAAAGATTTTTTCCTCAAAAGGAAATGGTCTTGATATAATCAAGCAACGGAGCGATTTTTCACTGATTTTCAATAATTTATATCTCAGCTTCTATATAACCAAAAGACTCCTATCAAATGGCATTTTCTCTACTTTTGAGAAAAAAATAGATATTTGGTCAAAATTTTATATCGGGATTAGTTGACCGCCTCTAACTAATAAACTGTTATGGTTAAATTTTACCTATTTGTAAAACCCTAGTATATGTACAGTGTTGGAAGTTAAGGGTCGAGCAGCAGCTAATGCCTTCTATTGGGGTATACTTTATTAAAATCTAAGCAATTTTTACTTGATTGCTTCTATTAAGTAAAGTTATAGCCATCCAACACTGGTCAAATTTAAAAAAAAAACATTGAACATTCAAATTTTCAGAAAATGTGGTCTGTTATATTAAGAAGTTCTGAAAATTTGAACAATGTTATCAAGCTTGTATCCGATAAACATTTTTTTTTAAAATTCAGTAAATTTGACTTGTTTGACTGGCGGCGCATGGCATTTCATATGGTCTTGTGCTACTCCGTATGCAAATGCCCAGGAGTAAGCTCCGCTCCATAGATAACGCTCACGGTTTTGGTCGTCCGTATTTAAAGTACCATATTTTGCGCATATAAACCATGGAAAAACCGGCGCTTTATAGGTGAAAGTAGAAAAAAATATATAATCTTCCTGAAAAAGTCGCATAATAAATTTCAATTCACTCAGGACGCAAAACTAATTTTGTGGCAAAAGTTCACAAAAATAACTTTCCGTCACGATTAAATTTCGACCTAATTAGAACTATATAACTTAATGTTAATAATTATAACTACCATTAACTAGCTCGTTACATACATTTAATTCTAATAAACGTGCAAATTAAGCGTAACGATTACTGCTAATAGGAATTCGAAAAGATGGGTACAAGTACCTATACTGTTATAGTAATTTCTGTTTTCACCCGACTTACCAATGCGATAGCATGCCATTCAAACACACATCTGCTATTTTCACTTTCATTTCGTATTGGAGGTAATAGTAAACGAAACTAAGTTCAATTGATGCGTTCGTTGACATCGGATGACACATCAAATACACAAATATAGAATGCACGGCAGAATACACATTTTGGTCTTCTTCGATACGTGTGTGTCAGCAACTTGCAACAATCAAGACGTGTCAGCAATTCGTTGACTTACTTAACCGATGACCCTATAGTTTCTGTTTGATGTTCAAAAGCGCAGTAAGATTCGGTACATCTGTATTACTTCTAAAAGTATCATGTAATATCAGCTAAGTTTTATGTTGTTGTGTCTAAACTTTGTACTATAAATATAGCTATATATTTACGTAATACAAGAAGTCATATGATCTAAGACCTTATAAGATTAATGTAAATAATCGTTAATGTTAACATATTGTTCTGCTGTTCCGCAGATCGTCGGTCGAGCAAAAAGTGAACGATCTTGTCATTGTTCGTCAAGGTTCGAGGAATTCATGGGAAAATGTAGGTTTAATCGTTTGTTTCTTAAATTATGTATAGCTTGCGTTATACTATACAGTGTATAGTATACACATTCAAAAAGAGTGGAATATTTAATTTTTGGCACCGCGTAAAACAAAACTGAAAATTTCATGTTAAAATTGCCCGGAATAAATGTAACAAATTTTAGGTCTAAATAATTCTATGCGATGTTATATTTTATACGCCCATAATCATAGTCATCAAATTCAGACTTGTTGTTTATATGAATAATTTGATTTGAAGCTAGCAAAAACACAAAGATCAAAAAATAATAGCTGACACACTACTCGCGTCCAGTAATATCAATTGTTTGTGCCATTTATTTTTTTTATGGTGCGAATCAAGTTGCTCATTGTGATAACGCATCAGGAGCGATAATTTAAATACGATACTGAATTTACCCGGTACATTCACCATGGTTGCTCATACTCGCAGGTATCAGTGGTACTACACGCTATACATTAACACCACAATGGTATATGTGCGCGCGTCCGCGTATAAATGAGAAACGGTCTGCTGCTGGTCGTGCCATGACTGACTCTTGTCGACTTGGGTAAGGTGAGTCCCATGCCACGGTTTGCTGGTTTGTGTACAACTCCGCCGCAGTTCGCGAGCGTCCGTCCGCCGCAGCGATTGTTACTTGATTCCGTCCATTATTCTAGGTGTGCGCGTCGCGGTCACAAATAAATTCACTTCGTTCTCGCGAATGCAGTGCGCGTGCAGGTCCTCGCAGGCATCGCATATCCTTCGGGACAAATGATGTAAAGACTGATTGCTCATTTCCTGGAGGCGCTATACTCAATTGTGATTTTCGAAATCGGCACGAGGACGAAAGGAAAAGCGAGAACCGGTCCAAGACTTCCAAGCGACGAAGATTGCGAAAATTTCACGCGCAAACGTAAGTTGACAATAAAAAATAAATAAACTACCTACCTTTAATATACCGACATCAGAATCGATTTTCCTACGTTTGCTTTAATAATGCTGTGCGGTTATTGAATATCTGCTCTCATTTGATATTATTGGATTTTGAAATAAAATAGGCGCGGCTCCGACTCTTTGTTGATGGCTGCTACTGTTGCAACCTTATAGTTTGATAACAAGAGTGATTAGTTCAATCGATTGTTCATACAGTATTTTTAATTTTTGCGCGTAGCATTAGATCATCTTTATTTTCATATGGCGAATTTAAATGACCATAGGAATAGGTTTGGGCGTGTTTACGCGACGAAAACGAAAATGTTGCTAACGTAGATGGCGCAGTCGACGCGCGTGCTCGAGAGATTTGTTACTACTTTTAAACAAATTCCTTACTGTGCGATCACGAGTCACAGAAAACTGGTTGCTCACTTTCGTCTCTTCAGCGACCACAATAAAAGTTTTTATTTTCGAAATTCTCACGCAGAATTTACAATGACAATGAATTGTTTCAAAGAAGCGCACTGTTACCATTTAGAGTGTGTGTGTGTTAAAACATGCTAAAAACCGTTATGGAAAATTTAAGATTTATGCCGTTTGTCACACTGATAATTATTTATTAAAACCATGCAGTCGGCTCTTGCAGGTGAACTCTCCGATAAAAGGCGTTATTTTAGGTCATTTGCATACGTTTTCCCGCATTCGGGGCGATTCACGCCAGCGTACTAATGAGATGGCAAAACAGCACTTGTTCCGCGCGCGCTCTTGCTATTTCTTTCCTGCTGGAGAAGAAAAATACGCGCTTCTAGTTGAAGCATCCAGCTGCACGTCGTAGATCGAGGCGCGTCTATTCGCGTTTTTTTGATCGAACGTTAAACCGTTCGTCGGATTTGGAACCGGTTTCGTGTTCTCGCTCTTCGCGGCCATGCGCGGCCACGAATTTTTCTAATGCTTGCACGACGTGAGAGTCAGGCGAATTGGCGTTCCGTTCAACAACTCTTCAGGTGCGTTGTACGTTCTGTCGAATTTACATTTTTACACTCAGGGCCATTCGCATTATTAAAACTTATATTTTTAAGTAACGCCAATACAACTGTTGGTTTACCAAAACAGCTTTCAGTGTAAATTAGTTTTTTAAAGGTCTGACCCTTTGTAAAAAGTTGCGAGTTCTATTTGTACACAAAGAATGGCGAGCGTGTATGTACCTTGTGGAATAACTCTACACACATCGCGTGCACGTAACGAATAATTAATGCGTATACCCTTTCTTCGTTATCATGCGTTGTAAGTAGTAGCATGTGCGCACATATAGACATTATTTACCAGAAATCACCGTCGTGGGTACCTTGTCGCTTGTCGATTACGCCGGTGAAGGTGCATTCATTATTCATACTCGTTGATCCGCCATGAAACAGTCATAACGCATTGCCTATCAAAGTTTCAATGGTGTCAACGAACACATAGTTACCAATGGGTCTTACATGTTAAACCAGCAAGAGTTTCCAGCCCTCCTGGACTGGCAACGGTGTCAAACACCGTGCGGTTTCCATCGAGCGTTCAATATTGTTTTTCCGCGCGTACGCAACTGTCCGGCGCATGGCGGACGACCGCCATGCGTCTTTCACCTCTTTACCTATAGGGCCCACGAGGTCAACAAACTGGAAAGACACACATAACAAAGAAAAATGTTCACACAAAGGCGCGGGCGGCACGTGCAAGTAAATACAACGCGTACCATGTGCAGCTTGCGATATTCGCGCTAAGAAACAAGCACGTGGAGGTGATTTTGACCTTTTTACTACTTCAATTAGCATCAATGAAGTACGGTGAGTATGTTTTGGGTGTGGCTTACACACGACTCGTTTCTTCTTCGGCGCCTGAGTCATGAAAGTAGTCTTGAATTTAAGCCATTTTAATAGGCATTACTTGCGTTTAGGTTTCCGTAGTTATTGAAAAGCTTATAGGTAAAAGTTGTCGGTATCTCGTGTGATGATTGTTGACTCGTGCGGTTGAAGCTAATTACACTGGAAAGTTCGGCGTCGAAATACAATAAAAGCGTTTGTATTATTGGAACTTCATTAGCGTTATCTTCATCTACGTTCCATAACGTAGCTAAATTGATGCTTAATTTTTGTAACTAGGCACGTACAGCGAATAAAATATTTTGATTGCGTTTCGCTTTAATTTCCTTACTTGAATGTTACTGTTATCAGAACGTATTTGCACCTCGCGTTGATTTGTTTTGCAACATTTGCGTAAATGTGCGTTGCGTCAACGCTTCTCGACGTCTCCGTGGAGCACAATGCAAATCAGACTATAATTAACTTGAGAGATAGAAACCGGTACACGACGCTATTGCACATGTACATTGCTTTTCATTTTGCAACCGTCTGCGACTACCGAGCAAGCGCAAATAATTCTTGTTAAGAAGGACTCGAATAAAAAGAGATCGAAAACTGCACACTGCACTTTGCAGTGAGTCATTTATTACGTTCAATACGTAACCGAACAAATATTCCTATCTCATGGTCACCTCTCTGCAGCATGCAATAATGTTTGTATTAATTATTGATACAGAGTGGGCAGAAACTTAACACTGCAATAGAAAATAACAATGCCACAATCATTATATACTCGTCCGGATTTTGAATTATCAGTAATGATTTAATAAATTCTTGCATGCGAATCAAACAATTTACTTGATATAAAATTAAAGTTATAGTCATAAATACTAAATGATAGTCATGCATGTTTTGAAGTTTTGTTTTACCCGGTGCTGAGTATGTCCTCATCTTAGTAATAGTTTGATTCATATTCACAACATTTGCCATCATGAATCATCAAGCGGTTTATCGTAGATGTGTATGCTACAAGTTTACAAACAAGATGCATTCAATATAATAGATTACGTAGGTGACCCAAACCGTAATATACCGTTATTCTACCAACTGTGTGCATAGCATTCTGAAAACCTTTAAAACTCAAAAGATTGTCGCTTGAAAACAAAAATTCTATCCAAAACGCGTCAAATTTTATGGTGCTTTGCGTTGAAAGAAGTTGATCTTGTACCCAGCGCACCCGAGCAGATAATACAATTTTAATTGCCACTTGCGGTTTTATTTCGTGCTTTTGTTTGTGCACGCGTGTGTAATATTTTCAGCGCCATAGACGCACTTGTCGCTGATTTAAAATGCGCTGAGGAGGGAAGCGTGTTGCTAGGAGCACGTAAAGCTAGAAAATAATCAATAAGTTAATTAAGTATGTAGTGGTCAAGCCGGGCGAAAAATAACTGTGCAATCGCGTGCGGCCGTCGGACGCCATCAGGTTCGTGCGAAGGAAAGTGCAAGGTCCTTCAGACTCCAACTTTTATTCATTCCTCTACGTTTACCTATAAGCGGAAAAATCAACGCCGTATAAGCAATTCGAACTCATTCCGAATTTACGGCTCTAAAACTTGAATAGTAAAAGTGTATAGTTGTGTTTCTTTGCAACTAATTATTGACAAAATTATTTTTGTTTTTTATCAACATGATAATCATGTTTCCTCTCACGTAAACCGAAAAAAATGTTGCGTTTCTCTACGAAGAGAAACTCACTTAAAATTTACAAAAATTCTAACATTGCTGATGATGTCACCCATATTTATACAGATGACGTAATACGTATTATATTTATTAAATACCACATAGTGATCATCGTTTTCTTTTTTCTGTTTGTAAACGTATTGTTGAATGCGCCGCGCATTTTGGTTGGGTTTATTGTGCCCTGCATATTTTTAGAAAACTATTTTCGAGTAACTTAACTCCTATAAAAAGAATCAATCAAAGTGTCTACCGCCTACACTACGCATTAAATTGCTTGCCTCTTGACAATAGGATCTAATAATTAATATCGATTTTGAGTGTATTTAGAAATGATTTAATAATTGTCTTCGATTATTTCACATTAGTACACTTTGCACTTAATATTAATGTTATCACTTGATAATTTGGAGATTACCATCTCGAAATATTCAAGTATGTAATATAAAATTATAAAAACTCAATTTATGAAACACATTAGGATTGATTTAGGCTGAATTTAGAACAGCGCGTCTCCGTTCATCATTCTAGTGGCACAGTAGTGTGGGAATTGCACGCCCTTGAGCAGCAAGTCGGCGATGCCCTACAAACAAATCAAATTCTGTATGACACAATATTTACATTTTTTTATTGACATGCAAACATGAAAATGATAAGACGGTAAGATTGCTTACCTGTAGCTCGCTAATACAAGCCGTGAGGCAATGTGCCAGAATGTACCATGGAGCGCAGAAGCCGGCCACCAAGAAACCGATGAATATCAGTATTATCAGCCAAATTATCATGAATAAACATTTGCCTCCGTCCGCCATTTTGACCACTGAAACATGGGAATGCGTGTGTTAAAAAATTATGTCGCTGTTTTAAGATTATTGCCTAGTGCGCGCATATTCCTCGCATTTTGATAGGACTTTAACGAGGACGTGGATGCTTTGGAATGCTGCTGGGCCGATGTGGTAATGCACTCGATTTTGTAGGCAAGAGGACGCGGTCGTCGCGTAGCAAAAGAAACACTTTCTAAATTTGTTTTCGGTCACACCGAACGAGGCCTATAAGTTCCGCCCGCTTGAAAGTTCCTCGCTCGTTTGAAAATTCGTGGGCCGCGTACGGCGCGTGCGTCGAAATCTTGCAATGTTTGTTGTTCAAATGTTGTATGAGGCCGATCATAAAATCAGAATAGAACCGTGCGGCATATAATGAAATGATATCATACATTTTAAATAACTTGAGACAAAAATATATGCAAGTAAACGGTACGCTTCACTACTTATCAATCTGACTTAAAGCATTTAAACTTGAAGTATTTAATTTAACAATGTCATTTGTTGTGGACTCACCTGTGAATAATTATTCGATTTACTTGAAAACAGGGATTGCTCTTTGTATGCAAATCTTTGGCGAAAAACTTGCGCACTTGAACACGTTCAAAACTGTAACTAAACACCAGCAGCCGGACGGGCACTATTGTTCGTGCCTACAATAAGTCAAGCGAATGAGCTGCGAAGCGCGCGTGCGACGCAAACGAAAATAATTTGGTCGCAGTCCTCACCACTCTCAGCCTCCGAGAGCGCTTTTTCCATGGAGCGGGCAAGGAGTAGGTGCACCCAAGTGTCGTGATGCTACTTTGAATTACGCTCTAGCGCGCTATGTCGCACGCCCAACCTACAATACGCAGGCGCAGCACGCTGAGTTGCGTCAGCTACACCTTAAGTGGGAAACACCTTCCACATCAGGTGTTATTGCTTGTAATTTAATTGGAACGCACCAGAACGCACTCTAAACTATGTCGCTGTAAATTAATAAAATTGCTGAACATGTCTATTTACCAAGAGTAATTAGGGCGCGCCATATGAATCAATTTTACCATGTCCCAGAATAATGATAGCTCTCGAAAAGATTCTTTACTATGATTTTTATTGCAGATGAGCGCGGTTTTCAAAGTTGGAGTGCTTCTCCTTTGCCTCCACTTTGTTTTCTGTCAGCAAGACTACGACCCCAATGATCCATATCGCAAAAATAATAACAACGACCCCTACAGTCGAAACAACGATCCCTACAACCGCAGCAACGACCCCTACAGCCGCAATAATCAAAGTGGATACAATCGCACCAACGATCCATACAATCGTGACCGCAACGATCCCTACAATCGCGATCGCAATGACCCGTACAACAGAGACCGCAATGTCAATGATCCATACGGCAGGAACGATCCTAACCGGGACCCCAATGACCCTTATAATAGAAACATAGATCCGTCCAGAAATGACCCGTATAATCGTAATAACACCAACCGTAATGATCCCTACAATAGGGATCGCAACGATCCTTATAATCGCGACCGTAACGATCCTTACAGTAACAGAGATCGTAATGATCCTTACAGCAGGTCTAACGATCCAAACCGCGACAGAAACGATCCCTACAATCGCGATCCGAACCGTGACAGAAACGATCCGTACAACAGAGACAGAGATCAGCTCAATCGAAATGACCCGTACAACCGAGACCCAAACAGGGACAGAAATGACCCGTACAACAGAGACCGTGATCACAACCGGGATCCGTACAGTAGGGACTCAAGCACGAGTCGCTATGGACAGGTCGGCAGTGGGGTTGGTGGAGGCATTGGCGGTTCTGGAACCTACGGAGGTAGCGGTAGTAGATATGGTACCGACGATAGTAACTGCTGCGAGGAATACTGCTACAACATTGATGAACAGCCTTATGTCAAACTTGGTGCTAAAACCCCGTATCAGTTTGTTTACGGCAAAATCTCTAACCAACATATTGTTCCGCGTAAGTCTACTTTAAGGAATGGTATAATAGACAAAGGTTAAAACATATTATCATTTTGTAGAATGCAAACCAGTGCAAGTGTGGAGTCTTCTTCGTGAGGGTACCAGTGTGCCAGATAGGCAATCTATTGAACGTTACAGGCAACTTCAGAAGATCCACGATGAAATTGTTAGGAACTACGAGGATCGCAGGTCCTTCCCCGACAAAGGCAGATTGTGTGCCGAGGATTACGACATTTTGAGAAGGTACTGCTGAATTGATGAAATTTTATTGATGGAATTCTAAATTAAAAATTTCACAGATGGAGATGGAATGACTCACTCTCTGACTCTATGGCTGGCAGCTTGACCCAACAAGGATCTGATGATATTAAGTTTTTGGCTAGGCGGTATCAGACCCGACTTCGCGAATTGTTGCAACCTTACAACGACCAACTCTACTATGTGAGTTAAACTCCTAACCACCTGATTACCTATAATAATTTATTGTGGTTATTCTGCAGTTCCAACATACCGAAGGTGATCGCACGGTGGAATCATACCAGGCGTATATTCAAGGATTATTTGGAAGCGATTATCAACGCGTGCATGCGAACGTCCGCGGTGGTGGATACAGTGGCGGGTACGGAGGTAATAGCTACAATCAAGATGCCAACCGATATGACACACGCTCGGAGAACTATGATCCCTTTGCTGCACATGACAACTCACAACAAAACACTTATGGATCTCAATACGGTTCAGATACGCGATACGGTTCTGGATCTACTTACGGAGGTGCTGGTGGATCATATGTAAGTTAAAAGATGAATACTGAGAATATCGGTGTAATGTATGAATGCCATTAAAGGGGAGCTCGCGCTGCAAGTCTTATCAACAAAGAATGGACGAGAACAGGGAGACAGCAACCGAATACAGGAGTTTCAAAGAAAAGCCGGAGTACAAAGAGATGGTTCGTAATGTATTCAGGCGTCTTGGATTCCGCTACAATCTGAATGATTCCCTTATCGAGGACATGTACGACCTGTGCCGATATGAAAAGTCATGGTGAGTATTATTATTAGGATTGGTATGCAGTTGGATTGCTCAATCGCGTGCATTTGTTTTACTTGCAGGTACGTGACTCGTCCGTCACCATGGTGTGCGGCCTTCACGCCTGAACAACTCAAGTTGTTGGAATACGGTGACGACCTGTTCTACTTTTATCGATCTGGTTATGGACACGAATATCTCAACAAGAACTTGGGCTGTGGGTTAGTTAAGGATTTGTATGATAGATTCGAACGCACTGTAAACGGTAAGTATTCTCAGGCGGGTATCAAGGCTGTTGATATTTAATATGGGCGGGTTGAAATTGCAGGTGACACAAGTGAGCAAAAGGCAATATTCCACTTCCGCGATCTGGACACCATGCTGAAGACCATAGTTGCGCTGGGTATTCGCAGAGACACCAATGTACTCACCGCCGACAACTACTATCAGCATACCCGTCGCATGTGGAGGACCAGCGAAATTGCGCCATTCTCAGGAAACCTGGCGGCCATATTATACCAGTATGAACTATCACTGAAATTGTAGATTGATCATTGATTTAATTGGGTGCGTATTCTTTCAGATGCGATAATCAAGCTGAAAAGTACAAAGTAATGTTCTTCTTGAACGAAAATCCGGTTGATTTCCCCGAGTGCTCAGTGGGCCTGTGCTCATGGAATACCTTCCAGCAGAAGCTGCAGTATCTAGCGCAGGAGTGTCGTCTCGATTGGTGCGAGCGTGGGTCAGCCAACCAGGCGAGCAAATCCATCGCGGTCATCCTGACTGCGCTCCTTGTTGCCGCCTTCTTCAAGTATTAACGCGTTTGCGCGGCGTCCGCATAAATTCAAATCTCACACATTCACCTTTTTCTCCTACGTTACATTTCAGTACATTCTAATTACCATTGTCACAGCATGGGCAAGGCATTGAAACGAAAAATTTTCACACGAAGGTGGAGCGGAACGAACGTGGACGTTAACTTTGAGAGATTTTTTTTTAATGCTTTTTATTACTTCTTCATGTGAAACAAATTTGTTGTGAACATTGTATTTTAAGTTGTTTTTTTAAATTTTATAAAAATGTAGTTTATTTGCTATTACCGCTAGTACTTGTGAACGTTGTTATCGTTTTTATTTTTTGTATGATGTAAGTAATAAGATGATACTTGTGTTCAAAATATATTAGTGTACATTTAGATTTTTATTCAAAACGCATTTATTTTGTTAGGCAGTCGGCAAACATTTTCAATAAAAAATTGATAAATTTAATCAAATGCTTTAGAAAGCATTCATGTTTAATGTAATAATCTACGGTGCACTTATCAACTTTTATACTATTTTTAAAAAACGTCCAAAAGATGTAGAAATATTTAATAAACATTACAAAACCTTTATTTCTCAGTCATTAACAGAATGATAACAATAGAAAACCTACCTAAACCGTACGCAAATAAAGCATAATAAATAAACAAATAATATTTCAAACCATGGGATTGGAGATTATTAGTTTAAACACGGGTAACGAAAATACTCAAGATTGGAGACACGCCAACAATGTTGAAACGGACAACAAGGTGGGAAAAACCCAATTGGGGCTCTCGCTTTGAATTTTCCGCGCGCGCCGCATCTGTCACTGTCAAATCCAAAATTATATAACTGCGTACTGCGTCCTGCGACGTCCTACGACGCAGCGTCGGCAACTGCTGCACTGTGCTACTGCATAGGTGCTACTAACTGCAGTCGTGCGCCGCGGTGACCTCCTGCGGAACGCTACTTGGTGGCAGCTCCTTCAGCCTGAAGATTCTGGTTTCGTAGAACAATTTGAATTCGATCTTACCGACCACCAATGACTGAAGAGGAGTCTTTCCCGGCGCATCACAACACAACTGCTCCGTTTACAAGGTAAATCACTTTCGAATCTGCTCGAAGCCGATTGTTTATGCGTTCGAATTTGCAGCAGAAGCTAGAAGCACACGAGAAACGCACCAACGTCCAACCGACGCACACAAAACGACATGCACGACGCCCGCCAACCTCATGTGGTGCTATCGACTACGCGCTTGGCAATCTAGCCCGCTCATTATCTTACTCAGCTTTGCGGTCGCCGCCGGGCTGGTGGTGCAGCTTAAAACGCTCTATGATAACCACCAGAAGCACCTACGAATCGTCGACTACGGCACCAGCATTGACGAGATGACGGCCACTGTCGAACATGTCGATCGGGTGACCAACCGGCTGTCGTTGATGATCAAGCGCATCGAGTCTTATATTGACACCGAGCGGCAGCGCGGCGTTAACGCCACGGCGCTCAGATGACAATTACTGCTGCTTAGGACTTATGGCAATCACCGGAGGAGTTTAAGCGAGCGGATTGCCATGATAGGCAGCACAGGCACATAGTTCAATGCACAAATACTATAACTGCAGTACAATGGCAGAGAACACATGTTATTTTTTTATGCTCTAGTTGAGTGGTGTGTAGTCTTGGGTTTTGTAGGATCTGATACTGAATCTAGCAAACTTTTAGGTGTAATAACTCTAGGTCGGATTGTTTTTAAGTTTTAGGTTGTTTTGGGTTTGTTACTCAGTGCCATATTCTTTACTGCACACTGTTGCAAGCCAAAGAGTCAATAATTGTTAAGTGTAGGTTAACCAACCTAGGTTCCTTTTGAGGGAGAGAAGCAAACAGTGGAGAGTATGGCATTGCCACTTTAGTGGAGTTTTTGATAAAATAACCTCAGTTACTATATGTTTGTGATATAATTGCATCAAAGCATCGTTGTTATCGTTTGCTTATAGTTTATATAAATGTTGATTCGCATTTTAACTTAGTTCACTCTTAAGATTGTTATGTAGGTGATAATTTCGCAACAAAGTTCCGGAGACTAAGCTAATGCCAAAAATGTACGAACGCTATGCGCAGGGCGCAAGTATTATGATAGCTTGCCGGCGTCGAGCAAAGCTTTAAATTCGACTGACGTTCTCGTACTTCTCGCTCCTTCGAATATTTGTATTTACTGAGATACCAAAAAGAAACCAACGGACACTGCATGTGCTGCATCGAAAATCACACAAATCTTTCCTTAAAACTGCAACTTTGCAATTAACAACTAAACACTTCTTACTTCTTGTTAGTCATGTAGGTAACCAAGGAACAAGACTATAACAATAAGTACTTATAGTACCATTTAAGTAATTTGCTGAATAGCCAAAACTTGAGCAAGCGGCGACAATGTGATTGTCAATTTTGCGAATTGACGAACGAAACGTTTGCGGTCAATAAACATGTGTTAGGTGTAACTACAACTTATTAACTTAAAACGTTTCGTTCGAGAGAAGTACAATTACTAGTATTTTCGATGATGAATAATTAAATAATGTGATCTTAATCGATGATAACTACCGAGATGGTGGAGCGTGCCGCGCGAAATGACGTCCAATGCGGCGGGTGGTAGAAATAAACTTACAGTTAAGACAGTTTAACTGCGTAAAAAATGCGAGACATTACCATGTAAATTGTTTTATGTCCACATTCAGTAAGAATATTTGATACGGCGCAGATTTCATAGCCGATTCATAAATAAATGCCATTTCTACAAGGATTTCAAGAAATTTTAGCAGCAAACCTGCCCACTTTTGGATGAAACACTGACAATTTACTAATATGAAATATGTTTCAGATTCTTAGTAAACCTCCATAGGAAGGGAGTTATACAATGGCAAGCAGGACGGATCATCCTTGTACACTCCTTTATCTTCATAGACAGCGTGAGGTGAACACAGCCAAGGATCAGTAGTGTCCTTCTGCCACCGCTGGAGACGTGCGGACAGGTCTGCCATTATCTTCTTCATTGAGGGCTTATCGGCGACGTTGTTAGTTTCCTCTGGATCCAATTTTAGATCAAACAGTTCCCACTCGGGGCGATAATAATAGTCCTTCAACGTTTTAAACCAATAGGTATTCTGATTACTCCGAGTGTTATTGAGCAGATCCTGAAATGTTTGTTTTAGCAGTTTTAGATTCGATTTCAGTCGTCTCAATATTACCAAAAAGGTCGGCGACATGTAGAAGTCTTGATCGATTGGAAACCCTGCCTGATAATTAAGATTGTGGATTAACTTGTACCTGTGCGTTCGGATGGCCCGCATCGGATAGTACATGGTGATTTCGTGCAAGTTGTGGCTTGCAAAGACTGCCTCATTAGATTTGTTGGTGGGTTCATTCACAAGCAAAGGCAGCAAACTTTTTCCCGTTAAATGCATATCTTCAGACACAGAAGACAGACCAACATCGTTTTCGTCAGTTTTAGATGACTTTCGATTAAATTTAATTCCGAACCAGTCGAGAATGGTAGGCGTTATGTCCAGGAGACTACTTAGTGAGTAAGTCACCTGGCCACGACGTTCCGTGTGCATGGGAGAAGACATGAACATGGGTTCTGCAATACCAGAATCGTATAGATTCGTCCTTCCATTCGGGAATGGTATTCCATTATCAGACGTGTAGATAACAAGAGTGTCGTCGCTATGCCCGGCGTCCTGTAATTCTTTTAAAAGTAGTCCTACGCCTTGGTCGAGCCTGCTAATGGTAATATATTGAGCTGCAACATCCCTGCGAGATTCAATTGTATCTGGAATAAAATATGGCAACTCTATTTGTTCGGGAACATAGTGAATAGGCTGCCAGTCGGGAATGCTACCCATTCCTTGTTCTCCGTTGCCGAATTTTTGGCAAAACTCTCCGAATTCAGGGTTCGTGTGCCCGCAACGGTGCGGATCATGGAATGCGATGTATAAGAAGAACGGGCTGAAATTACCGGACTCAATCTAGTCATGCATTTTTTTATTCATGCCTGGAAGTTAACTTACTCATTGCTTGCATTTCTCAAGAAATCTCTTGCTAAAAGTTTAATATGCGTGATATTACGACCCACTTGATTAATATGATTATTTTCCTCGGTTTGTTCGTAATCAAACGGGTACACAGTTGATGGACCTACATGCTTCTTACCAATAATTCCGGTACGAATCGAATTTTGTTTAAGGATTGCAGGCAAGCTTTTGATTTTGTCCAGAGAGTTGAAGTGGTTCTCAGCTTGATGCAAGCCGTACATTCCGTTCTGATGTGAGGGCATTCCTGTAAGGAGTGCTGAACGGCTATTGATGGCATAGAACATTTCAATATTAGATCCACTTAAAGAGTTTAAATTATTATTTAGTACAACCTGGGTGAACAACTGCTCACAGATGAATATGCATTGTTGAAAATTAGGCTTTTTTTAGCTAAAGCATCTAGATTTGGTGTTTGAGCGATTTTATTTAAGTATGTTCCCATTTCAAATCCTCCATCATCAGCTAGACGAACAGACCGTATCAAACGACTTTAGTTCTACCGCAAGTTAGCATTTTTGTATGTTTTATGAAACATGCAGTAGACTATGTTTGTGTAACCTCCAATTCGCTGTTGCGGCTTAATTTTATCATTATTTTATCGGTAAATACGTGTAAACTTCGTCAGAGAGCTGAGAAATTGCATCAGTTTTATTCTTACCAACAATCAACAGTACGTTGCGTTGACTTTCCGCATAAATTCGGCACAGAAGTAAGAAATACCACACGATTTTTCGCCACATCGTACGACTACTACACTGTAAACCAGTTTGCTTCTTGTTGGCTGTTGCCAGTCAAATGTTATTATATTTTTGTTGACCCAGAGTGACCTACTATTACTTCAATTTCTAGGCAACTTGATGATGTCTAATCCAGATAGCAGAAAGAAGATCCTCTGCCTTTTTGATGTAGATGGAACTTTGACCAAACCTCGCAATGCTATTGAACCTCACATCAAAGACTTTTTGGTATCCAAACTTAGGTCAAAATATTACATTGGCTTAGTAGGAGGTTCAGATTTCAGCAAAATATCTGAACAGATGTGTGGCCTTGAAGTTCTCTCCAAATTTGACTATGTTTTCTCAGAGAATGGCCTTGTGGAATTTAGAAATGGGGCTCTTCAACCACCAGTGCAGAGCATACAAAGCTATATGGGTGAAGAAAAACTGCAAAAGTTTATTAACTTTTGTTTGGCCTACTTGTCCAAGATAACACTGCCTGTGAAAAGAGGAAACTTTGTGGAATTCAGAACTGGAATGATCAACATTTCTCCAGTGGGTAGATCCTGTACCCAGGCAGAGAGGGATGAATTTGATAAGTATGACAAACAACATCTGATAAGGAAGAAAATGATTGAAGCAATTGAGAAAGAGTTTCCTGGTATTGGTTTGACATATAGCATTGGTGGACAGATTAGTTTTGATGTCTTTCCACATGGCTGGGACAAAAGATACTGTCTGAAGCTATTGGAACAGGAAGGTTTTGAGGCGATTCATTTCTATGGAGATAAGACCGATCCAGGTGGGAACGATCATGAGATTTTTACTGATGAGAGAACTGTAGGTCATAAAGTCACGAGTCCAAGCGATACAATATCGCAATTGGAGCAATTGTTGTCATGATCATGAAGATACAAATTGAATTGAGTCTATTTTTTGTTTGTATTTAATTGTGTTACAATGGTGTATGTGTTCTATGGCATTAAATGTAAATAAGATGTACATCTGGATGAATATAAGTGCATTTATTGTATTATTTATATTTCATAACTGTAATTTTTTACATAAGGAAAGGCGGAAGAATCTCGGCGAGAATACTATCAATGCACAACTTTTTTTTTCTACCTGCATGAAAGTAGTTTAGTTTAGTGTTATATAACAATTTATTAGAATTACAATTAATATTTAACTGTGAAGCACGCAGTACGGCGGAAAATTCACTGCGCTATAAGCGCGTTTATTGGTATTATATGCGCTGAATTGTGCGCTCACACGCACGCACGAACTCGACGTATCTTAATACCTTTTGCCACGCGCATAAAATTGCAGATAATTAAACAATTGTTTTATGTGCAACGTTATATTTGCGATTATTAATAAATATGGCATCCAATTTGGCATTTTTCTTAAAATTTTGATTTACAAATACAATAAACCACAGTTTCTCCACAGATTATTTTTTTTAAGGGAATTCAACTCCTACATACCTACACACTGAAATATACCAAAACTAGAAAAATGACAAAAATGATTTTTGCGGTATCCATAATGCGATAATTTTAAAACGAAATACACAAATCTATTTTCAATTAAACAAAACAGTCATTAAATTAACTGTGAAGGCGCAATATTCACAAATCTCCTAGCTTCAGTAGTTCACAAATGCAAGCCATATGAATTAATAAAATTTCAATAACCAGAATATACACCAGGAGCAATTTAAATAAAATTTTATATGGGGGAGGGAAATTCAGTGCCCTGGTGGTTATATGCCCATAAACAAACTACGACCGTATAATGAAAACATGCCGAACCAAATTATAGATGACATCTTAATTTTCACAATTTAATTATACTCGTGTTTAAATCAAAAATAAAACCCTTAAAAACGGTTAGTTAATCTGCTTTAATTGAATATTCAGTTTGGTTGCAATGAGGCGCGCTCGCAATTGGAGTCTGAGCGCGCGATAACAATGTACAGGCGAAACAATTACGACTACGTCAGTGGACATTATAATCGCAACAATGCATACGATGTGTAGGTATTGCACCCAATTGCACCTTCGATTTTTTCCAACAGGTAGCTACGTAGCAGTTGAGACGTGCGTGTTGGTCGAGCCGCCTCGTCGAAATCGCGAGCGCGCGCGTATATCTGTTGAAGTGGCTATTGCCGTGAAGGCCGAGCTTGAAACTTTTTCAATTACGGCGGACCGATCGGGCCGATAACGCAATAGTGCAATAGACACGCATCGGCTTTTTATGCACTAGTCAGTCGCAAGCGGACGTCTCATGTGCTCTGGGTTACAAGTTCAGGAGTGCGAAGAACTGTTGCGAAGGTCGGTAAGTGTAAACCATGTGGCGTGCGATACGAGTTCGCGAGTTTAGTTGGAATCGCGCGCTCGGTGTATTTGGGTGATTTGCGGGTGGACATCCCCAATATGTGGTAACTTATCGAGACACACGTGTTATTGTTAAAAGTGAAAGAGGCGCCAAAACAAGGAGGACAAGTAGTGACGCTGGGTAAGTAAGAAGATCATTACAGCAATATGCGGCAACGTGCAATAAGAGAAACACTCACGTTTTGGTAGATATAGTACAAATTTAGTTATACACTTTAAATTCTCTCCTAAATAAAACTAAATAAAACTTATTTCTGAAGATGCCCTCAGGACGAAACATGTTAAACTCCAAAAAAACATAATTGTAAATCCACAAAAAGCACGTATAATTTTTAATAAATAAATATATTATTAATACAAAAAATTTACAGGCATTTTAGCCAAAATTATATTTGTATTCATCTACTGATGATCCCACAATATGGTGATACTTGTTGTTGTTTTATTTTAATTAAATATGTGAACTTTAAATCTTTAAAACTTTTATTTTAAATTATAATATATAAGTTGTCTGGTCAGCTTTATGATGTACTAGCCCAATCAATTCAATGTTCAGAGTAATTGTGTTTACAATCAACTAACTTAGCATTCGACAATATTGTTGATATGCTGAAAATGCACAAGTTACTCAAATCAAGAAGGGAATTCATCATTAATCTCCATCCTTATTAAATTAAATTACATAATATTATAATTGGCAAAACTCAGATATTTTTTCGTCACTCCTTATCACAAAACATATTTATAATGTGGGTTTCACCCTGAATGTTTGATTACGTTTATTTATTGACTTATTTATTACTAAAAAGATAGTAATTAATTATATTTACAACAAATATCATAAAACCACCTATAACATTAAAACACAATTAAGAAAAAGGACCCACGGTCGCATTAAATTACGATAATCATCAAGGTTTCCATTAATTACAAAACTTCAAACTTACTTTACGTAAACATCTTATTAAAGGACGTGTGCAACTCTTTGTATTTTTATTGCCCGTTTAATAATAAATCAAAGTTATAAATCATAACATGGCATTTATATGTAATGTGTGACAACTTGAACACAATAACTTTAAGTAATTGATTCAAAAAAAACTTCACTCGTTTGTGTGTTGTGCAATAATAGATATGCACATGTATTGCATCATAGTTTAGATGCGTGCTGATTTAAGACCAAAAGACATGCCACAATTGTTCCAAAGTTTCAATGAACTTGATGGTTGTGCAGTTATGTTAAACGCACTGCGTTACGTGCACGATGCGCATCGATTAATTTTAGAACGAAGGAACACGAGTAAAGCACGCTAATTGCACATTTGTGCATATTTAATTTACATAAGTGCACAAACATACTTATTATTATGACTTTCATGTGGGTAATAGGAAATCTAAAGAAGATAAAGATATGTTGGATACATTTCTAACCACTTAAAAACTATGCCAAACATTTCTACATTTCTATAATAAGTAATAAGTTAACTTCGGCCAATTTCACTACATCTACTAAAGTATTTTCGTACGTGTGTTGGGTTCTTAAAGGTTAGCAATGTGCGGATGGACAATAATTTTGTGTGCTAAAGAGAAGCATTGGATTTGTAAATGTAAAAATTAGGCTCGGCACCCCTCGATGTTAAAGGGTGTAGTGAACCTAAGAAGATCAAGGAAAACTAATATGAGTATTAATGCAACTTCAAATGTAAATGTTCGTTTATTAAATAAATTCTTGTTTTCTAAAATTGGCTACTACTAATTTGGTATAGTAATCCCATAACAAATCCTCAAAACTTTATTTATTTAGTTCCTAAGTTTCTTCTAAATATTATTAATTTTGCTTTTTGTCGGTTATTGTTTAATCTTTATTTTGGGTGATTTGTAGTTTAGTTTGGGTTGTTTTCATACGAGAATTCATTGCCGATTTGAGCAGATTTGCGTCAAACCGAATACTTGCATATTGCACTTTTTTGCAGGAGCCATAGTGGTTGGCGAATAAATATAGTAAAAAATTCAAGCTAGTCAAACCTAGTACGTACTACTAATCATAAATGAAGTATGTTTCAAGCCTAATTTACGCATTTTTAAAATAGCCTGTTTCAATATTTATGTATGAGACTGCATCACTGCAGTTGGTTGTTACTACGTAATTTTATACGCGGGTGGCTGTGACGGAAAAACAAATTGTGTTTTCTGTGGAATCTATGGGTGCTGTGACTATACATAAAAACAAATCAACTGTTGAATTCAGTTAGATCGTCCAAGTCATGGAGGACCGAAAAAAACTCCGTGCTTGCAGAAAAAGTGAAAAACCGCAAGATGTACAACAAGTTGAGTTACGCCCACAATTTCTGGAACTTGAAGCCACAATGGATATAAATATAATAAATCAACGTAACACTAGTGGCAAATCATCGCAGAAAACGAAGAAGCTTCCAACCCAAAAGAGTGACAAGGTATCATCTGAAAAGACCGACAAGCGGCCAGCACAAAGGAGCAGGAAGCTTTCGACGCAAAAAGCTGATAATGGTCCATTTCAGGCCGATAAAAAAGTTGCATCTAAAAAACCTGACACAATTCCACCCCAAAAGACTAAAAAATTTAAATCTCTGAGCACCGGGAGTATACATTCAAAAATTGATAAACGTTTACCTAAGGAGACCAACAAACCCTTTACTGAGAAAACTCAGAAGCATCCACATCTAAAGATAGACAAACTTGTATCTCATAATACTGAACCTCTACTTCCACAGAGAGAGATAGAAAATCTTCCTTCTCAGAAGGGTAAAAAGCTTCCACCTAAAAATACTGATATAGTTTCGCTGCAAAAGCCAAGTAAGTCTCCCCTTTACAAATCCAATCAGTTTCTTTCTCAGAAACCGAACAGAGATCCACGAAATATTGGCAAGCTTGAACACCAGATCAAGCTTCCTCAGTATGTTTACAAGACTCCACCTCCAAAGATTGACGTGTTTCCATTTCCGGTACAGACCAGCGCGCTTCAATTTTACAAGATCCCCAAGCTTCCACCGCAAAAACCCGAGATACTTCCATCACAAAAGGTTGACAAAAGTGTCCAGTATCAGAAGACCGACGTGCTTCCTCAAGGGCACACACGAGAGCGACAATCTAGGCACTCCAGAGACAAGTCCAACAGGTCTCCAATGCGTAAAAGCGACAAACATCGACACACTGATAGGTCCGGACATAAGAGGACACATACGCATTCATCTAAGCAGTCAGATGAGGTTTTACCTCACAAAACTCACAAGCGTTCACCTCGGGGAACCAGCAAAAAATCACAGAAAACTGGCAAGTCTTCTGATCAGAAAACGGTCGTGCCTTCACATCAGCAGACAATTGAACTACCATCTCTGCAGACCAGCGAGTCTTCAGTTCACAAAATTCAAAAAGTGTCACCTCAAAGAACCGAGAAGCTTTCACTGCAAAAGGAAGACAAACATCGATCACACAAACGTGACAAGCATTCACCTCGGAGGACCAGCAAACGACCAAAAAATATTGACAAGCCTTCAGATCAGAAAACTTTAAGTCAGCAGACAAATGAACTACCATCTCAGCAGATTAGTGAATTTCCCCCTTGCAAGATCAGAAAAGTGTCTCTTCAGAGAACCGAAAAACATCCTTCTCAGAAGAATGACCAAACTTTACGTCATAAAAGCTATAAGTTTTCACTACCAAAAAAAGGCAAATGTTCATGTCAGAAGATCGGCGAGCTTCCACCTCAGCAAACCGCAGAGACTCCATCTTGCAGGAGCCATAAGTCTCTATCTCAGGAAACTATTAAGCTTACGTCGGAGAAAACTGACAAGGTTTCATCTCAGAAGACCGACGAACTTTCACGTCAGCAAACCGACGAGCTTTCACTTCAACTGACCGGCAGCCTAACAACTCCGCTAATTGAAGGAATTCAAACTCCGCCGACGGAGGAGTATGCGTCTCAGCTGGCGTGCAGCCTTCCAATTTTGCCGATCGAAAAGATTTTATCTAAATCAATCGACACACTTCTACCTCTGCCAACCAGTGAAATTCCAATTCGGCTGAGCGGAGACCTTCCACTTCAACGGATCGGCCGGTGTCCAACTCCCATGACTGCGTGGCTCCCTCCTCAACTATCCGGCAGTTTTCTATCGTGGACTGGTCGATATCCATCAATGCCAACCGGAAACCGTCCATGTCACACGATCGGCAGACTTCCAACTCCGCCGACCGTGGAGCTTTGGTGTCAGCCTACTGACAGGATATCAAATTTACCGACTGAGGGGGTTCCATCTGAACCGATCACCACGCTTCATTGTACGCGGACCGTGGGGCTTCCACCTCAACTGACTAGCAGGCTCCGACGAACTCCGACGACAAAGGTACTTCCAACTCAAACTACCGGAGGGCTTCCACCTTCGCCTATCGGAGAACTTCTACCTCAACGGACCAGCAGACTTCCAACTCCGACGACCGCCTGGCTCCCACCTCAACTCTCCGGTAGTTTTTTATCGTCGGCCGGGCGATATGCAACACCACCGAACCGGAGCCTTCCACCTCAACCAATTGGCAAACTTCAAACTTCAATCTGGCGGTTTCCAACTCCACCAACCGGGGAGTTTGTATCTCCATTGATCGGAAAGCGTCCACCTCAACGGACCATTCATCTATCAATAACGAACAGGCGCTTTCCAATTTCGCATACCGGAGAAGTTCTGCCTGGACAAACCAGTTCGCTTCCAAGTCCGTCGACCGTGGAGCTCCCACCTCAACTCACTCGCAGCTATTTACCGTCAGCCGGGAGGTTTTTAACATCGTCGACTGTGGAGTTACTACCTCAACCAACAGGCAGTCTTTCTACGTCAGCTGGGCAGTTTTCAGCTTTGGCAACCGGGAAACTTTTATTTCAATCAACTGCAGGGTTGCCACCACAACCGACCAGTAAGTTTCCGAATTTGCCAAACGTGGGGCATCCATCTCAATCGACTCTCAGCCTTCCATTACCAATCGAGCGACCGACCCGGGTGTTTCCAACTACGCCAATCAAGAGGTTTCCACATCAACCAACCGGGAATCTTCCAATATCGGCTGGGCAGTTCCCAACTCTGCTGACCGGAGAACTTCCGTCTTTACCAACCGAGGGCATTCCACCTCAATCTATCAGCAATCTTTCGATTTCGACCGGACGGTTTCCATGTTTGCTGACCAAGAAGTTTTCATGTCAGTCGACCACAGTGCTGCCACTGCAACCAACCAGTGGGCTGCCGAATTCGCCAACTGTGGAGCATCCACCCCAATCGACTCTCAGCGTTCTAATGCCAATTGAGCGGTTACCAACTCCGCCAACCGGGGTGCTCCCAAGTCCGCCAATCGAGAGATTTTCACCTCATCTAACTGGCAATCTTCCATTGTCTGCCGGGCAGTTCCCAGCTCCGTTGACCGGGGAACTTCCAGCTCCGTCAATCGAAGGGTTTCCACTTCAACCAACTGCCAATGATCCAATATCGGTCGAACTGAATTCTCCGTTGTCCGAAGAGCATCCGCATGTTTTAACTAAGGGCTTTCTACCTCAACCGACAGACAGTCTTATCACTCCGCCGACCGGGGTACTCCCAAGTCTACCAATCGAGAGATTTTCACCCCAACCAACCGGCAATCTTCCAGCTTCGCCAATCGAAGAGATTTCACTTCAACCAACCGACCATATTCCATTATTGGTCAGACAGTTTTCTCCGTTGCCCGAAGAGCATGCACATGTTTCAACTAAGGGTTTTCTGCCTCAACCGAGAAACAGTCTTATTACTCCGCTAACCGAAGAATTTCCAATTTCACCAACCGAAAAGCTTTCCCTTCATCCAGTCGGCAAGCCTTCAACTCCACCGATCGAGGAGCTTTCAATGGAGGATATAATTCTTCAGATGACCCGCAACTTTGCTCGTGAAATCAAGGAGATGTGTCCTAAGCGGACCAAGCGGATCAAGAAGAACAAGCCTTTACGTCAGCAGACTGGCGTGCTTTCAATTCAGCAGACCCAAGAGCCCTTACGTCAATTTACCGACGAGTTCCAGCCTCAGCCAACCGGCGGTCTTCCACTTGATTGTCCCGGCAAGCTTCTAATTCAACCAACCGGCGGGCTTTCACCCCATGATCCTTGTGAGCGTCGACGTGAGCCAAACGACGTGACGCCACCGCCGCCGATTGAAGAATTTTCACCTCACCAGTCTAGTGAGGTTCAACTTCAGCCGACTGATAGCTTTTCATCTCGCCAGGATAGTAAACACATACTGGAACCTATTGGGGGCTTTCCATCAGAGGACACTGGTCGGCATCTTCAGTCAGCGGGCGCGTTTCCACCTCACCTGTCTGACGTGCTTCTATCTCAGAAGCCCGTTGAGGTTTTAAATCAGCCAACGGGCGGTTTTTCACCTCTGCCAACTGTTATATTTGATTTACAGCAATTGAGCGGGTGTTCACCTCAACATTCCGATGAGATTCCACATCAAGAGATTGGCGAAATTTTACCCCAGCTCATCAACGACAGTATATCTCAGCAACTCTGTGCACTTCCATTTCGGCCGACCAATGCAACACCAGCCCAACCGATTGACGCAATTCTGGCCCATCCTATTGACACAGTTTCACCTCAACAAGCCAGTCAGATTCAACTTCAGCCAATGGACGGCAATTTAACCCAGCAAGATGTTCCATATTTTCATCAGCCAACCGGTGTGATTCCACCACAGGATATAGACTTGGTTTTGTCCCTACCAATTGAAGGATTAGCACCTCAACAGCCTAATGAATTTCAACCTCAGACAACACGTGAAAATTTACTTCAGCAGACTTGTAAATCTTCTCTTCAGCCGAGCGGCATCCAGGAAATAGAGGTGTTTTCAGCCCAGCATTCATCTCAGTCGCCACACCTTAGTATGCCTCAACTCCAACCCTCGACTAAGTCACCACTTCAGCCGACCGGCACTCACGAAATAGAGGTGTTTTCAGCTCAGCCGCTGCACCCCAGTATGCCTCTACTCCAACCCACGACTAAGTCACTACTTCAGCCGACCGGCACCCAGGAAGTAGAGGTGCTTTCAGGTCAACCTTCATCTAAGCCGCCGCACCCCAGTATACCTCTATCCCAACCCACAACTAAGTCCCCACGTCAGTCGATCGGCACCCAGAAAATAGAGGTGCTTTTAGCCCAGCATTCATTTCAGCCGCCCCACCTTAGTATGCCTCTACTCCAACCCACGACTAAGTCACCACTTCAGCCGCGCGGCCCCCAGGAAATTGAGCTGTTTTCAGGTCAACCTTCATCTCAGCCGCTGCACCTCAGTATGCTTCTACTCCAACCCACGACTAAGTCCTCACGTCAGCCGATCGGCACCCAGAAAATTGAGGTGCTTTTAGCCCAGCCTTCATCACAAGCGTCACAGCCCAGTATGCATCTACACCAACCCACGACTAAGTCACCACGTCCGTCGACCGGCACCCAGAAAATAGAGGTGCCTTTATCTCAGCCGTTGCGTCTCAGTATGCCTCTACTCCAACCCACGACTAAGTTATTACTTCAGCCGACCGGCTCCCAGGAAATAGAGGGCCTTTCAAGTCAACCTTCATCTCAGCAGTCGCATCTTAATATGCCTCAACTCCAACCCACGACTAAATCACCACTTCAGGCGACCGGCACCCAGAAAATTGAGGTCCTTTCAACCCAGCTTTCATCTCAACCGTCACAGCCCAGTATGCCTCTACTCCAACCCACGACTAAGTCACCACATCCGCCGACCGGCACCCAGAAAATAGAGGTGCTCTCAGCTCAGCCTTTATCTCAGCAGTTGCACCTTAGTATGCCCCTACTCCAACCCACGACTAAGTCACCACTTCAGGCGACCAACACCCAGATAATTGAGGTGCTTTCAGCCAGGCCTTCATCTCAACCGTCACAGCCCAGTATGCCTCGACTCCTACCCACGACTAAATCGCAACTTCAACCGACCGGCACCCGGGAAATAGAGGGCCTTTCAGGTCAACCTTCATCTCAGTCGCCGCAGCTCAGTATGCCTCTACTCCAACCCACGACTAAGTCACTACTTCAGGCGACCGACACCCAGAAAATAGAGGTGCTTTCAGCCCAGCTTTCATCTCAACCGTCACAGCCCAGTTTGCTTCTACTCCAACCCCCGACTAAGCCGCGACTTCAGCCGACCGGCACTCAGGAAATAGAGGGCCTTTCAGGCCAACCTTCATCTCAGCCACCACAGCTCAGTATGCCTCTACTCCAACCCTCGACCAGGTCACCAGGTCCGCCGACCGGCACCCAGAAAATGGAGGTGCTTTCTGATCAGCCTTCATCTCAACCGCCACACTCCAGTATGCCTCTACTCCAACACACGACTAAGTCGCCACTTCAGCCGACCAGCTCAACTCCGCCCCCGACAACCGAAATGCTTTCCGCCCATCTTATTAAAGGGCTTACACCTCCGCAGCCCAGCGTGACTGCACTCCAGCCGAAGAGTGGCTCGTTATCTCAGATAATCGGCGGGACGCCGTCCCAGCCGATCGGCGTGCTTTCTACCCAGCCTGTTGCCAAGCATACGCCTCCGCTGACCAGTAAACCTCTACTTCAACCGACCAGCGTACTTTCATCCCAGCCGACTAGCGTGCTTTCAGTCCAGCACTCCAACCGGCCTCAGCATACCGACGGCCATCTATTTCAACCTCCATACCAGGTTCCCGGTGAGTTTCCACCTCAACCATTTCGTGAATTTCTACCTCGGTATCCTGGCGGACATCCATGTGTGTCGACTACCATAATTCCGTGCAAGAAAATCGCCGATCATAGTTGTTCTAACCAAACCAAACAAACCAAATGTGTAAAGACACTGCCGCCGCAAAAAACTCCCCGATACGATTATAGTTTGAGGGACTTAGCAATAATATCATATGAACTCGTAGAAATTCAGCGCGCCTGCGATGCTAGGTTGCTACTAGAACGCGCTAAGCAGCAACTTCTATCCGCGGAACAGAAGCAGTCCGTTAGCGACCATGGCGATGGCAATATGGAAACCAATTCAAATACTCTAAGCAAAGTGGGCACTCACAACATTGCGAAAAGTCAATCCGATGCAGAACAAGATTCAGTTAGCACTCATGATAATGCGAAGATCAAATATAATCCAAATAGGGATTCAGATCAGCCACAAGGATCCGATTTGGAGAAAAAATAGAAAAAACCTCGAACACGTGATTTCTATTTCCAGTTTAATGTGTTTACCAATAATTGGAACATAGGTATAATATCTGCCATGTTGTGATATCAATATATTAAATTTTTGTTTGAATAATTTGACTTTTTTTAACTTGAATTTTATGTAAAACTACATTTTGGTTACTGAACTTACAACAAATAAGGGTGAAGTAGAGATTGATTTTTTTATTGATGGATTAAAAGAATTTAGTTTATTTAAATCAATATGAATTATGCAAGTTTTGTGAATTTGATTAGATCATTTGTCTCAAATATAAGTAAAGCATAATGGACGTTGACAAAATTAAAATTAAAAATGTAATTAATATTTATAAAAACCACCAACACTTAAGTCGGTTTAGTTCCTTCATATTTTAGGACCGAAAACATCTTCAAGAAATTTAAAAACAAAAAACAATTTGTTCTCCGGCCTGCTTCCCTCGACTTCCTTGTTGCAGGACTTTGTGTTGCGATAAATTTACTATTACGAATGCTTTTTAGAACTTATAAAGTTTTTTGACTAGCTTAATTTTTTTTATTCAATAGAAAAACGTGAAGCCCAAATGAAAACATTGAAGTTAATCAGCAAAAGATTTTTTCCAAGGCTACAGACTACTACATTACCGTATATATTACGTTATACATATATATGTAGGTAAATTAAAAATTATATAAATTATGCATTGTTTCAGATACTGCAGAAGTGTAATTGGTGACGAGCCTGACGCAGTTTTCATGCAAATCCAGCTACAACACCTTCGTTATTTGCATAATGGGAAATTACAAATCGAGCGCATCATCAACGACGACTAGTAAGGATGGGCCGTCGTACGCAAGCGGTATGTTTTCGTTGCTGCACAAGACTTGGAACGGGATTGTATACGAAAAATGGATGCGAAGACGTGACAAGTGCGAGTCGCAAGACTGCAGTGATGATTACTTTTCGCAATATTCGTATTGTTCGTGCACGATATGCCAGATGCATGATGAGTTTAGCAGTTGTTATTCCAGGTGAGTTTTCAAACTTTAGCTTTTATGCGCTTTAACAAATAGACTACGTGTAATCTTGTTTCTACATAAGTCACTTTTGACTACTCTGTTAAATAATCGGGAAAAGAAAAAGATATAAACCGTGAAAAACCCACAGGAAAACTTTCAAACAAAACCTCGTTGGAAGGTGTATGCTTGGTTGCGTATGTTAAACACACATATGTTTAATTTAAAACCTAAACACCACGAAGTATAGATATGTATTAGGGCTGTACAAATTAGCCGGCCAAGCCGGTTAAGGAAGTTAACCAGGCTAATTAGCTGGCTGACTACTCGGCTTAGCCGGTTAACCGAAATTAGCCAGGCTAATCAGCTAAAGGCTAAACCGGCCAATTGGCTAATTTTATATTTTATGCAATATCTTTGTTTCCAAATGCAAGTGATAACAATTCGCCGCGTTATCAATACGTTTGTCGGACTTGGCCCGAACAGATATTGTATAAAATATATATAAATATATAAATTAGCCAATTGGCCGGTTTAGCCTTTAGCTGATTAGCCTGGCTAATTTCGGTTAACCGGCTAAGCCGAGTAGTCAGCCAGCTAATTAGCCTGGTTAACTTCCTTAACCGGCTTGGCCGGCTAATTTGTACAGCCCTAATATGTATCTATACTTCATGTCAAACACGGTGCGCATGAAAAACTAACGTGTTTTTGAGGGACTTATTGCATCATACTTTCTTTTTTTAAATTTTAGTTATAGATCAAGTGGATGATGAAGATATAGTAAAGATTTTACACCCAGCAACCACTACTCGCCACTTGTACCAAGTAGTAACTTTGTAGCAACTTGAATTTTGCAAAAAGAGACATTATTAGATCTTTTACCGTTATACGCGGTTATCCAACAGAAGAGCAAGTGAAGCTGATGGTATAACGTATCGATACTCACTTGAAGTGCTCATAAATATTAAAATAATTAATATTATTATAATTTACGTCTTTTGAACATATATACATATATTGTTAATGAAAAGGCATCAAATTTTTTGACATATGGAAATCAAATGTCACAACAAAGCGTCACTCATTTTAGAAACACTACTTGTAGTCCATAACACTATCCTAATTATTTTATTGCACTCCATTTATGATAAAAATAAGTCGGTAATAGGCCTGACCGTAAACATCAAGTACTGAATTAAATAGTTATGAATCAGTTAAACCAATATTATAAAGGATTATCATAAAAAAATATTGTTACAGCTTAATTAACGATAATTTAGTATTCATCTCTAAAAGTTATAAATTTTGAAACATTAATTTACCAGCGCAAACTAAATTAGTTTGCATCATCTTTTATATTCAACACATTGTGCGCGATTTTGTTAGCTTGCGAGAGTTTATGTAAGCATGATAAAATTAATAGTTGTAAATCTAGATCAATCAATTGGCAAATGCACTTAGATCAACCTCTTTATTCCTTATTCATACATTTCGTGCCTCAAATAATTATGCGACTTTCATGCGCACTTATTGATGTAAATATGGAGCGCAGATTTTCTTTTCCAACAGGATGTTAACAGTTATTAATTAATGCAAATTGACCTGGTTGTGATATGATTCAAATATTATAATCGGGTCTTGATTAGATTTTCACATTTTCTTCAGCAGCCCGCACCATGGTGTAAGATGTGCACAGAAAAAGAACTAATGTAGTCCATCCGGTCGTCGGTCGCAGGTTGATTTGAAAAAAGGGACAAAAAAATCAATCGAGTCTGATCAAGTGTTGGTTTGCGTTAATGAGTGAAACACAGCCGTGAAGTTTACGGTTGCAGTCCGGTTACATACATTTATAGGAATTATCATCGCCATGAATTGGAGAATGTTATATATGAAATGCGGGATTCACCTAGATATTGCCCGCTGAAATAAAAACCAGTGTCAACATGTGGCGCGTTGCCAAGCTGGTCGGCATGCAAAACGGAAACACGCCGCTGAAGAAAATAAAAAGAAAATGCCGCGTGGCGGATGAAACGCAAACACGCAGTGGAAATAAATTAAATGCAACGAGCGTCCGGCTGCCGTCCGGTTTTGCATCGTGGCGATCGGTGTCGTTTTCTTGCCCGCTGTTAATCATTTTCTGTGTTTATTTTCTATTCGACGTGCACGTGCTTTGACACCGCGCATTCTACATATTTTGAAAGCAGTGATTAGCTTACTTACGATATTTAAATTCACAAGCGATTGCAATTTTCCAGTTGTCGCTGGAAAAATTCAACAACTGTTAATGCGCTGTTTTCTATCCGCAATGTCAATTTATTCAACGATTTACTTCGCTGAATATGTGTTGCCGCGTATCACAAAAGAGACAAAATAGTAATTATTGTATCATTTATTAGCATGCCATACTTTTCCATTGTCAATCTGAAATTGACGATACGTAACTATTAAAAAAAACACAGTCAGGCAGACATCGGTTGTTATATTAACAACTTTAATTAAATTTATAACAAGTCCTTGGTTGTAAAAAATTCAAGTGATTAGTAGTACTTTAAATGTAATTATTTGAATAGTTTTTATGGGGGTTTGAAGTTTTATTTTAGTGTAGAAGCAGTTTGGCGCCACTCAAAAGCCACTCCAGTTTTTGTCTAATATTCTTAAAACATTATAAGTTTTTGAAAAACAGTATGGTCATAATATAGTCTTGGTACATTTAATATTTTCATAGATATTCAAGGTTTATTGAAAATAGATTTATAATTTATAATTTTATTCAAAAACTGTTGAATAAAACAACACTAAAACCTGCAAACGAGAATTTCGGAAATTCCTTCTAGAGGCTGGTTGCAAATTAGAATATCTGCTTCCATTTATATTGGTGTTGTATTTTGTGAAACAAAATTGCTAACTAATTGCACTATATAATGAGTGATTGTCACGATTGCCAACGAATTGCGATTTTTTAGTTGAGATGTAGTGACTAGCAAATAGGATTTCTTACTTTGCTTTAAAAAATCATGCTCTATTTAGTGTATTCAATTAAATGCAAAGAATACGCAAGGACATGACTCTATTCTGGATTGATTTTCTCAGTTAATATCAATCAGAAAGTATGCACCTGACGCAAAGAGCTGAATGTTGTATTGTGTCATATCATTCAGACTATACTAAAATTTCTCTCACATTGGTCAGTAAACTAAATCTAAATAAAGTGCTATTCAATTGGGGGTCGGTTTTTTTTTCAACTCTGGGATATTTTGATGTAAGCAGTTGAGGAAACAGTTTAAAGCGCTAATATTTTTATAATTTATATTAGATATTTTATAATTTAATTATGCTTGGATTAGAAATGAGAACAATATTATATTGCTACTAAAAGCAGTTTGAAATTATTTTTGGTATTATTTGGTGTATTATCATAACAAAGTTGAAACAAATGAAACGAAAAAAAAAACATGAAAAGTTCGCCTATGTCATGCATTTCATCAAAAGCTCGCGTGGCAGGAGTTATCCACTGAAGAAAAGTAAAGACCAACCGTACGGTCGCCGTTGCGATTCATTCCGATTCCCCGGACGCGTGCGTCTTCTCACTCCTTACCGCTCGCTGACTTCTTGCGGCCGCCGTCCGTAGTTGAGTTGCCTTCGCGTTCGCAGTCGAATGTCGAACGCTAGCTAAAGACGCTGAGTGTCAGTTGCCGTGAGCTCCTCTGCGACACACGACCGCGCGACGTCCGCGCTGCACGTTTTTACTCCTCATAACTGTACAACCTATCGAGCGGGCTTATCAACAATCAACGTACAACCGCCCTCGAAGCTCGTCGCGCTTGACCCCCGAATGTGCGTCCGATGCGCATCCACTGTCGCAATTTGGTGCTCCGCACGAGGAATTTAAATTAATGTACCGTTAAGTGATAACTTTAATTAATTGAAATTGTTAACCGTTATAGGTAAGTCAATTTTTTTTTGTCAGGCTATCACAAGCATAACATGCTTTAGTTTGTGTTTATGTTAGTTGGTAACTTTAGCCAAATGTAACGTAAGAATTACGAAGTTATTGACACCTTCGGACGTTCGTGCGATTAATTGAATGTGAGAATAATCCGACGCGAGCAAAACATAACTTTTTCCGGTTTTGTTGCTTCGCTGTGCTCGCGATTACGCAAAACTCATTGTGCGACGCAGCGACAACGACAGTACTAATTGCGCATAATCGTTGCGACAGTTTCGGCGGTTACGAAACGTTTGTTCATTGTCTCGAAATCTAAACGTAGGTACTCGCGCTGGTGCGCGCAGATTTAATTGCGTTCACACTTTTTAATTCCGCGGCGAATTAAATGCGCGCGTCTGTAGGTAGCAGAGGCAGCAAAGCGGAAATAATTCCGGCCCGCGTCTGAAACATGCATGTCCTGAAAGTTTACAATTGTGTTGCAAATAAAGTCCGAAAGAAGTGACGGTTAACGCCACAAATGCGTTGTTGCTGCCGGGCTGGGCGACGCACGCAGAGGTCGGCTAGTCCGAAGACTTCTCGAAGTTCTCGAAGAGACGAGCTTCTTCGGGCCGGAATACCGACGCGCGCGCCGGGTTTGCCTTCTGCCTTACAATTAGCTTCTTCACGCTTCGCGCGGTGCGCCGCGTCGGTTTCCTACGAAACCAGCCAGCCAGAATAGACCTATGGCGTGCCGCAACGAAACTGATAAAAAAACATAATTAAACGTAACTCTGAATCCCTCCTGGAAGCAACCAAGACGAATCTATGCGCACATATGTTCCAAACACAACTGGTGTATTGTTGTTACAATTAAGTTTCGATTTCAAAAAACTAACTGTTAAGTACCCGCGTAAGTGCGTGCGTCTGCTCGTGTGCGCATATACGCCGCACAACGAGCCATTAAGTGTAATCAGGCTCGGATTCTTGAGTTTCTTCAACTTCTTCGGAGCGCACGCTGCGCCGACCCGAGACGCGGCGCGCATCTCGAGCCAAAGAGGTTCGCTGTGGAACTCGCCGCGTACTCACCACT